TCCTCGTCATATATCTGCAGACCGTCATCATGTGACGTTCCGTGCGTGCGGCATCATGCTCTTCACGATCCGTGCTATCTTCCTCGGGAGCGAGGACGCGTCGTAGGAGAATAGAGCGCGTTTATTATGTAATTACGATTACAATTTTAATATAGAATAAGATTATACCCTATCCAGCAACTGAATACATGAGGAAGAGGAGAGATGACTACTCGTAGAAAGTAAAGATACTCACAGCTAGTCAAGGAACACATAGTACAGATTATCAGATGTAGCCAGAGCTAGTTATTGTGTCCACAAGTCGAGCTAGTTACAGCTAACCAATCTTAGATACACCATCGACTATTGCAGTTTGTGAGCCTCATGGCAAGCTGTACTACCCACGTGGTGAATTGATCTGAAAGACCGGATAATACTCGCGTAGAGCCCCTCCACTGACTAGACGATCGTTTCAGCGCTAGTCAGACCCTGACTAGACGAGCCTGCCTCGCAGTGAGTGTATCAAGAGCAATTAGACATCGACAGAGAACTGAAGGCCAAGGAGGACGAGTTGCTGGAATTAGAGCGCTCGGGGCGTGAGTATAAAGCCATGCAGAAGTTCAGGAGGCTCCAAGCGGCTGTGGATGCTTGGACATCACGGCTGGATGGTGAATTTGAGGAATGGCGCTCAGCGCGGGATAAGGTCGCAGAGGCTCAGGCTATTCTGGATGTTGTGACAGAGGAACACCAGATGTGGCAGGCTGAATTTGATTTGGTGAAGGAGAGGCATGAGGTACATGATCATTCGTGGACTTGAAGCAGAAGTTTTTCAATGACATCTGGTGCAGAAATGGCAGTCCTCCATGTGTTCTCACTCGTCTCCTGCATTACTGCTCAAGGATAAATGTGACATGTCGGAGTTTTAGTGCTTCTTGTATATCTGGGTGTATTTCTTTCCACTCCCATATTGTCACTTCCGTTGAGGGACTTCTTGCATTGTCTTTCCACTATTATCTATGACTGTGGCAAGAGAGGAGAGCAGGCAATTCCTTCGTGTCGTTTATTCGAATCGGTGTCCCGGTGCCACAGTCCAAGGCGTCCTCGGCCACGTGATCTCAGCCTGAGTATGTCATCACAAGTGACTCGCAGATTCGCAATGCTCTCGACCAGCGTTCACCTTGTTCTAAGTACACATCTCCTCTAATTTTAGCAGTCCTGGTGGAATATATCTTCCCGCCAGTACCGCTGATATCAGAGGAGACGAACCGTCCTAGCTCAAAACAAATTGTACCTCCATATGTCCATGGCCAGCAAACACGCTCTCGTATTCGGTGCAAGCGGTATCTCAGGCATCCCTCTCCTCCGCCACCTCCTCCCAAGCACCCCCTTCACCCGCGTAACCGGGCTTACTGCTCGCCCGCTCACCCTCTCCGCCAAGGAGCAAGAAGTCTTCCAGATAGACACGTCCTCGCCGAAGCTGCAGCTCGTCCCCGGCCTTGACCTGTCGAAGCCTACTGAGGAGGTCAAACAGTTCCTGCAAGATAACGTCCGGGACATCGCCACCGTCTCGCACGTCTTCTTCGTCGCATACAAGGAGATCGCGTCCGATCTGCAGGAGCAAGCCAGAATCAACATCGCCTTCGTCCGGCACGCGGTCGAAGCGCTCAACGCGCTCTGCCCCGACACCCTCGAGCTGGTCGTGCTCCAGACCGGCGGGAAGTATTACGGCGTCGAGTTCCAGGACGAGATCACGTTGAAGGCGCCGCTCAAGGAGGAGACACCGCGCCAGCCTGAGCCGTACTCTAAGCAGATATTTTATTACGGCCAGGTGGATGTCTTGAAGCAGCTCTCGCAAGGCAGACGCTGGACCTGGGTGGAGGTCAGGCCGGATGCGATTATTGGCACTGTTCCCCGGGGGAATTTCATGTAAATCCCTTCTCTCTCTCCTCTTCTATCGTGAGGCGTTTGTTTCCTACTTCTCCGTGTCTCTAGGAACCTCGCGGCCGGACTGGCCATCTACCTCTCCGTCAAGGCGGCTCTCCAGCCTGCTAGCACCGTCCCCTTCCCAGGGACAGCACAGGGATACAAGACCACTCACACTGATACGGATCACGATCTCATGGCGCGGTTCGAGATCGACCTCGCGCTGAAAGCCACAGCCAGCGCGGACGCGAAAGCCAAGGCAAGTTCATACTCCCCACTAGTGCTACGGACTAACTGTCTTCTCTAGTTGACTGAGAAGGCGTACAACATTGCGAACGGCGACGTCGTGAGCTGGGAAACCAAGTGGCCCGGGCTCTGCGCGTACTTCGGGCTCAAGGGCGCTCCTCCGGGCCCCCCAGGCCAGACTGAAGACATGAAGCAGTACGTCGCAAAGAACAAGGCGGAGTACCTCGCCAAGGCATCGAACAAGGCGCCGAACGCCCAGGGGAACCTAGACACCGCCGAGAGCGCGCTGGTCTTCACCGCTCTAGTATGCAGGTGCGCGCCCACTCTGTTTACTGTATCTCGTGGATAGCAGCCGGTATACTGATGCTTGGTACGATTGAATGTAGTTTTGGGAAGCAGAACCGAGAGTACGATCTTTCGAATGCGCGCGAGTTGGTCGGGTTCACAGAGACGATCGATTCGGTGAAGAGCTTTGCGGCCCAGTTCGACAAGATGAAGGCGCTGGGTCTCATCGCTTAGTGGCGTTCGCTGTGGTAAGAAGTTAAACCCAATTGTATACTAAAGTCGGTTTTCTGGTCTACTCGAGAAATGCTCTTAGCGGTGCCAGTGTCAGTATTTTGCGCCACCGACAGAACAGCTCCAGCAAGACGGGTCGACGCGCCCCGAAAGTGGCAAGACACACATCTACCTTCCGATTAACAGGTCACACTGCCCTTGCACACGGGAGAAACGGACGGTGGTAGATAAGGGATGCAATAAGAACAGAAGGGAAAATACAGGAAATACGCCAGAAGACTAGTCCAATCATCGCGACGTAAGTGAAAGCTTCGCTCTTCACCCACTCGCGGCGCGAAGTGCTGAGTGGAACCGCAGACGTGCCATGCAGCGGGGGCCAGGCTCATGCGAAACCTGCACATCCGCATCGTCAACACGCGTTCCGGGAGAACGAGCCATAGCTTCGAACTTACCTCGGAGTGGCAGCTAACATACTCCGTCCGGGCCTCCGCCAGCTCCTCCCTGAGCCTGTTCTGCCGCCTAATTAGCCTGAGATCCCCAGGCCGGAGCAGCCTGAGCTCGTCCGCCTGCCTCCCCACCAGCTCCACCAGCTCCGCGATCCGCTCTGCGTCCTCGAGCGCAGCGAAATGCGCCTCGAGCTGCTGCTCTCGCACCTTCACCTGCAACTCCATCGCGAGGATCTCCGCTTCGCACCTGGCGGCCCACGCGCGGGTACATTCGTCCAGGGTGCTCTCTAGTAGGCGCAGGTGCTTTGCGGCGGCCGGCGGCATGGGTAGGCTCTCTGAGGGGGATACGGCGACGCCGACTGCGTGCCAGTGCGGGGCTGGGTGAGGAGGCGGTCAGCAAACTTGGCCTTTGACCCATTGTGAGTGGAAGACGCACCTTTCTCAATGGTTGACCGCGGAGCAGGGTCAAGGCCCCACTCAAAGAACTCGACTCTCAGGTCCAGGGATGCGCGCATCTTCCTGATTGAAGGCATGGTGCGTAATCGATAAAGGATGTGTATCGCTCAGGATGAGGATGTGAATGAGAAGAAAAGTGCTGGAGCGGCCTTCTTAACGTCCAGGACGCGAGACTGACGCGCAGTGTCAGCCTACTAGGTAGTACGCGCTGCGGTCCATTCTACAACGCCAGTTCGTTGGGACTGTCGGGTCCGCTATCCGTGCAATAATGAGCTCTCTTGACAGTGTGAACAACCGAAGCTTAAGCCTGATGGCCTGAGGATATCTGGTCAATGGCCGTGCTCGCGATGCATCCTGAGAGTAGGGTGATTCAGTTCTAACTACGAAAGCCGCTTTTCGTCGCTTTCTGAGAAACCGCTTTCTCGGCTCGGCCGGAAAGGCGTGGGATCCCGGTCAAGCTGCTGCTTTTTGCAAGCGCAGAGCCAATGAGAGAGCTCAATGAGCGAGACTCGCGACTTCGCACGGGGTCGATTGCCCTTTCCAGAATGCAATGCATGGCCCCTTGCCGGTGGCTGTAACTTCGACGCTGCGAAAAGCGACAGAAAGCCGCTTTCGCATTTGGAACTGAATCTCCCTAGTGACTCTCCTGCCTGCCGTTCAGATGACGTAACATAACGCGTCTGTGGCACAATCGCACGCGACTGTGGCGCGCGTCGTGTCCTCGCCGCTAGCATTTTTGCTGCCGTCTTGCTCTCTGCTGTCAATGTCGAGACATGTACTGCACGTTGGCGACGCTCTGCCTCTGTAAGGACCCCGATCCTGGGGACTAGAGACACTCTCCTCTTCCATATTTGGCAGACCCGCCGCGGGTAGAGATAGGCGCTGCCACTGCCCGTGCTGATGTTCGACAAGGCTTTTGCCCTGCCAGTGTCTCTATTCGATTCACTCATTTCATCGATACCACACCGCTGCTATCCCTGCGCAGCCTCAATTCAGTGCGCTGCAAGCGTCCTCCCCGGCTGCTGACGCTGTACGATGCTGCCTGCCATTCACTACCCTGGGACACGGCTGAGCAGGGAGGGCACGGACTGTAGCCCTTCTCTCCGGGTGCACTGGCACGGCAGTTTCTGATACTTTGGAGGTTGATCTTATTACCGATGCTCTCGAAGGCGCTCTGCGTCTCGCCAGGGGTTGGCAACAATACGTTGTTAAATCACAGCTCTTACAAGCACACTTTCAAGTCAATTTCACTTTTACCTTCAAGCATCGCCGTCCAGCTCCTCGTAGTGCCTGTACAACCCCATCCCGTACTTCCTGCGCCGGCTGCTCGCGAGGTACGCCTTCAATTTCTCCTCCGACGCAACAGACTTCGTCGCCTCGAAGAGGGCGGGGTACTTCCCTGCCTTTTCGAAGGAGGCGAGGAGTCTCGGGAACGCGTACTGCAGGCCGTCGACTACCTGCAAATGGGATGAGGACGGGGAAGTAGACCAGGTGAAGCACTTCTTCTTCTAGCGTACCTGGAAGAGCACCAGGTCGGCGGTGGTCGTGGTGGACCCGACGAGCCTGTGCGACTTGGCGGGGTTCGAGGTGAGGACTTCCTCGAAGTACTGGAAGAACTTCGGAATACGATTCTTGCGGAAGTCCTCCGCGCGCCTCTTGGCTTCCTCTTTCTGATCCTCGTCTTCGTCGCGCACTCGTCAACATGATGGGCAGTCGTTAATAGCGGACGCACTCACAGTAGAGACTTGAGGCGATAGGGTGGTGCACCTACGCAGGGTGAGTATCAACACAGCGCAAGTGGACGATGCGGACAAGAGCAGCTCACATCGTGCGTCTCGTTCGACAAGTCCAGCGCCGTCAAGACGAGCTGGTTAACCCTGGCCCTCCTCAACTCCCTCTCTTCCTCGGAGTCGCCCTCGACATCGCCCGCAAGCCCGAGCTTCGGCGCGAGGTACGCGAGTATCGCGGGGGTCTGACTGATGAACACGGACTGCGTGCTGCCCTCGGGCGCGCTCTGCCCCTCGCGCGTCTTCGCCCGCTTCGCGCTGGACGCCGGGGACGCGAGCTCGAGGACGGGCGGGGCAAAGTGCGGCGGGTGCCCGGCGACGCTCGCGGACATGACGAGCTTGGTGAGCGCGCCGACGTCGGTGTCGTCGGTGTAGGGCTCGCCGGCGGCCTCGAACGCGAGGCGGACGTACTCGCCGCGCCCGGGGATCTCGGGCCAGTAGTGCAACGTGTAGGTCGACATGGGCGATGGAAGGAGTGCGCGGGTGTGGAAAGGCGGAGTGCGCGGGAGAGGACGGGTCGAGAGAGCGCCTTGCAATTGGGCACGACGCCCGGGTTGATGATCATCTGAAGTAGAGGTCAGATCTATGACATCATAGCTTTTCGCTCAGAGTCGACTCTATTCCTCGTCATGGCATATCATTCGAACGCGACCTTCAAAATGTATGGAAGCGTCTTGTATTGTACTCGTGTTAGAATCCCCGAGCCACATTTTCGCCATGCCGTGTTATCCTCACGAAGGCGCCGCCGACGACGACGATTGTTTCCATCTGCTATGCGCCGCGCATGCAGAACGTCGCTGAGGGCCGTCGACTCAGTGCGAGAAAACCTCGCGGCTGACGATCGATATCCAGAATCTGGCAAATGCAAAGTCTGGCTAGGTCCCGATCCTCCAGCAGCGGAAATGGCTGACATCCCCTCTCCCAATTATCCTCCTCAATTTTCGTCAGCTTCCTATCGTTGCATATTTCGCCATCGCTTCTCTTCGACGTCGACGCACGCAGAACTTGAACGCACGCCGTTTACCCGTGAGCATCCAAGTTCCCAGCCACCACCAATGCCTTCCTTCTTCAAGGCCCTCAAGGCGCTCCAGGCCAGATTCACGACCTCGACCACCCAGCCCGAGACTGCGTCCTGTCCCAGCACGGAGTCACCTCATCCCGCCCTATCCAACACGCCAACGCTCATCCACCGCCTCTCGCACAAGAAAGAGCCGTCCGTCTCCGTCAGCTCGTCCCTCGGCCCCGTTATTCTCGCAGATTCCCCCGCTTCTGCTGTTACCGCGTCCTCGCTGGAGAAGCTCGTCACTGTCAGCAGCAGCAAGTCCGCCGTTCACAAGTCTGCAGACCGCGTGAAGCTGTCCTCGTTCATTGTCCCCCGCCCGTGCGTGCCCCTCGTCCCGGTCACGCAGTGCGTTGCTGTCGGCACCCTGCCAGAGAAGCCAGAGTGCATGAAGGTGTCGATAGCGGAGAAGATCATGGAGAAGACTGTAAGTCCCGTGAAGGAACCCGCGTCGACGAAAGTGCGCAAAGAGACAAGGCAGGCTGGGGAGGACGATCCCTTTGCGCAGGCCGACGAGGAGGTTCGCGCTCTCGAGGCCGTCGTTGACGAGGGCAAGGCGAGTCACGAAGAGTGGAGCTTGAAGATGAGGGAGCTTTCGAGCCAGCCTCTGGACGCATTCGAGGATGACGAGGATCGCGTCACGGTGAGTCATCCTGAAAATATTCCTAGAGTCACGTTGACGCAGCCCGGACGGCCTGGAAGGTTGTCCAGGAACGGAGCTGCTCACCGGCGGGCTGCTCTGATTACTCGATGGACGCGACGGAAGTATCGTTCTCAAGCACTGTGACTGTATGCGTTTCTCCGATCCCGGTTCTCAAGTGTTATGGTGAAGAGGGGAAACCTCTTTGGGATCAAGGGGTGCGTTGTTAATCGCGAAGGGGGAGGCGGTATATTGGGTCGTGCTGAACAGCGAAGACGGCCTGAATTCGTCTAGCAAGGTGTCTGGTTGACACCTCCGGCAACGACTTGACTCGCTTGCTCCTCTGGCTGACGTCTCTGGGGCTTGTCTGATTCGTTACTCAACTTGGCCGCCTGGCTTTACGGACTTTGGCCGTCTATCGCTGGGCAACATCTTCGCTACCTTCGGCTCGTCTACAGCCGCAACGTTGTCTGCTCGCACCGTCTATCAGGAACTATGGTGTCATCCTGGGTCTCTATCTGGCACCGTTTCACAAGGCTCAAGTCGTTCAAGTCAGTACAGTCTCAAATCACACATCAAAGACGTGAACGCTCGAATACTGTCTGATGTATTGCGCGCTTCTTCTCGTTTGTGCATTGGCCGTGTTTCTCTGGGTATGAGGGTCTAAAGGATGGTTTATGTATCGCTGTATTGTGTCGGATAATGTGACGTTTGCTATGTCTTTATGGTTGGTTTGTGTACGCATGTATCGCTCGCTGCTATATATCGCTCTGGCATGAAGCCAAACACAAGGGTGTCACTCAAAGGCGTTCATGGGCAACGCGACGCGACGCGACACGAATGACGTCACGCGACGGCGCTTCGACCCGGCATTGAGATTGGCGACGCGTGAGGCGCGTTCCCCGCACTAGAATTCAAGTGCGTCGGTTCCGTCGTCGTCAGACTCGGCGTCCATACCGAACTCTCGTAAGGCCGTTAGTAAGCCTCCGCCAAGAGCCTCCATGGTATAAAGGTGCGCAATTCCGTGCAACATGTTGTTTTGTATCGCCCCTCATGCCCCCTATCCAAATCGCCGTCCCAGATGCCGACCTGGAGCTGTTGCACAAGAAACTTGAGCTCGTACGCTTTCCCGACGAACTCGAGGGTGTTGGCTGGGATTACGGTGTCCCCCTGGAAGACGTGGAGCGGCTCGTGGCGCGCTGGAGAGACGGCTATGACTGGCGGAAGCACGAGGCCGAGCTGAACCAGCTGCCCCAGTTCACAAGGGATATCGAGGTCGACGGCTTCGGGACACTGAATATCCACTATGTGCATCAGAGGAGTACACAAGAGAACGCGATCCCCTTGCTCTTCGTGCATGGATGTAAGTCAAGGTCGGAACTCCTTGCGGCACTGTATCTTACTGAGGGTGAAGGGCCTGGAAGCTTCATCGAGGCGCGAAAGATAATTCCTCTGCTGACCAGTGAATCGAGCGAGCATCCGAGTTTTCACGTGGTGGTGTACAGCTTGCCTGCCTTTGGGTTCTCCGAGGCACCTCGCAAGCCCGGCTTCGCTATCAAACAGTACGCGGAAGTGAGTCTGCGGCATTGTACAGCTGAGACACTCGAAGATTTGACATACATATCCAGATCGGTTTGAAGCTGATGCAAGCATTAGGGTACAACGAGTTCGGTAGGTCATCCAAGTCGGACACAAATGCGAGAATCGGGATAACCTGCTCACTACGCCTCTAGTAACGCAAGGTGGGGACTGGGGTCAACGGGTAACTACTCTCTGATTGTAGACAGTTCCTGTGGCATGGCTGAAATCCGATGCACAGGTCACTCGCAGAATGGCTACTCTATACGGCCCGAAGCACGTCAAAGCCTGGCACACGAACTTCACCCAGTCCGTCTCGGTCTTTACCACCCCCTTAGCCCTGACTCACCTTCCTGCAGCACCGACACACCGAGCTTCACCCGCAGCCCCCTCGCAGCTCTACAGCACGCCATCCACGAGTCCTCGATAATCCCCTTCAGCCCCTACACCGAGTTCGAGAAGAAGGGATTTAAACGGAATGAGTGGTTCGAGGCACACCAGGCAGGGTATTATACGGAGCAGAACACGCAGCCACAGACTCTCGGCTACGCCCTGGCGGACTCGCCGGTGGGCCTACTTGCTTGGATATACGAGAAGCTCGTGCTGTGGTCCGATAAATATCAGTGGGACGACGACGAAGGTGCATGCCGTTCTCAATCCCCGCCATCACGCGACTGACACCAAGGGCGGGTAGTTTTGACTTGGATATCGATATATTGGTTCTCCCGCGCGGGCCCGGCAGCGTCCCTGCGCATATACTACGAAGCGCACCACGCCGGGGACATCTTCGGCCAGCCCTACGTATCCGCGGTGCCGATGGGCGTGTCGTACTTCCCCGCGGAGCTCTTCCTCGCGCCCATATCGTACGTTTCTCCCGCCTCCGCATTCGCCAACTCATCAGGACCGCTTTGTAGATGGATGAAAGCGACCGGCCAGCTGGTGTTCACCGCGCACCACGAGTCGGGCGGACACTTTGCGGCACACGAGAAGCCGGAGGTGTTGGTTGACGATTTGAGGAAGATGTTTGGGAAGGGCGGGCCGGCGCATGGTGTCGTCCCCGGAAAGACTGGGTATGCTTAGGGCGCGATGGATTTGGAGGTATAGTTCTGCTGTATGTTTTTGGCGTCCTAAGAGGATAGCGCTCTCGTGGGGTTGCAGACGAGTACTAGTGCCATTATAGGCGCGCTGGCTTGTCTTCTGTACAGCTGTCATACAGCTGACTATACCTTGAATTGATATAGTTAGCTTACTGTGCGACGAGTTTCAAATCATCCTGGAACGCGACATACTTCTCCATGAGCCTATTATGACGTTCCGTCTGCACATTTATTATTTGACGCGCTATGAGCCTGGTTATGGACGCGCTAATTAGCGCGTTTCGATCGCGTCGTGACCGTTACGCGCTTTAGTAGTGCTTGTGACCCTTCGCGAAGCGCATCCTCTCACCATCATGTGGGACTCCGTACACATAGGACCTGAGAGAGTGACCGGGCTTCGGTAGCTTACCCTCTCACCATGGCCGAACAGCCTTTCAAGATTGCAGTGCCGGACGAAGAACTGGACTTGCTCCGGAGAAAGCTGGATCTTGTGCGGTTCCCGGACGAGCTCGAGGACGCCGGGTGGGACTATGGCGCGCCTCTGGACGACGTGAAGAAGCTGGTCGCACGCTGGAAAAACGGGTATGACTGGAGGCGGCATGAGGCGGAATTGAATGAGCTACCCCAGTTCACGAGAGACATTGAAGTGGATGGGTTCGGCACTCTCAATATCCATTACTTGCACCAGAAGAGCACAGAAGCGCATGCAATCCCACTCTTGTTCGTTCATGGATGTGCGGGTTTCATTATATCATGTCGCATATACACATATCAGCTCATAGGGAACGGCAGGGCCCGGCGGTTTCTTTGAAGCCAGGAAGATCCTCCCGCTGCTCACGTCGACTGTCCCGGAGCAGCCTACGTTCCATGTAGTCGTTCTGGGATTGCCTGGGTACGGGTTCTCGGAAGCACCGCGCAAGAAAGAATTTGGCATCTCTCAGTTCGCGGAGGTCAGCAGGTGCTTGGATCATGTCGTTTCGCATGGTCTGATGCGCAGTATAGGTTGGGTGTAAGCTCATGACGGCCCTTGGATATGAACAGTTCGGTAACGGTCTGGTCGCTGTCAGTTGGTGCGTGTCTGACGAGAGCTCCGCATTGATCGTAGTCACTCAAGGTGGAGATTGGGGGCATACGGTAAGGATATCCCGAGACGCCTTGTATTAGTAGCCGTTTAGGACCTTATCTGCGTGTAGATTACCCGTAGAATGGCGAGACTGTATGGCGGCAAGCATGTCAAGGCGTGGCACACGAATATGCCTCTGTAAGCCGTTCTGGCTTTTTGCCTCAAAAATCCCCGAAATGTCTAACAAATGATAGCGCCGATCCTCCCCGCCTGATGAGCGACCCGATCTTGGCTATCAAGCATACTTTGCATACTAGTACACCCTACAGCCCGTACAATGAAGCGGAACGTAAACGTCTGGAACGAGGCGAGCAGTTCGCGGCGGTCGGCCGAGGTTACTACCTGGAGCAAAGCACGCAACCCCAGACTCTTGGCTATAGTCTCGCCGATTCTCCCGTCGGGTTGCTAGCATGGATATATGAGAAGATGGTTAACTGGTCTGATCATTACGCATGGGATGATGATGAAGGTAAGTCCAGATGTAAGGGGACAATTCTGATTGACTCACTATGCCTATTAGTCCTAACGTGGATCTCTATCTATTGGTTTTCACGAGCCGGACCAGCCGCCTCGTTACGCATTTACTATGAGACTCGAGTCTTAGGCGGTCGCAATAACCAGCCAAAGGTTATTGGCGTACCGATGGGCGTGGCATACTTCCCGGGGGAACCTGTGGTCACTCCTAAATCGTGATTTCCTCTCATCCCCCCTGCCTGAAATCATGCTGATTGGAACTGCCTATATAGGTGGATGCACACTGTGGGCGAAGTGAAGTTCTGCACTGAGCACCCGAGCGGTGGGCATTTCGCGGCGTACGAGCAGCCTGAGGAGCTGGTGACGGCTCTAAGAAAGATGTTCGGAAAGGGAGGGCCTGCCTTCGGTGTTGTTCCGGGGAAGACAGGGTATGCTGGCTAATAGCTACTGTAACTCCAGTCCTGCAGTCAGCGTCCGGATACAGACTCGGGAGAGGTGAACTTGCATCTGGGTTGACGCCTTCCATAGGGCTTGTGGACAGGCCTTGTCGCCGCATAGCAGACATGCTGTAACGTAAGTCAGTCGAGTTTTGTGAGACATTCTACATAGCATGCGCCGCTCCTGACTCATTCCTTCCGCGACGCAAGGACGCTCGGCTAATTAACGCGTCTCGATCGCGTCGTGGGAGTCGCTGTGGGTCACCTGACCGTTACGCGTCCAATAGTGGCATAGTGTCCGTGCGCGAAGCAACTGAGGACCTCAGCAAAGCCCCGACCAGAGCCTCGGGCGAGCTTATTCAACTACCGGCGTCATGTGGATACATACTTAAGAAGAGGTATCCGGCTTCGCTAGGTTGCCCGCTACCTTGCACTCCATTCTTCAATATGGCTGAGCAACCTTTCAAGATCGCGGTACCTGACGAACAATTGGACTTGCTCCGGAAAAAGCTCGACCTTGTGCGGTTCCCAGACGAGCTTGAAAACGCCAAGTGGGACTATGGCGTGCCACTGGACGACGTGAAGAGGCTGGTCGCCCGCTGGAAAGACGGGTACGACTGGCGGCGGCACGAGGCGGAGCTCAATGAGCTCCCTCACTTTACGAGGGACATCGAAGTCGACGGGTTCGGCACTCTTAACATCCACTACGTGCACCAGAAGAGCGCAGAGGCGAACGCGATTCCGCTCTTGTTCGTCCATGGGTGTATGCGTTACAGTATATTTCTCGTACCCCGCGTTAAGCTCACAGTGGAACCTTTCAGGGCCTGGCGGGTTCTTCGAAGCGAGGAAGCTTTTGCCTCTGTTGACGTCGACTGTCCCGGAGCAGCCTACTTTCCATGTAGTTGTGGTGGGTCTCCCTGGGTACGGATTTTCGGAGGCACCCCGCAAGAAAGGGTTCGGTATCTCTCAGTTCGCTGAGGTCAGCTGCCGGAACGTACATCCTTCCGCGTGGCCAAACTCACGTGTACGGTATAGGTTGGGTGTAAACTCATGACAGCACTGGGGTATGAACACTTTGGTAACGTTCTCTCACTGCCACTCGGGACGCGAGCTTATTCTTATTATTCGTAGTCACTCAAGGCGGAGACTGGGGGCACGCGGTAAGGATATCCTGGAACCCCTTATGCTAGAATGCAGCTGCTTAGGATCGGCACTGTGCGCAGATTACTCGTCGAATGGCGAGACTTTATGGTGGCAAGCATGTCAAGGCCTGGCACACGAATATGCCTCAGTAAGTCATCGCCGCTACACGTATCGGTCACCCTGGAGACACTTTAATGTGCAATGTACGATAGGGCTGATCCTCCGCGCGTGACGAGCAACCCGCTTTTGGCGTTCAAGCATACTCTACATAACTGGACCCCTTACAGCCCGTATAGCAAGTCGGAACGTGAACGGATGGAGAGTGGCGCGCAGTTCGCATCGGTCGGCCGAGGATACTACATTGAGCAAAGCACGCAACCCCAGACACTTGGTTATAGTCTGGCCGACTCTCCCGTGGGCTTACTCGCGTGGATCTACGAGAAGCTGGTGAACTGGTCTGATCATTACGCATGGGACGATGATGAGGGTCAGTGTATCCCCATGAGTAGGCCGCTGCATTGTACTGACTTCGCCTTGCAGTCTTGACATGGATCTCTATCTATTGGTTCTCGCGAGCCGGACCAGCCGCGTCCTTACGCATTTATTATGAGTACCGAGCGTTAGGTGATGGCGTTAACCAGCCCAAAGTGACTGGCGTGCCGATGGGTGTATCATACTTCCCCGGGGAACCTGTCGTGGCACCCATATCGTCAGTCCTCCTTTTCTGTGTCGCTGAAGTCGTACTAACCGTTGGCATCCATCACAAAGCTGGATGCAAACTGTGGGCGAAGTGAAGTCCTTGACCGAACACCCGAGGGGTGGGCATTTCGCGGCGTACGAGCAACCAGAGGAGATAGCGGGGGCTCTGAGGAAGATGTTCGGAAAGGGCGGCCCTGCCTTTAATGTCGTTCCAGGAAAGACCGGGTATGCTAGCGATAGTTAGAGCTTCTTGAATTTGGAGGCAGCATCCGGACGCGTCGTGCAAAGCGCGTTCGGATCGTGTCTGCTATTTATAGTGTACGCGTTGTGGCGCTCAGCTGTGGCCCGGACTCAGCTGAGCACAACGCGTGGATCTCTAGTGTACTCTGTTTAGCTCGCAATGCCATTACTAATTGGCGTCAACGTACAACTCGGGCTTCTAGGAGCTCTATCCCGCCGGTGTGGGTTCCCTTGCGACATTGGGTCTTGCCACGATACTCAGTAGTCCTCAATGTCCGAACAGCCGTACAAGATCGCCGTCGCGGACGAGGATCTGAATCTCTTGCAGCGTAAACTTGACCTCATACGGTTCCCTGACGAGCTTGAGAATGCCGGCTGGGACTATGGGGTTCCCCTCTCCGACATAGAACGCCTTGCCGCTCGATGGAAAGATGGCTACGACTGGAGGAAGTATGAAGCAGAGTTGAACGAACTCCCCCAGTTTACCCGTGATATCGAAGTAGAAGGGTTCGGGACTTTGAATATTCATTATATCCATCAGAGGAGTCCCGAGGAGAACGCGATCCCTCTGCTCTTCGTCCATGGATGTGAGTTGGCCCCCCCTGTAGGCATGACCAAGTGCATGGACTCGGAATTCATCGCTCTCACTCGATAGGGCCGGGCAGTTTCTTTGAAGCCCGCAAGATTGTACCGCTACTCACAAGCAAGTCTGAACCGGAGCATCCCAGCTTCCATGTTGTCGTGATGGGTCTACCGGGCTACGGATTTTCTGAAGCTCCAAAGAAGAAAGGATTCGCCCTTTCACAGTATGCTGAGGTTAGAGCGCTCGCTGAAACTCGTGACAAGTTAATTGAACCTTTTCCCACCTCCAGGTCGGGAACAAACTCATGCTAGCTCTAGGTTATGATGAGTACGGTAATTAGACTCCAACAATCCCCAATTAGTCTCTCTCGTCGCTCATATTTCGCGCAGTAACTCAGGGTGGAGATTGGGGTTATGTTGTGCGTGTCTACCGTTCTCCGACCTGCACATCAAGCGTGGAATCGAAAAAGCTGTCTCTAGATCACTCGTAAAATGGCAAAGCTTTACGGCGGGAAATATGTCAAAGCTTGGCATACTAATTGCACTCTGTAAGGTCTCGCCCCGCATGCTTGACATAGGCTGATGTAGTTCTGGCCACAGGGCGAGCCCCCCGAGCTTCACTCGCCACCCGGTCCTCGCATTGAGCCATTTCCTCCACACGTACACACCGTTCAGCCCTTACAACGAGTACGAACGCAAGGGACTCGAGCACACGAATCAGTTCCGAACGAAAGGCAGCGGGTACTCCGCAGAGCAGGCTACCCAGCCTCAAACGCTAGGCTATAGTCTGGCCGACTCGCCCGTGGGCTTGCTCGCGTGGATCTACGAGAAACTTGTTCGTTGGACGGATGGCTACAAGTGGGACGACGACGAGGGTAGGCCGCGATTCCTGGCATCAGCGGATAAATCTGATGCTGCGTGACTCGCAGTCCTCACCTGGATTTCCATATACTGGTTTTCGAGAGCCGGGCCAGCAGCATCTCTGCGTATCTACTACGAGACTGTGAAGGATCGTAGCAACCTAGACCTTGTCCCGGGTGTGCCCATGGGGGTCTCTTATTTCCCCGCGGAGCTCTTCGTTGTGCCCAAGTCGTCAGTGCGCTGTCTCTAGAATATGTGCAACATGCGGCTAACTTGTATATTTTCGCAGATGGATGCGTACGGTCGGCGACGTCGTCTTCTTGGCCGAGCACCCTGGCGGCGGTCACTTTGCTGCTCACGAGAAGCCAGATGAGCTCGTGGCGGACCTTAGGAAGATGTTCGGCAAAGGTGGCCCAGCCTTCCATGTCGTTCAAGGGAAGAGCGGCTACAGTGCTTAGCACTGGCTTACGAGCACGTCACCCGCCCTACTGCCTCATTGACTCCTCTACCCCAGAGATAAATACAGTAACAGCCACCTTTGATTGCTTCACCCATGCATATGCCCCAGCTAGTAACCGAATAAACCAGTTACAAACAGTTGGTCGTAGCTACGGTGTGTGCGTGCAGCCAGTGCACACATGCGATAGCGCTAGTCGTAACGGAACGGAGCCAAGAAGATTCTTTGAAATCGTAAAAAGTCCCAAAGACAACAAAATATTCTGCAATAGAACAGAGAAAGCTGTACGATAAACAGCAACGACGAAAACAGAAATTTATTAGCGAAGCCCGAGTTAGCTATAAAGATACTATGTAAGCCGAGGGAACACTAACGCTAAACACTCAGACGAGAATGCGCCAGGAGAGCAGGTCTTCAAGTCATCCGAGTGAAAGCCGAATAAATAACATAAACCATCACTATCCCACAACGACACAAAGCCAAGAAAGATGGCGCCTTGAAGAAAACAGGGATGCGGAACGGGGTATATTTTCAATTGCAGACACCGCAGTCCGTAGTCCCAAGCCGTACACAGATGCGCAGGAGCCATACTAGCATCAAGTCCCCGAGGAACAGACCGTGGGCCTCTACCAGTTCATGGTGTTCTCCCTCAAGATCGGAGTTGAGATCGCGCCGGGCATAACGGGCCTCCGCTCTCTCATGCCCTCCGGGCTGACGCGGTGGTCATACGTCTCTTCCTGCGCTCTCTGCCCTCCATATCCCCGTAACGAGTCTTCAGCAAAGTAGAAACTCCTGCGGCGCTGACCACCTAGACTGTCACGGTCAAACTCGTGGTCAGGGGGAGGAATGCTAGCGGGGTCCGGGTCCGACAGACGGCGATGTGCGAGTTCCTGCCTCTGCTTCACTGAGCGATACACGAGGTAACCCAGCACCAATAGCGTGATTCCACCCAAAGCACTGACGATGCCTATGATGGCATTTTCTCGTACTTTGCTGGACCCGGAGGATGCAGTCGCGCCCCCATTGGAGGATCCAGACGAGGAACTGCCGTTATCACCATTGTTGGGATCCTGGTAAGTCGTCACTGCAAAGGAGCTATCGACGTGAGCGGCCAGCTCAGCTGGCAACCCAGTCGTGCCAGTGTAGAAGGCAGACTGCTTAGCCTTGATTTGCGCCGCCAGGTCGTCAACGAGGTCGGAGGGAATGTAACCCAGCCACATAGTTCCTAACTGGGCTGCATCCGCCGGACCCTTGTACGTTTCTGGGATATACACCTGCAGGGCGTAGGTCTGCACCTGAGAGTCTTCAATTTCAAGTCAGTACAACGATACAACGTATGGTCGAATACACGAACCTGATATGCTCAGAGCGGCTTCCAAGCACTGCGGGAATCCAGAGAAGATCTGACTGGAAGTCATCCAGTTCTGCGCGACGAATTGCCAGTTCAAGCCATAGTCGAACAGGATGCTGATCATAGTGCTGTCGGATGTGTCCGCGGCTGCTGACATGGGGGTGGGCGGGTAAATGCGTCCCGGCAGACTAGATGGCAAAGCCACCGCAGAGGGACTAGCTGTAGCAGTCGCGACGCGCGAGATGGACAGGGTCGTGGCAGGCGCGTCAGGGTTTGTCTGCGTAGTCGATGCGCTCGAGCTGGAACTAGTAGCGGAGTTGAAGATGAGCGACGACTGCGTGATAAACGATGGCAGAGGTGCTTGGGAATACGTGGCGGTCGCGCTCGAAGACGAAGATTCCGACAGGCTCACACTGATGGTCGTGGTGACGGAGTACGACGCAGTGGTGGAGTTCGTCGGGAAGCTGATAGTCACTGTGCCGTTGGAAGAAACGGTCGAGCTGCAACAGAATAGCGGTCAATACCATGGATACACATCATAGGCGGGCAGAGAACATTACCTTCCGGACAGAGGGGAAGTAGTGGTCTGGGAATCGGACACACTGGTGATCACGCTCGTGAAAGAAGACGACGTAATGGTACCACTGATAGTGGTAGCATTTTCTGAACCGGACAAAGTCGAGCTCCCCGAGGTGATGGTCGAATCAGTTGCGGAGGAAGTAACAGACCCAGAGCTCGTGTCCGAGACACTAATGGTCGTAGTGACGGTAGAGCAACCCCAAGTTATACCGAGGGCGGTATCGCAAGAGGTAGATGTGACAACGCTACCGGTCGAGGAACTATCCGTGGTAGCCGAAGAAGGTGCACTGGTCAGCGTACCACTACTGGTCACAGAATCAGAGGTTGAATCCGAGAACGACACAGAGTCTGAGTTACTTGTGGCCGAAGCGGTGGAAGTGATAGTCGAGCAACCCCATGTAATTCCCAGGGCCACATCACATGCGGTAGTAGTAACAGTGCTCTGGACCGACGGACTGTCACTAGATGCCGATGATGGCGCGCTCGTCAGCGTGGCACTGCTGGTCGCAGAACCGCTGGCGGGATCAGAAGACGCCGCATCAGACGGCGCGCTGCTCGTGGAAGTCGGGGACGCGATCGTGGAGCAGCCGAGGGTTATCCCAAGCAGCTCATTGCAAGACGTGACAGGCTCCGCGGAAGTGCTAGAAGAGCTGTCAGAGGCAGAGCTGGTGTCGCTGGGAGCGCTGGTGGTCAGAGTAGGGCTACTAGAATCCGACGAAGGGGCAGAAGTAGGGCTGCTGGAATCCGACGAGGCTGACGAGGGACTGCTCACGCTGCTCGTGTCTGAGGGCAAGGAAGCGGGGGCAGAGGAATCTGTGGAAGTAGGGGATGGAGACACCGTGCTGCAAATGAGACCCAAGAAGCCGCAGCTCGTGACAGGGGCTGAGCTCGTGGGGGAAGAGGTTATGCTGGTCGACGTATCAGTAGGGGCCTGTGTCGTCGAAGCTGATGACGCGGAAGCGCTCGATGTCGTAGAGTCGCTCGACGAAGCAGGGGCCGAAGAGGACGCCGATGAACCGCTGCTGCCTGCCGACGAGGAGCTGGTCCCACTAGAAGACGAGCTAGTGGAGGTCAATGTCGCGGACGAGGCCGACGAAGACCCTGATGACGCAGAATCCGCAGAGGATGAAGATGCCGAGGACGAGACAGTCGGTGTGGCAAGGGAAGGGGGGAGGCCTAGTTGCCCCACAGCAGCTAGAGGCAAGTATTAGTGGGGTTAGAATCAGGGATATCGAAGGCACTCACAAGTGACGCCGGTGCCAATGTCGGATAGACCGTCCCCAAGCCCATCTGACAGTGTGCCCAAAGCATCCCCCAGGTCGCGAGGGGTGCTGCGCCTCACCCTCTTCATGCCCGAACGCCGCGCATGATTATCGAGAGACGAAGCATGGGAAGCATCGACGGAAAACAAACAAGTAGAAACAAGGAAAGCAACGAGGAAACAGAACCTGGCAGAGTACATCGGTCTATATGGCAGATAAATGTCGGTTTTTGCGACGTGGGTGCTGAAGAGCCGGACAGCAAGACGCCGAGGACGGAGTCCGCTAGAGGAACGAGCGTGGATGTACTGCTATGAGGGGCAGCGAACGAGGCGCACACAGACCAGGAGGATGGGACTGGCGGCAACAGCGAGGAAGGGAAAAGAAAGACAGGAAGAGAACAGCAGAATAAATATCGCGTCGTCGTTGAGGGGGAAGCGTGGCGGCAAGACTGGCCGCTTGATATGGCAATCGTTTTCTGATGTAGATCAAAGCCTGCCCCTTGGATTCACCCGTCCAGCAGCTCAGCAACCCACGGAAAGGCGAAATACTGTCTGTTTTCTACGCCCGTTTTTCTGACCTTGCAGAATTCGCAGTAGACGGTAAAGGAGGATGAGTTTCTGCCAAAATCGACCCGCAGCAGTTGTGACAATCCTATAACTGCCTTAGTTACGATGTCTATTCTGGCAGTTTCGAACTTCGAAGTCGATCCTGACAACGTCGCGGAACCAACTGGACGCGCTGCGCCGGTGCTCAGAATCAGATCCAATATCCTATGTTGCAGGAATTGTGGGACGCTTTTAACCTTCCAGACACCGAACTGAACACGTCTGCACAACACTAGCTGATCATGACCATCGAAAAAATATCACTCGGGTGTTTGTTTCACGAGGTACCCATACATTTCCACGGTGGCATCTGTCACTGGCTGATGTCCCAGTTGGGACCTAAATACCCCATCAACCCTCGGCGGTCATATCTTGCTTGGTGCATAAACGGCATGACAGTAGGCATACATAGTGAGTGGATAAGCCAGGGAGTGCACAACGTAGACAGAGCAAAGCAGAAGGAGCGAATACGCCAGGCAACCAGATTAGATGAAACCGATCTATGATACCCATTGAGACGATGTTCCTTGGATTAGGAGGGCGGCAGCATACCTTGTTGGCGACGTCAAGGGCGTCATGGTCCGCAGTCAACCGGACGTATGCCTTCTTCTTACCGTCGGGCCTGGGATTGCGATATCAGCACCATGCCTTTGCAGGACGCTGAAATGCCTAGCAAAAAGCCGCCACACTGACCGGATGAGAGTGTTAACCTTAGCAGCCTGAACATCCCACAGCTTTTTCACGGCGTCCTTAATCTGACGCTTGTTGGCCCGGATGTCGACGATGAAGACAAGGGTGTTGTTCTCCTCAATCTTCTTCATAGCGGACTCCGTGTTCAGCGGCCTGAGCAGTCACACCTTTAGGACACAATAACAAGCGAGAGCCTACCAGACTCACTGAACAACAGTCCGGAACTGGTCCATACGCGGGGCATGGGGGATGCTCTTTCTGGGGTATTTAGGGTCCCGGGCGAGGCGGAGGGTCTTCGGTCGGTGGAAGGAGACGGATGTGCGCGTCTTGCGCGACGAGTGGGAGTGGGTGCCCTGCAGAGCGGCCTTCTTCGCCGCCTTGGCCTTCTGGGCCGGGTTGGGGGCCGTGGATCTTGCTGTGTATCATGTTACACGGTAAGAGATAGTTGCGAAACAGGGGAACAGGAAGACGCACACTTGCCGGTCTTGCCCTTCGCGCTCTTGGTGGTGGCCATTTTTGTGTCTAACGCAGGTCAGGTTTCAGCAGGAGTCCTGGGGCTTACGAACGAATGCTGCAGAGGAGTAGGAGACGGGCAAGGCACCCAAAACACCTCTTCACGCTGTCGATCCATACTCTCGTCCGTCCAAGCCCACCTCTGCATGCCCACCCAGCTGCGCCCCAACCTCATCCGAAGTCAACCCTGTCCATCCATCCCCTACCACTCTTCCTCCGCTCCAAAGGCCTGGATTGACGCACCCCATACCCTCTCTGCAGCATCTAACAGCAGTATCAATCGAGAACAGGACTCACCTTGAGATAACCGACCGGGATTAGTGGGGATGCTGTCGTCTAACTTTCCTTCAGGCGAGCGTTTCCGGAAGCCGTGGGAAGAAGTGAGTCCGCGTGGAATCGTGGTGGATTACCGGATCAGGAAACTACGTAGCCTATGAGTGTGGCTCCTTCAAGAAGTTCAAGTTCGGCTTCCAAGTGCTTGACCACTTGGACGCATGAGACGGATTATATTCCTGCCTATCTCTCCTCGAACATCTACGGTCCCCCTCACGGGTGGCTTCAGGATTCTCATAGTACGGTGAGCTTCTTTCTTTGGTTGTAGTTTGCCGGGCGCTCCGTATAGCTGCGTCTCCATCGGACCCTTTAGCCTCCAGGTAGAATGGGCCAATGAGTGTCATTCTCCAATTCGCGTTGGGAGAGTTATACCATTGGATTCTTCCATACTCTGCCAGTATAACTCCTGCTGGTCGCAGTCACATCATAAGCATCTATCGATCTTATGATGTGATTCCGACGTTGTCCGGAGTCCGGATTGGCTGCCTGGTCTGACGTTTACTTCACTCGGGCAATGCACTTGGCTCCGTCCACTCGTGGTGGATTGGTAGCGAACATAGCGCTGCCACATTTGCCCGTCATTGCACCAGTGTCACCGCGTCGGCCTTACATTCAGTAGCCTCTGAATCTGGAAGGGATGGGTGCTAGCGCTTAGGTGCTCCCTGCCTACAGTCTGTAACATGATGCTTAGTGCGTAATAAGGTCTTTCCGCGCCGGATTAATTATAGCGAGCCAGTGAGTGCCCTGGTCTGCATCATGTTCTCGTATGCAGACATCGGAGGCTTGACCCATCTTCTCCCCCCGACCTGCGCAGTGCAGCAATCATGATTGGCCTGTCACTGTCAATGGCGATGTCCCAAGTTACCAACCTTACTTCAATGGATGCAGTGGGAAGGAGCGCCTGGAAGCCTCCACAGCGATCAGAGTTGACCTACCTGCAACTATATAGGGTCTCCACCCTCCCGCGTGCGAGTGCGAGCCTTTTGCTCCCATTTCTATGTCGACGGACCCATGTTGCAGGCGACAGATTCCGACTTCACCGGCATGCTGGGCATGCTGGAGCCAAGCTCCCTTTTGGCGTTGAATGCCAGCCGTGCTGGAAACTGGACTGGGTTCCTTCCCCACCATGTGTGGAATTGCTGGTGGTACATGGGGGTGAATGACTTGATCCCTCTGCACAGAAATTTCACTATGGAATACATTCACGTCGCGGACCACGAGTGTTGGATTCCAAGCACTGCCGTCAAGGTGTTGGTCAGGCTACTGTGAGAAATCATCTTTCTCTTGCTATTCGGGAGCTCATATAGCCCAGAATCATGCAGAGGTCCTATATGGCTGTTGCGATAGGTGAGTGGTTCTTCGACCCGGATCGAGTAGGGTAATAAATGTCGGGATAGTCGCGCTCCTTCACGACCACGCCGTAACTTTCATAGACGAGGTCAATCGCATGTGGACGCGCAGGCAGAACATCATCACCGTGCTGTTTTTTCTCGTGAGTGTGTTAGCCACAACGGCGGATCCCACGCGTTCGCTAACGCACCGCAGAACCGGTATATTCCCGCTCTGCTCTACATAATCATCGGAATAAGTAGGACCTTCCTCTTCGAAGTACCGTTTGATGTCATTTTGACCGCAACCCACAGGTCTGGCCTCGCCGAGCATGTCATACTCGGTGAGGAATAATGACGAATTTTCGATTAGTGGCTGAACGGTCATCGGCTACCCTCAGTTCTGCGGCCAAGCCCTGCCTCGCATAACACCCGTGCTCATCGTCTTCAGCGAGGCGATAATAGGGAGTAGGCGTCGCTAATTCCTGGCTTTAACGCTCGACGCGCTGACTTCATAGGGACTCACTTGGTTATAGTCCTCCTGATGCTGAAAGTTCGTGCCTTATGGAGGGGAAGTATCAATGCGGCGATTGCGTGGATCATCGCGATCACATATGTGGTAGAGCTGACCATTGGCATTGTGCGTGTCCCAATGACTGTAGTCACTACGTTGGAGTTAAACCAGTGAACTCACAGATGGTGTCCGTAAAACTCGTTGGAGGCGGACCTATAAAGCCGGGTGTTGGCTGTTTCCTGATTTTCAATCCCACGTACGCAAATCCTTCGTCAGCTCCTCCAGGTGTTTTCTTTTACTTAGCACACGCTTTTGTAGGACGGATATGAAAATGCGTATGCTGACTTGCTTCAGTGACATCGCGTAGCTCTCATTTTGAATCTTCTCCAGGGCTCGTCTCTCTCTGGTTCATCAACATCCTGTTCCACGTGATGATCTTCGCCTGCACTCTGAAGCGAACCATCATCGCCCGATACGAAGGCGCCCCAGCGCCGTTGGGTACGCTACTACTGCGAGACGGTTCGTGTATCCTCTTGTGTACCATGGACGCAAGCTCGAGTTGACCCATTGTTTAGGTGCAGCGTATTTCTTGTAAGTACGAATTCGAATGGTAGTATACCTAGCGTGAAAACAGCTATGTAGGATATTGGTGACGGCCAAAGTGACCAATTTAATCCTACTCGTGGTAAGCCTGAGTCGACCTTTACATTAGTTACACGAGAATTAACCGACTACCTTTAGTTTCACGTGAGTCTTTAATAGACGCGTATAGGTCTTTACTGACTGAAGAGACGCAGCCAGAGTACAACTCCGTCAACTGGGCGTTTAACCATGTGTACGTGCATCTATGTTTAACTCAATCGTATCGCTAATCCCTATACGAACGTAGTTTCGACGTGAGCACCTTGATCCTCTCGAGCATGGATAGATGTTAGAAATTGCCAATTAGGTAATGCTAACGTCCCGGCTCCTACTCAACCTGCGGCGAGCGCTCAGCGTTGGCGCTTACAACCCCGTGAACCCCGTCATAGCCACTTCCGTCACCCTCCAGGCAAAGGAGAAACTCGCCAAGCGCGACCCCGAAGCGGTTCTCCTCTTCCGAGACGAAGACGAGGAGAGGGAGGAAAGGCCGGGCACTATCGAGATGCTGAAGCACATCCTCCAGGAAGACGGATACAACTGGAAAATATTAGATGTCTTCAGGCCACATAGAAAGTCTTGCCCTTCGGTGCCCAGACAGCGACGATGGAGCAAGCGCCGATACTCGATATGAAGGGGGACTGCAGTCCAGCGGACATGTATTTATATCCTGGACTTTGCTATGGCAGATTTCGGGGGTTGTATTCTGTTTTATGTTCCGTTGTATCATTTCTCCCTCTCAATTACGATAGACGAGAATAGAAATCAGACTGACAAAAAGCAGATTGAAAATGCAAGTTGTCTTATAAACCGTCCCATGTCCCCCCTCCAACCTCACTCCATACCTGCCTAGCTGTATCCTTCTCGCTTCTGCTCAGTAGCATTAGTACGAAGTTGAAACGAGGGACCCTCGATAGGCTCGACATGTATTGCTTCACGTCTTCCTTGACCTGCTGATTTGCATTGGGCGAACGCAATACGTGAAGGAATGTTGCCAACATCGAGACAAGGAGAGACGGCTCTAACGACGTTTGAAAGAGATAAGGTAGTGATGACGGCGGAATTTGCTGCGCCAGACAAGTCAGCTTTTATTCACTCACATGACCCTCCGTAAGGTCGAAACTTACGCTTAAGAGGCACCATCGATCGTCGTCAGATTTTGCGGACTCCCATTTCCTTGTGAATGCGAACAACGTTAAGGGAGATCGCTCCGAGGTCACGCTAGTCGAGGCTGCTGTAGGTATCTTCGCTGCAGACTCATCCAATTTCGCCGTTCCTGAGGCTCCCGCGGTGACGGAGGGAGCAGGTGCGGGTGGTGATGAACCGTTGCCCCTCTCTTTATTCCCAAATATGACATGTTCTCCAGAGCCACGAAATATACCGCCGCCTGCTGCACGGCTAGGTTTCGAAAAGTCTCGAGCCTGTTTTGCCTCTCGGAACGTCGATGGCTTCGCAGGAGGCGACGACGACGCGGGCAATACTCCGGAAGAAGAAGCAGCGTTGTCCTTGTTCGACGAACTTCCAGGCATCGGGGGTCCCGGAGCCAGAGCCCTAGATGAGACTGGCTTCATTAAATCATCTCCCGGAGATGTAGTGGCGTTGGATTGCGTTGTCAAGCGGTTCAGCGACGATATCGATTTACTCGACTCTGCATCGTCTACATCAACTATTGTTATCGGGACCCTGCGGCGGCGTTCCTTAGCTGGAGGGGATGGGTTAAGGGGAGGAGGGCTAGGGATCGCTGCATGTGCGGCTCCCTATAGGGGGAGGCCTGAGCAAACAAACCGCCGTGAAACGCACCCACATACCGAGCGTTCTTTAGCTCTCGCGTAGGCTTTCTGCATCAATTCCTGAGCTTTCTTCAATTCCGCTTTGACTGATTCATTAGATGGCTCGAGCCGCAGCGCATGCTGAAGATCTTACAGATGACCTCGTCTGGTACGCGCGTCCATATCGGGAGGAATTAGCAGGAACCTACCTGCCTGAGCCTCCGCGTATTTCTCCAGACCGAGCCGCGCCTGACCCCGGCGGAAGTAGGCCTTCGCATTTTTTGCACTCAGGCCGAGGACGGTGGAGCAGTCTCGCTCGGCGTCCTCGTTTCTAATGTATAGTAGACCTATGAGAATCCAGGAGAAAGGATGTCCGCTAAACACGTACTTGCCTAGTTTGAGGTATGCAGCAGCGCGGTTCAGCGGGAACGTCGGGTCCTTGTTATCAGCGATGATGGCAGACGTGTAATGACCGATCGCAGCAGGATAGTCGCCTGATTTGAATGCTGCGTTTCCCTGGCCATGGGTGTCACTTGTCAGGTTGAATTCGGAATATATGGAATGCGCACCTTTTCCTTGGCCGCCTGTGCACCGGTTGACGCCATCGGGTGTGTTCGTTTGCCGCCGAGGATATTGATTGCCACGTCTGCTGCCTCTGATTCAGACGCTGCCTCGGGTTTCGTGGTTCAGTTGCGGAGAGACGTAAAGTCGACCGGTGAGTGCAGTTCGCGTGCAGAGTGATGGCAGACGTCAAGTCGCGTCGGGCAAATGTGGCCCCCAATCAAACCCACGCGACGTGGTTCCCGTCTGCCAATCTGCTTTGAAGCCTGCCCAAGTGACACACGGAGCCCAATTGAAACTCGTGTTTTTCATTTGAATGTAGTGCCCATCTTTACGTTGAATAGCAGTATGGCTGCAATCAGCCCCTCCAATTCCATCCCCCATCGTACGCATCCTCTGTGCCCGACCCATGAATCCGCTCACCCCTCCTGTCTCTCCGCCTCGCCACCCAGCCTCCCTCAGCCGGCCAGTCCCCACTGAAGCCCCCCGGCTTGTGCACTCTTTCAATCAGCAGAAGAACTCTGTCTTGAGCTTGTCTGCGGACGCTAATCATATCTACAGCGGTAGCCAAAGCCAGGACATATGTGTGAGTCATACAGCCCTCTAGCTCTCCGGAAATGAGAATTGACCTCGTCCTATACAGGTTTGGGACAGAAACACATGTACGTTAAAGACGACGCTGAAAGGCCATACGGGTAGCGTGCTTGCTTTAGAGTACGCGGAAGACATGGACTGGTTATTCAGTGCATCCGGTAGGCTGCACCATGACTGTTCTCCTTCCTAGCCATAATAATCACCGTCCCCAGGCGATAGTACAGTTCGAGTAAGTATCGGTCCCCGCATGTGTCACCCACTTCTCACCGTAGCGGAAGGTATGGTCGACAAAGACTCACAAACCTTTATTCGTGCTGCATCCCTATCTTGAGACCGACGCAGGCGATATTTTCTGCCTTGTCTGGAGCCGCACGTTCCAGACAATTTATTTCGGCTGTCAGAACACGTCCTTACAATGGTATCATTTTGATGCCCAGCACAACATATTGGAGCAGCACCAGCCTAGCTCTGGAACATCCACACCCAGTAGTCGTGCCAGGAAAGCCCACAAGTTCTTCGACAGCTATCCTCAGTATGAAAGGCGTCCGGCGGACATATTTGCGATGAACGGTTCTTTAACCCCGTCAACCACATTCTCGTCCGACGGTGAATCTTGTGTACAACTACCCGCTCCTGTGCCGTTACCCCGAGCGGTGCTGCATATCCCGCCGGAAAACGTAGTGGACTCCGCCCACTATGGATATGTTTATTGTATGGCATTGTTGCCGTCTAATAGGGAAGGATCGGACGATCCTGATTTATCCAACCACGGGAAGACATTGCTAGCCACTGGCAGTGGAGACGAGAGCGTAAAGGCGCGTTTCTCCGGTCTTGCTCGAAAATTACGACTTACTCTGATCCTGTAGCTTTGGAATTGTGCCGCACAGGGACTTACCCTGCTGCACACCTTTGAGTGTTGCCATGGCGCAGTCTTATCCCTCACTGTAAGAGGGGACACCATCTTCGCAGGATGTCAAGATGGCTACGTCAAAATCTGGGACCTTGAAACCAAGACGCTAGTGCGCACGATAATCGTGCAAGAGGTCTGTCTTCGTTAGACACACTTTTACCCGCCGTTAAATATCATTTATTCAGGGTGTAGATGTTCTATCCTTGTCGATGCTATACTCTGATCTCTATACCTGCTCAGCGAACGGACAGGTGCAGGTGCGTGGCTCTTTAGTTCCCTAGACACACGATGATCAATAACGTTGGCATGTTCAGCGCTGGTCTGCCTCTTTTGATTGCTCCGCATCCTGGTCCGCCCACGACGGGATTGTTCTGTCTTCCATCATGATGCGCTGTGCACAACCGAACCATTTCCGTCTGGTGACTGGAGGCAATGACGATCATATCAAGGTCGCGTCCTAGTGCTTATCCGCCCACGAGAAGAGCCTTGCTGAATGTCGTCATTCTGAGTAGGTATGGGAGGTTGAGCCGCCTACTTCCCGCGCATCGCACAAAATAGACGGCCTTCCCGCAGGTGACTCGGAAAGCATAGATGGTGAGCTTTCATTCACACAAGATATACGTGAGATGTCTCACGTTGCAAAGATATCATGGTCTATGCGCTCTCCAAGTTCGTCTCGATACCGAGCATAAGCAATAGCCCTGCCCATCAGGAAGACTGTCGGCAGGCGGCTATCTGGCTCAAAAAATGTTTTAATCAGCTTGGTGCAGATGCGTCCTTGGTACGCCGAGGGTAGCCATTGTCTCTGCTGTCATGTCTGACAGCGATGCTGCAGCTGCCCGTGGCAGAGGGGAAGAATCCTTTGGTATTGGCCACGTATCGTGGAGCGCAGCTAGAGAAACCTAAACCACGTATTCTATTCTATGGGTAGGTATTCGCTCTGCATACTCTTACCGCCAAGCTCATCAGGTCGAGCAGTCATTACGATGTAATCAGCGCATATCCCGAAGGGTGGACTTCCGACCCGTTCGTGCTATCCGGGCGGAACGGGTATCTGTATGGGCGCGGTGTGACTGATAATAAGGGCCCCGTCATTGCTGCAGCATCGGCAGCGGCGGAGCTGCTCAGCAAGCGAGCCCTTGGCGTGGATCTTATCTTCCTGGTTGAAGGAGAAGAAGAGGCGGGCAGCCGCGGATTTGCGGAAACGGTTCGGAGGAATAAGGTAGGTAAATCGACGCCCTGGGTCGGTAAGGGATTAACAGTCATCAGGACCTTATCGGGCATGTCGATGCTATTCTCGTCAGGTGAGGCACCCTTGCGAACGCTATCCATTTTCCCTCTGATATGTACACTCGCAGTAATTCAACCTGGATTACTGAGGACCCACCGTGCATAACATACGGTCTTCGAGGTGTTGTCCGATGCAGCATTGAGGTGAGCTTTCAGACGCCAGTGCTGGTTTGGGGATCTCATATTACTCTCCAGATATCGAGCAAGCGGCCTGACGTCCATTCTGGAGTGGAGGGAGGTGCAGTGGTTGAGCCTATGTTTGATATGTAAATTCAGATACAGTGCTGTTCCTACATACCTTCTAACGTTCCATGGCAGGGTCAAATTATTGGCAACACTCATGGATGACCAGAGGCGCGTCCTGATCGACGGATTTTGTGAGGGTGCTTATACCCTTCAATATGAGTCCTTACTGATAGCGCTTGTACAGATAAGGATGTCCGACCTATGACGGAAGATGAGCAGCAATTGTATCGGTTGCTGTCTGTAGTCACCCAAAGGCCCGCCTCGTCATTATCATCACGATGGAGAGAGCCATCTCTCACTATCCACGGAGTAGAGGTATCTGGCCCCAAAAGTGAGACATACCAATTACATTGGCGTGGTCTTGCGACGAGTTCCTGACGTTGTGCTTTGCAGATCCAACCGTTATACCTGCGCAAGTTAAGGCTCAGGTGTCTATACGGATAGTTCCGGATCAAGACTTAGATACTATCGCTGGTTCGCTATGCAGGCATCTGCAGACCTCGTTTCTCAGACTGAACTCGCCGAACGAATTGAAGGTACAAACGACTCCCCCTTGTCCGTCTACATATCCGGATTGACATCTGCGAATCTCATAGGTAGCCATAGACCACAAGGCGGATTGGTGGTTGGGTAGTCTGGAGGACCCGTACTTCCAAGCTCTGGAGATCGCCATCCGAGACGAATGGGGTGTGGACCCGTTAAGGATACGAGAAGGAGGAGTAAGTCAGCCGTATGCGGTTCACCCCGATTTTATCCCTTACCTGAACCTTTCTGCGACCAGTCAATCCCGAGTATACCATACCTCGAGAAGGAGTTTGGGTGCCATGCGCTGCATTTGCCGATGGGCCAGAGTTCGGTAGGTCCTGCAAACTTCTGCGAGTGCAGGAATAATCATTTCATGCTGCTTTTCAGGACCAGGCCCATCTAGCGAACGAGCGGATCTCGCTCACCAACTTGCGCAAAGGCAAGTCGGTCATCGAGCGGTTCCTGGGGAGTGTAGCCGGTAACAAGGAGTCCGGCACTGACAATTGCTGAGAAATAGCATGTTTCTGGCTAGGCGACACCTAATATTTCAATGGTCTTCGATTAAATACTCTACGAAACTCATGTAGTATCCCTCCTGCACCACAGGCGTCATGTACTGTATTGTTCGTTATATAATCTCTAGTGATGCACTCACCATCACGATCGAGGCTGCAGCGGAACCACACACTGTTCAGTAACTCCAGTACATACATATCAAGCATGCCTGGCGGCCATATTATACTCCGGGAGCGCACAACGAAGTCAATGAGCCCAAGCTCAGCCTTCCAGAATCCAAGACTGCTGTATACACGGGGAATTCTGTCATCGAAAGCAAGTTCAATGACATTACTGTCCCGAATGTCGACGCGACCGGGACGCGTCCCGGTGCGGAAGGCGCCGGAAGCCGAAAGTCGGCCTGGGTATAGCCATATTTGGAGGGATGTCGGCCGATGGCCTGGCGATGGGCCGGGTCTCCGGATATGGCTGCAAGGCGCGCGTCTGGTCCTCTCACCCGCGTCTCATTAGCGTGTTCTGTCGCGGCGGGCAGCAGGCGCGTCTACCTCGATTTGCTTGTTACTGCCCTAACTCTGCTATGAACGGGAGTCACTGGTATCCTTCTCAGGAGGCGGATAGACAAGCTTACGGTGGTCCAAATACCTCTGTGGGCAGGAACGCGGCAGACGCTGTGCAGGATGCTCATAAGTTATTTAATGTATACCCTCTCGCGTCCACTACGCCGTCCACGCATGGTATGCAGCCCTCAGTTCAATACTTACAGGACGCATATACTGACTGAAACTAGTTGCAAGACATCTGAGCAATTTAACTATCAGTGCTAATACTCCCTCCTATATCCAACCTCTTAATTACAATGCCCGCGGTGCGTCAGGTCTTCCAGCAAGCTACGCGCCCTTTCCGGAATATAGCAACGAGTTTCGTCATCTGGCTCAGCCGCAAGCTCCTTCCGATGGAGGGTACTGGGCTGATACAAGGAACGACGCGGTGAGATATCTGGGAGAGTCAGGCTCGTGCGTACTATCTTTCATCATTCACGAGTGCAGTCTCCACATCTGACACTTGAATCAGCGGATACTCTCATTACACTCCTGCCAGCTGGACTCCATCGCCGTCGCATTCTAGTTACCATACTAATGCATTTGCCCATTCCGTATTCCAGCATACCGCACCCTCGGCTTCCTACCCTACACCGCCGCCTCCAGGTATCTCTGCTTCATCGTCGTCGCTGGCATTCGCCCTGGTAGAACCCAAACCGAAGCCCAAGAGGCCCGTGTATCGTCCTGAAGATTCGCAGGAATTCTTCAATGAGTTTCTGTCACAAACCGGACAGCGCATACAATCCACACAGTCCGTGAGCGCGTCCGGCCCAAGTGTACCTAGGCAAAACTCTTCGCAACAGGTCGGGCGGAGAGCGCCCATTACCACCCAGACGCCATATGTGGCGCCTCCTGTACAGACACGTCGACAGACGGGGTTGCATCCCCCATATCAGCCACCTCCGCAACCTCTGCAGCAGCATGCATATATCGGTCACGCAACGCAACCCCCTCGACAGCAGCCCAAACAGTCGCAGGTTCCCAGAGGGCCACAAGCAGCTGAAGCATCGGTATATGCGGAACCTGTGACACCTCCTCGTCGTAAACGGTCGCCTGCACCACACTCAAGTCCTGATCCTCTGAACCTTGCGCCGACATCGCCTACGCCCTATCAGCTTTCTGCGGTAACGCCTCTGAAGCGTAAGAGTCTACACCAATTAGGTTCACCCTCGGTCAAGAGAATGCCGCCGTCGGACTCCTTTGGGTCACCTTTGACCCAACTGTCTCAAAAGTCTTCAGACGCGTCTCCAACGCAGACCCCAAGGCCTCAGCCTTTCGTTTTACTTCCAACTTTATCGCAAATAAGTTCACCTAAGTCTGCGACGCCGAAGGCCACAGCACCGAGGCCGTCGGAATCGAAAAAGAGGCTTCATGCATACGTGGAACTTCCCCCCTTGCCGAAGGCTTATCTGACTCCATCGTCTAAACGCCATACGTCCACCCCTGGTTCGAGAATGGACGTTGATGACGAGGACGATTTGGGAGGCTATGGGCCTGTCGACGATTCGCCGACGCGTCGCAAAGGCGAGGGTTCCAGGAGCGTCTCCGATACTGTGAAATCTTCAGCGAAGAGGACCGGCGATAGAGACGATCGAGGTACGCCTTACCACGGGTTGAAACGAACTTCAATTTGACTCCTTTGTCTCAGTGCCATTAGAGAAACTTAGCTCACTTTTTGAAGATGTATTCGAGGCAGAGGATGCACTCCCGCCGGACGCCAGCGTCCAGGATTTACCTTCTGAATTCTTCGTTGCTCTCACAACCGATGGTTCTCATCCCTTATTGCACCCGAACCTTATCCGCAAGCTCATCAAGTATATCGGCAAAGTGGCTCGTCCTACTAAGCGTCTACGACTTTCTGCCCGCGAAGCAGGTGGGGGGACACCCCGCGCTAAGGGTGGAGTAGCCGAGTTGGACATGGCATCTCTATCACGCATCCTCAAGATGCTTGAACGGAATGTTAAGGCCGGCGAAGACCTTGAACCCTTCGGTAATTTTGTCTCTAACTCAGAACGAAAGTTATTGTCACCGAGCAAGGGCAAGGGTGGAAAGAAGGCCTCCAAAGCCTCCCGGAAGGCGCCAGATTCGCAAACCTCTGCTGGACAAAGTAGTGCAGCTGGTTCCAACGATGCATCCGAAGATATCATAGATGATGCAAGTCAAGAAGCACAGGAGGTAACTGAGGCTGACTTGAGTCGCTTGACAAGCGTGTTAGAGACTGCCCGTGACAGCATCCTTGCCGCTGACTGTTGCATCGCCTTACTTGCCAGCGATCGGTTGCCGAAGCAGGTGCGTTATCCAACTGTCATTGCGACAAAGCCAACGTGCTTCTATTAACATGCCTGCCAAGTTGTATTCCGAGGAGTTAATCACAGAATGTTTCAGCACTATCAAGAACCAGCTTACCAAGATTCTCTACCCGTTCGTGGAGGCGGCTTCGGATTTGAATGGCAAGATGCATCCTCTTTTGCGCCACATGCTCGACACGTCGTCGGCTCTCGCCAGAGAGCATAGACAATTACTGAGCGAAACTTTTCAAGCGCTCTCTGCAGTACTACCTCGTGTCAACAACCTTATCTGTGCCGATGTTGTTTCTATGTCGGAGAGCATAATTATCCAGGCTGTCTATATTGCTATCGGACCCTTCTTCGTGGCTGACACCGGAAGCGACGGTGAAATAAAAGGCAAGGGAAAGAAGGAGAACATAATCTTTAGTACGCTCGGGAGTAGTGCCATGAGGGGTCTTCGTCTGGACGCCCTCTCTCTTATCCGCAGCGTTCGTGTTATTATTCTTTTTCTCCTTGTTTTGTCTGAACCATGCTACAGATCTTTGCCAATCATGAAGATCAGCGCTCTTGGATTGTCGAAGAGATTCTGTCCTCATTAATCAAGCTTTCGGACGTCAAGCAAAAGGCTGGACAGTTCCGGTAAGTGTTCAGAGACACAGCCCATCACTCTATAGTTGTAAATATTCTTATAGATTGCGCGACGGGCGCTCTATCCGTACTGTGTCTGCCCTCCTTTTGCAACTTGTACAGACGTCCGCGCATGATGTGCGGGTGGAGGCACGGAAGCTCGGCAAAGCCAGACAACAGGCTCTTGCGCTGCGTCGCCAGGAGAGTATCAACGAGAAGCTGGAGGAGCCATTACTCAATGATACGGACAACGAGGTAAACTTCAGCACTCGTTCTGCTATCTTTAGGAACATTTCTTACGCCATGCAGGAAATTCGAGTGTACATGTCTGGCCTTGAGTCCGCAACTAAGGTGGCCAAGACTATCGTTCTCTTTCTTACTCAAAGGTCTGTTGTTCAGGAGTCGCATGACGATTATTGACATGGACACGTACTAGATCCGGGAAGACTAAAACGACAAAGAATTCAAATGAAGCGGAATACAGGACCATTTTCGATAACCTTATATCAGACTTACTTGTCGTCTTGTGGTGGCCTGAGTGGCCCGCTGCGGCCCTTCTATTGAGTGTAATATGCAAATTCATGGTCAGTACGGAGCAAAGCGATACGACGTACGTTTAATTACTCTGAACGCAGGTCTCTTGCTTGGACGACATCAAGACGAGCCAAAACGAAAACAACGCGGCAAAGACAATGGCCCTGGATCATTTGGGTGTCATAGCGGCCCGGTTGAGGTCAAGCGCATTGAAGTACCGTAGGGTCGAAGATCGCAAAGCCATGGGGTTGAGACCCCTCGACGAGGTGATTATCGGTGTTTCACCTCGTATGAAGACAAGAACTTAAGTCGTCATTGTAGATACTTCCTGAGGGAGACATCCAGCAGTTGAACAGACTTCTCGCTGCCCACCACGACGTTGTAGCTCATCTGTGCAAGCGGGCTTCCGAAGACCAGGCATATGATGTAGGTTCGATCTCCCGCCGGAGTTGAATTCGACTGAATCTTCTTATGAAGAGTGCGCGTGAACTCACAGCCGTCGCCTTTGGCCAAGAATTAGCCCATGCGCTAAAGCAGATAAGCCTGTGGTTGCAGCCAGATGATGACGACTTCGATCCCAAGGTTGATCGCACGGAGATAATGCCATTTGCTCGCAAGGTCAAGGACTCCCTACGAGACGTCTGGAAAGACCCTGCGACCGATGTCTTCGATGTCGCGTAAGTGTAATCGCGAAATCTTCACAGCAGTGGTTAACTTTTGTAAAGTTCACAGGATGAGGTGGTTCGTGTCGACCGTTTAGCCGAAGAGATGGGTACGATTCAAGGACTCAAGAACTCTTTCCAACCGATCTTGAACAAAATCTTGTTATCACTCGATGCTCCCCCGGTCTTCATGCGCTCCAAAGCCCTGCGAGCACTGGGACAAATAGTCACCAGCGATCCAACCATTTTGTCATCGGTGAGCTCATTTATAGTCCATGCCCGGTCGCGGCACTTACCGCGTTCACTAGGATAATGTTCGCCGTGCTATTGAGAGCCACCTACTGGATAGTTCTCCGGCGGTACGCGATGCTGCGGTCGAACTGATCGGCAAGTATATGGTCGATTCACCGGAAGTTGCAGGCAACTATTACCAGAAGATAGCCGACCGAATAGCGGTAAGCCAAGAAGATATGTCTGGAATCTACGACGTTGCTGATAGACTAATTGTAGGATACTGGTCTTGGTGTCAGAAAGCGAGTCATCAAGCTTCTCAAATCTTTCTACGCCGTTATCGAAGATCTTCCTCGGAAAGTTGATATATGCACGAAACTGGTGTTGCGTATGTTCGACGAGGATGATTCCGTAAAGGACCTGGCCGTGAAAACTGTTGAGGAACTTTGGTTCCAGTCTACTGCTTCTTCACTGAATGCTCGACCTGCATCCGTCAATCCTCGTGACAAGACTGCTCTCTTGTCCAAGGTTTCGGTGATCATGGGAGTTGCCGCCAACTTTAAGGATAGACAGTCCCCCTTGGAAGATATCTTGCATAAAATCATGGCTGACAAGACTGGCTCTGAGGCCGCAGCACTCCACGAACGGTACACTGAAATGTGCGAGACGCTGATCGACGGGCTAGTGGATGCTTCCGATCTGCCGGATTTCGTGCGTCTTGACCCATGTGCTCATACCCCTACGAATTTGTACTGACTGCATGATTTATAGTCGGTCGTGAATTGCGTGCGGACCATCTATCTGTTTACGTCGGCTTATCCCGCCGTGTTGTCGGGCGCCCATGCGTCAACGCTTTTGCCATACCTCAAGAACGCCGCAACAGTAAGTACTATCCCGTTTATTATGACATCTCAACTCAAGTCTGCATGGTAGCCGGAAGAACAAGTAACCTCCGACTACCTGCTGAAGATATTCAGGGCATCTATCCCCCATATGCCGAAAACGGCGGCGCAGTTTGGAGCCGATTTGCAACAAGCGCTGCAGCCTATGATCATTAAACCGTCTTCTGCTGGCGGTGTGCAGGTCCGTATTAATATTTCCTCTTGTGAGAAGCGTCCTTATGGAGTCACCTGTCAAGACGTTGCAAGAGACTGTAGCCTGCGCTTGTGCAGTCGTTTCCCATCTTACCCACGACTTTTTGCGCCTCGTCGCGCTGTTAAAGTCCTGCAATGGTAAGACGAACGTGGAACATGTCTTACTGTTGGCACCTTTGACGTTCTTCCCCTAGCGCGCTTACAGCAGCACATTGCTAGACCAGTCTCAAAGCCGATGACGCCTGTGGAAGCCAGGGCGCTCAATATACTGGTTTTCCTAGTTGCATTATTGGGTGAACATTGCGACTTCGACCGTGTACGGAGAGAAAATGAAGGTAGGGCACCTCCACGCCTGGATGCAACATACCTAATCATCTATCCAGCGTTGGCGATCGATCTTGATTCCATAAGCGAGGTAACAAAAGCTTTATTAGTATAGTCGACGGCGGCTTACACCTTTCCAGGGGTCAATAGTTGAACATATATACCTTAGCTTACTCCAACTCTATGAGAAGCATTCGGATACAGGCCTTCGGGGTCGTCTACTGCAATGTCTTGGTAGGTCTCGAGCCACAATCCTCCCGACGTCCATTTTTCTCTGACACCAATTGTACATCACAGGTTTCCTTTTCCGCGCTCAGCCTACACTGATGACGTTGGAATCATCGGCAGCTGTGATGGATGCTATTTTCAATGCTGCTGAAGAGGAACCCCGTGCTAGGCTGCTGAAGATTATTCAGGATTTTCTCGTCTCCGAGGCTGCCAAGCACTCCACGAAAGAGAAGGGTGAGTTCCACGACATCGATGCTAGGTTTGAATCTGAAACCCTCAAAAGAAAATGCGAGAATGAGATTGAATAAATCAGAAGTGAACATGGAGGAACTAATAGGTAATACGGATGGATTCGCGGACTCCGGGTAAGTCTCCTTCGCACTCGCTCTGATGAATGTTGCTTACGCGGATTAATGAATAGTGTCAGTTCGGCGGTGGTTCAGCGATATCTGGACCCCATTCTGCAAGCTGCCCTGTCGCAGAATGCGCAGGTGCAAGCACCAGCCGTGGATATCCTGAGTTTCACTATCAAGCAGGGTCTTGCACATCCATTACAGTCCTTTCCCGTTATCGTGGCCCTGGAGACTAGTCCGAATACTTCACTGGCCAGTCGTGCTACTGCACTACATCATATCCTCCACACCAAGCATGCCTCTCTGCTGAACGCTCGATATGTCATCAGCGCTCGCGCTTCATTTGACTATCAGAAGAAGCTGACCCCGGGGCACGTGCAAGGCTTCCGTTTGCATCCATCTCCAACCGCCTTACTGCAGCGCTGGTATTCCCTTGTACGGGAAAAACGAGCTACCAAGCTTGATTTCCTGAAAGCCCTGACGAAGGTCTTCGACGTACCGGCATCATTACAATGCACGCAGGTATGCCGGGCGCTCGTTGAATTGACCGCAATATCTAAACCATGATGTCCATTAGGATGAAATCGAGTTCACGCGCTACATGGCTGAGAATTTTGCTGCTTTAGATTTCAAGACCATCGAGGAGGTGCTCGTAGTGATCAAGCATCTGACTTCGGTCCTTTCCACAGCCGGCATGCAACTAGTGGAATCGATATCGCCCTCGCATCTGCTAACCCAGCTACGAGGGAACTCACACCTCGAACCTGCGGGTACTGGAGCACCGACGGTAAAGTCAGCTATTATAGTACGTGTTGACGTGTCTTCTCATTACACCCACTCTTTAGGGTGTGGACATGGCTACTCTAGCATCATCTGATCAAGGTAATGTCGTCCTGTCTGGGACATTGAGCACCACTGAAGGACCTTCTATAGCCCACTCTGTCGCCCCAATGCCAGAAGAAAAACTCCCCCTCCTCCGCGCCTCCGTCATGATTGCCATGATTATGCTTCTCAAGGCCTTTCTGAAAACGTTGTATGGCTTATCAGAGGAGTACGTTTCCTCACATTGCTCACTGTCCGTGAGCTGATATACGGGCTTTGCAGAAAATGCTCTAAGTGGGTTCCTGGAAAAAAGAGTGCGTTGGGCGACAAGCCTGCGACCAAGCGGCACGAACATCCCATTTCTTGGGACCGTCTTCCCTTTGCTCTCCGGCCGATTCTCACATCGGAGGATATGGAGAATCAGCGGGCTCGGGTGCGTATTACATATGTGAGAACGAACAGATCATTGATCACCTAGCCTCTAGTTCCTTGATATCTGGATGGAGGATGGAGTAACTGCCGAACCCGAAGACGATTTCTCCTAGCACCGGCCCAGGATTGTGAGTGTCGTGAAGCGGCGTCGCCTTTTCCCGGTGCATGCTTTGTGTTCAGTCGATGTGTTGTCTGTTGTATCTTGTTCCTGCATTATTTGTTCTATCATTATTTGTTGTCGTTACCCCGGGACTATCATGTTTCTTATTGCTATCGCCTGGTCTGGTTCCAAGATTCTTTGCATTCGAACGTTCCACTTGCAAGATACCGGTACAAATACATAGACAAGACAGCGTATTATACGTAGCAATACAGTAGCAATTCTACATCTATAATGTACATGTCAATATGCAATGTCCTTCCGAACCGACCGTCCATGTTAATCCCCTTGATGAAGCTAGCCTCATTTCGTCCTCTCGGGTATAACCACCTTGCCGTCGACGAATAGACATGGGCCTTTAGGGACGCTGTCCCCAATGATTTTCCTGGCGTCCTCGTCGAGGTTGGGCTCGTCCTCGAACTTGAAGTCCAGCTGGCCGCCGTATATCTTGGGCAGGTTCTCCACGTCGATGAGCTTGAGCAGCGTGGGCCCCGGATCCGAGCCCAGGACGTGGATCTTGTTTCGCGTCCCCTCGTCGAACCAGTTCTGCCCGCACGTTCAGCACTGGTATTGATGACAAACGAGTATCGAAAGAGCGCACCTTTATCCATCCCCACACGGTTCCGAAGTAGCTCGGCGCGTTCACGACGGCGACGGTGTGCAGCGTCTCGGGATAGTTGGCGGTGGCCATGGTGCTGGCTTGCTGCAGGTGGCTCCGGAGGGACCACAGCGTGCCGATGGAGCAGTCGGCGAAGTCGATGATGGAGTTGACGGCCACGATGGGGACGGGCGGGTCGCCGGGATGCGGGAGGTACGTGCAGAGAGGCGTGGTGAAGCGGGTCATGAATTCCCACAGCGCGGTGCTACGGGGGCAATGGCGTCAAGGTCGGCGAAGAGGGGAGGGGAGAAGACGTACATCCGCTGGCGCCTGCGCTCCTGAGGAACTGCCTGCAGCTCCTTGAGGACGGGCCCGCTGAGCGCCGCCAGGCGGTAGACGTATACCGGTACGCCCTGCTTGTCCCGCCGACCGGTCCACCGGGGATAGAAGCGCTTGGCGGACTCGAACTCCTCTGGGTCGAAGTTGGCGTAGAGGTTCTCGATGTCGTTTTCCTTTCGCCAGGCCTCGGCGTCGGAGAACTGCTTCTGCGCTTTCTGGACGTCGAACTTGCGCGCGCGAAGGAAGCGCCTGGCGAATGGTCTGTGAGACGACCCTCGTTGAGTGAGGGTAAATGAAACGTACAGGAGGACAGCGTCGTCGTGCGATGGGGGTGTCGACTCGTCGCCCGGCTTGTAGAGGCCTGCACTGCTGAGGTTCTGCTTGAATCTCTCCAAGTCCGTTTCCTGGTCGGGCGTGAGATGGCCGGGGTGGCCTGCGAGGATGTCGTAGCCAGAGTTCGAGGTGCTCATTGCGGCGGGCTGTACGATAGTCTTGATACGAGAGGGATGCTTGGAATTGCTGTTGTGTTGAACAAGGAGGGGAGGGTTTTATGTGGAGAGGCGACGGATGTCTGACTGAGGCGCGCGCGTCATGCAGCTCTCCGCGCCGATGACTGATCGAGATTTCCGCGCGGCGCTCTCGCGCTTGGTTTGCTGCAGACGTCCGTTGGACGTCCGTACGGTTAACCTCCTTTGTCTCGCCACCCGCGCGTATCGTCGAGGCGCAGGGCGGGATTCCTCTGAGGGCGTGAGACCGGTCTAAAATCGACCGGTATATTCGTTCGCTAGACAAATCAATTTCGGTCGGTAGAAGGCTGAAATTGTCCGCTTACCGTACGAAAGACACCATATCATTTTGTCCCACCAAATTGTGAATTTCGACCCCCCCTCAGAACGGCCGAAAATGACATTTTCCAACCGTTTAGTGGTCTATTTCCATCTGGTCATGCAAACCACCATTCCTTGGCTTTGGCACCCCTAGCAGTCAGTGTGCAATGCAGTTGAGGCACCAACATATATGTATATTCTCTATGTAGAATAGTACAGCAAACTGTGTCATACCCGCCCTGACCCTGAACCATGCATCCCCCAGCCCCCCCTCCTCGGGGCTCCCTATTCAAATCCCTACCAACAGCAACAACACAAAGACTACCTGCCAGATGTTAGATCAGTAGAAGTCATACCACGGCCTCAAGGAAGCACTCATGTACTCGCATAGCTCGACACTGGAGATGGCGGCAAGGTGGTTGATATACCGATCCTGTCGAGATATCTTAGATTCAGTAAACATATTGTACAACGGGTACCATACTCACTTTACAACAACCAACCAACTATCAGGCCTACGACACAGACACGTATTAGACTTCGTCGAGACGCAGGATCGAGACAATGGACGCACCTTAGTGACCGAACCGCGGCCATCATCTAGCCTGCGACAGTACACGCTCACCGGGGAAGAAGGGCCATGTATACCAGCGGAGCTGCTCACTGCGGCGTCGGCGGCGACGACGGCGCAACAGCGAGCGCATGGCAAGGGCCGGCGTCGAGGTCAGAGGCAAGTTGAACATGTCACGAAGTGACGCAAGTGGGGCTATCATTCCGATCTTCGAACTCCAACCTGTGGGTTCTCATGACTGCTGCTGCGGATTCAACAGACAGAATTCGACCGTTTATCGTATGGAATGCCCAAGTTCGGAATTCCAACTGGTTTCCATACGGCAAGCTATTTCGACCTTATTCGACCACTTTTTGGCTGAAAGTACAAAATTGACCCATTACCGGTCTAATTTAGGCCGGCCTGGCGCACACAGTGATTCGGAATCGGGCCACTCACTACCGTCCGAAACCGATTGCAATGCATGTCATTGAAGGCCTGAGAATGAATGTCCCATCGCCAGCGACTCATTGAGATGCAGTGACATCAAAACCCCAAGCATCTTTGAGAAAGCCTTTGAATACCAGGAAGACAGTAATGACCAATGTATACTGCACAGGTCTATCTAGGCTACAATCATAGAGATAATGGACTGGGGTGCACTCTACAAAGCAGGCTTGCAACATTCTGCCCAATCCTCTCCATGGACAAACTTGTCAAAGTCCAGTTTAGTGGGATAGTTTGTTATTACCACCACATTGCTTGGTCTGTAGAGTCCCAACCTATGCATAGGAGGTACCCAGAATAAAAGTTCCTTATTGGGACCCAGAACCCAGCCACTGGGTTCAATGACAGAGGTATCTCTGTAAAGATCTGTAGTAATTTCAGGAATTAGCTGACAGGTAGGAGCACATCTGTGAGTCACAAACCAAATGCAACCTGGCTATTATGGTCTGCATATGTTGAGCTGGTGTGGACTGGAGCTGAAGAATCAGAAATTGTTTGTATGACTGACATTATGTTAGTTGGCTGCTCAAAAAGTTGCAATGTATGATTACCTGGGCAGTCAAGAATCTCTGCATTGGGTGCTGCATGGACCTGGAGCTGCTGGGAGGCTCCACTTGGGAGATTGAGTTTTTTCACATCCCACACCCTGATTGTCTTGTCCCGAGAGCCAGATACAATATACTTGCCATCAGGGGAAAAGGCCACTGAAGAGATCCAGTCCTCATGGCCTTGCAGAGGTTCACCCACTGGCTGTCCTGTCAGAGCATCCCACACCCTGATTGTGTCCCAAGATCCAGACACAATGTGCTTGCCATCAGGGGAAAAGGCCACTGAATTGACCCAGCCCTTGTGGCTTTGCAGAGGTTCACCAATGGGCCGCCCTGTCTGAGCATCCCACACCCTGATTGTCCTATCCCGAGAGCCAGATACAATTTGCTTGCCATCAGGGGAAAAGGCCACTGATTGGACCCCACCATCATGACCTTGCAGAGGTTCACCCACTGGCTGCCCTGTCAGAGCACCCCACACCCTGATTGTCTTGTCATCCGAGCCAGACACAATATGTCTGCTATCAGGGGAGAAGGCTACTGAGGAGACCCAACCCTCATGGCCTTGCAGAGGTTCACCCACTGGTTGTTTTGTCTGAGCATTCCACACCCTAATTGTCTTATCATATGAGCCAGACACAATGTGCTTGCCATCAGGTGAAAAGGCCACTGAATTGACAAAGCTTCCATGGCCCTCCAGAGGTTCACCCACTGGTTGTCCTGTCTGAGCATTCCACACCCTGATTGTGCTGTCATATGAGCCAGACACAATGTGCTTGCCATCAGGTGAAAAGGCCACTGAATGGACCCAATCATCATGGCCCTTCAGAGGTTCACCCAATGGTTGACCTGTCTGAGCATCCCACACCCTGATTGTGTTGTCATATGAGCCAGACACAATGTCCTTGCTATCAGGGGAAAAGGCCACTGAACGAACCCAGTCCTCATGGCCTTGCAGAGGTTCATCAACTGGCTGTCCTGTCTGAGCATCCCACACCCTGATTGTGTTGTCATCTGAGCCAGACACAATGTGCTTGCCACCAGGGGAGAAGGCCACTGAATGGACCGGATCCTCATGGCCCTTCAGAGGTTCACCCACTGGATGTCCTGTCTGAGCATCCCATACCCTGATTGTCTTGTCATCCGAGCCAGACACAATATGTCTGCTATCAGGGGAGAAGGCTACTGAGGAGACCCAACCCTCATGGCCTTGCAGAGGTTCACCCACTAGCTGCCCTGTCTGAGCATCCCATACTCTGATTGTTCTGTCATATGAGCCAGATACAATATACTTGCCATCAGGGGAAAAGGCCACTGAAGAGGTGCAGTCCTCATGGCCTTCTAGAGGCTCACCCACTGGTTGTCCTGTCAGAGCATCCCACACCATGATTGTCCTATCCCAAGAGCCAGATACAATTTGTGTACCATCAGGGGAAAAGGCCACTGAATGGACCCCACCCTCATGGCCTTGCAGAGGTTCACCCAGTGGTTGTCCTGTCAGAGCGTCCCACACCCTGATTGTCTTGTCATCCGAGCCAGATACAATTTGTGTGCCATCAGGGGAAAAGGTCACTGAATGGACCAGACCCTTATGGCCTTGCAGGGGTCCACCCAGTGGTTGTCCTGTCAGAGTGTCCCACACCCTGATTGTCTTATCCGAGCCAGACACAATATGTCTGCTATCAGGGGAGAAGGCTACTGAGGAGACCCAACCCCCATGGCCCTTCAGAGGCTCACCCACTGGTTGTCCTGTCTGAGCATTCCACACCCTGATTGTCTCGTCATATGAGCCAGACACAATGTGCTTGCCATCAGAGGAAAAGGCCACTGAGTTGATCCTACTGCCATGCCCCTTAATTACCCATTGCTGTGATGGCCAAAGATTTAGCAGGCCTTCCACCTGGATAGTTCTTGGGAATGATTGTTTATAGTGTCTTCCCACAACTGACTGCTCTGGGGCAAAGGGTATGGCTGATAGATATATGTGTAGTGCTGAGTCTGCTATTGGCTGCACAAAATAGAGGATGAATTTCGCTGCATCTCTTGCAAAATGTTTAAGCTCTGGATGTCTGTCCTTTACACAATTATGCCTCAGTTCCACTGGATGCCAAAGACAATGTGGCCATTGCTTACCTTTAGCCAGTCAGCCAGCTCAAGTAAGGCATCCTGGGCAATGTTCACTTTCCCAAGGATGCTCAGTACCTCAAACCAGCACAGTAGTTTTGACTTCAGGAACTCCCCAAGCACAGCAACAACCCATGACCCAGATGCCTTCATCTCCATTGTGCCATCTCCATCCAAGTGTGGGGTATTTATTGCCACAAGATGGTCTCCCCAGAAGCAAGAGGCATAGCAGATCACAGGGGATATAAGTTCTCTGGATCTCACAGAATTAGGTGAATAGGATGTTTTGAGCTTGCAGTAATTGAATTCCAGTTGGCAGTTGAGTAGTCTCAGTGAGCCCTGATAAAGTCTTCCATGATGTGCAAGGAGGTCAATGAAGAATTCCTTGGATTGCTCCCTGTCTGTGAGGAAATCACGGAAGGAAGTGTGAAGTGGTCGGATAGGATCAGCAGTGCCAGATGATGTCACACCATATAAGACTGAACCCAATGACTTCAGGACACTCTTGATGAAACCCAAAGGATATGCTTCCTCCAGAATACTAGCCAAGGCATCCATGGAGAGTGGTTCGTATGAGGCAAGTATTGGGCCTACAATGCTGGAGAAGTATTTTATCTTGGTTTTGGTGTTCACAATCTCATTGAGAATGGTTGAGTACAATATGCCTAGCACCTGCCCCTCAGATGTGGAGCCAGTGGTTATCTTCAAGAACATTGCACGAGGATCATGGCCAAGTCCAGTGGTTCGAATAGCCCGACAGGCTGCAGAAGCCCATTGGAAGAGTCCCTGAGAGCAGTCTACCAGTCTGGTGAAGTCAAAGTCACCAAAGGGAGGTGATGCATTAGTGTCTGCTAATTGATTTCGAATGTAGGCAGTTATGTCATCTTCCGTATTTTCAGCACTCTCCATTGTCCAGTGCTTTATATGAGGATATGGAGCCCCAGTTAGCTTCTGTAGAATATCATCTTCAGGGCGTGAAGTGAGCAGGATGCGAAAGTTGGAGGGAAGACACTTCGCCTCTTTCACAAGAACATCCAGTAAATTTTCCCGGGAAATTGTATTCCCACATTCATCCAAGGCATCAATCACCAGGACTATTGGCCCTAGAAAATCAAGTTCCTTTATAGGGCTCATGAGAAGATTGTGGAATTGATCCTCTATCCCTTTGGAAGTTCGTGTGGCAGTATCCAGACCAGCCATCAGAGTTCTAAACTGCTCATTATGATCAGCAAGATCACGAGCAATGGTACAGAAGAGCATGTGAGGGCTTGAGTAGGCTTCCCCTTTGGAGAAGTGGAATGAGGATCCCAGTCGATGAAGCTCTTTGTATCGTTGTGCAATTGTATGAGCAACCGTGGACTTGCCAGTTCCAGCTCCACCAGTAAGTAGAAGTATCTGCTGGTCAGTGTTATTGTTGAGCCAGTCTGAGATATCATCAAGTAGTGCCACTCGAGTTCCAGGCAGGCAAGTTTTTGATGTCTGGAATGAAGCTCCAGCAGCATAGGGAATATCTTGTATACCAATTTTGTCCACCTTCTTATCAATCTTGTTAATTTTGTCTCCTAGAATAGTATAATCAACTCCTTATAATGTGCACAGACATTTGATGGACTCACGCAAAAATTCTATCTCATTGAAAGTCCAAACAGCATAGGTCTGAATTTGAAGTGTTGCATGACACCAGTATTCATTAGCCAGCTCATTGAGTCTTGTCTTGTGGTCGCTGACCAATGGCTCAAGCTTCAAGAAAACGTGGCCCACATGGTTCCCTGTGGTAGCAGTCTTTGAGCTCCTTGAATACTATGTAAACTGAATATCCTTACAAAAACCTCGTCTTGTATATTCCTGAATAAAGTAGCCACACTCCATGAGCTGCTTTAGTATCTTGATGCTTATGGCCTTCTGTTGCTCAGACTGCTCTGGGACCTCCTCTGCTGTCTTAGCAAACTCCAATGCCTTCTCAGCAATAGACATCAGATCCTGAATACTGTCATCATTGTCCAATTTCTGATGATAAATCTACATAAGCCCCATTTTCGTAAGCTTTTGTCACAGATTACAATATGATCCCATACCTTATAAACCCCAGACAGTATACCCCATGCTGCCTTGGCCCACGGATGAATCTGGTTTTGCAGTGATTAATATGGTACACCATGACAATATCTCCAGTGCTAACCTCAGCAAGAGTATCTCCCAACTCACACAGAAATTCAAGCCTAGCAAGAACAGTCCTCATGGGGGGTGTCAGGTCTTGCACTGCATCAGAGAGGCCTGAGGTCACAGTAGAGGGGATGGTTGATGGCATGGAATGAGCTGTACCCATGCTCTTGACTCCATCAGCTGCTTTGTTCAGAACAGTCTGTGTCTGCAATGCCAGGGTCTTCCTTGTCCGTATGATACCAAACGTAACTTGATAGGAAGGACTTTGCGGCTTAAGGTCACGGGCCACAGCTGAGAGGCAAGCTAGTGAGGCAGAGGCAGATGGCACTTAGGGGGGAACTTACAATGCTTGGTGTCATGAGAAGCTTCAAGCAAGGCTGCGACAGAGTCTTCAAAAGTCCCAAGAATAGTTGGACTGCGTCCCCAACGCTTGACCTTCACGTCAAACTGTACTCGCGAAGAGTCGTTGAAAGTCGAGCTGACAGACCATCATTAGATAGAGGTACATAGCACATCCAGAGACTTACAAGACTAAAGTGTCATCCCACTGCACTGTGTCACCCTTCGTAGGAATTGCCTTTGTTTCGTTAGCTTCATCTCCAATGGACACGGATATGTAATGCTTGCGCCTTCCGCAGCAGCGAGGCCGAAAGGGCTGCCCGGGAGGCGCATGGATCTTTATATCTGCACCAGCAACGTTACACGACCGAACGTAGTACTGGCCTCGACGAAATACACATACCCTTGATTTCGATCCCGAACGCCTCATCGGCCGACGGAACCGTGGTCGCGACGATGTTGGTATCGTTTGTAGTCATTGAGATAGATTCGATGTTGGAGCTGCCAGTGATTCTGTTGAATTTCGATGTTGCGAGTTAACGAAGATGGTCGCAGCGAAAGAGATGCGGGATGCGTAAGCCCTCTCTGCATCTGAGGCGCCGCCTCGTGCTGTCCATGAGGCTACTGGCGCCCGTGCTGTGACATGAATAGAGCGATACACACGATTTACGAGGATCGTACGCGCACACTAAGTATGGGATAATACTATTGGCCACCGCAGACGAGTTGACAAGATTGTGGCCATTTCGCCCGGTATTTCCTCTCCAAACCGATCCGACCAAGCCCAGATTATGTCTCAAGGCCTCACTCACTTGGGCTATTACAGAAGGAAAGAGCATAGAACATGCGGTCGCCTCAGTGGCACCGTTCCAGTTCCCGATTTCTTCCACGACTCGGACGCAACACGAGCTCGAAGCAGCCGACCGGACGAAAAACAAATTCGATGCGTCATCTTGCTATTCCACTGAAGTCCGCGAACAACGTACGATTGAAGAGACCACGACGAACGACGCCCGAGCGCTGAGCAACTTCGATGTCCGGTCTCCTCCCGGTACTCAGTCGCCTGCCCCGCGCAGTGCCAGACCAAACGAGATTAGAATGCAACCCGGCTGAGCACGTAAGCGCATCCCTGCGAAGCTTTCGAGCTGTTCGGTTAGCCAGCACTCAAGTCAATCAATCGATGTCCAGAAGAGAAAGCACGAATGGTGAGGGCTACTGGGGATGCACCCGTCGTGGCCTCTTCGCCCCTCCAAGTCTAGCACGGGCACGCCAATAAGCGTTCATCCATCCGGATCTTCAGATATCACCAGACGATTTTCCGTCAGCTGCAGTTCCTCTTTGAGCCGAAACGAATGGTATTATCGCGTCCCTATTTGCGCTACTGACAGGAGGTCTTCAATACGCCTCGGCTCTCGCCTAAGTTGGACGGGCGTCCTGGTCCTTGAACACCCGCCTCATCCAGAACGGCCCTACGAAATTGTCAGAATAACTCAATAAATACGACGGTACGCGGGACAGACTAACCAATTGGATCGTGCGCATCGTGGAACACCGTCGTCCACGCGCCAAGTACGCCGTACGGCGAGCGGATGCCGCCCACCTGGACTCCCTCAGAGCTGGGGATAACAGCATTATCAGGGAACGGGACCGTGCGCCAGGATCAAAGCGTCCCTCACCTCCATATCGGATGGCCCTCCTCGCCAGAGACCTACCACGATCTAGCTGAGTACGGCCAAACGCCAGTAGCGAACGGAGCGGAATGTCTACTCACGAAATGCCACCGCACAACGCCCTCATCCGTGATGCCTACCCAGCCGTTCATAACGTGCTCCGAGCCGGTCTCGATCTCCCCGGCGAAGTAGATGCGCGGGCGGGTGGGGTACGCGGGGTTCGGCTCGGTCGAGAGTACGCGCATGTGCACGGTGATGGAGCGGAAGACCTCGATGAACTCGGGATTGGCGAAGACGCTCGCGTCGAGGGGGTCGTCCTCGGAGAGCTGCACGGGGTGTCAGATGGTCCGAGGGATGCTTAAGATATGGGACGTACGTTGAAATTGTTGTAAACTAGATCGAAACCATACAATAAGCGGGGACGCATTGACCGGGTGTCGTATGAGCAGACTCACCAAGAAGTTCCCTGTGATCACAGAAACAAAATGACACCACCCATTCCCCCTCGATTCCGGCCCAGTCCTGCACGCCTCCCACATCCGCCCCGCCGGGCAGGATACTCTGACAGTACGGCAGACTCATAGGAAATATGGTGAAGACGATCTCCTCCTCCTCCGTCATCTCTACAAGGTGCAGTGACATGCAGTGGTGTATCGCCCTTACGTGTAACCAATTGACGCGTCCGCTCCCATCCATCATGAAGGGTCCAAACTCGTTGTCCCATTTGTAGTTCCGCATGTTATAGACATAGGCACGAGACTCTATCTTGCTTGCTGTCTTGGCGTCGGAGGGTGTGACGCCGTAGTATGTGTGTAGTTTCGCGCGAAGCTGCTGTTCCTCCGGGGATGGTTCCCAGGTCGTATGGTCGAAGACAGCGCCACCACGTACGAGTGCAGCCACCCAGAGCAGGTTCATTGACAGCTGATCGCTCAGGACCGAGGGCGAAGGAGGGATCCGGGTTACCAGGTCTATCAGAGTCTGCAATACGCCGCACCGCTCATGCGGCCGGCACTTCTCTATAAAGTTCACGACGGTACGAGCGCGCGTGACGCGCTGCAGTTCCCATTTCCAGTCTATGTCCTCGAGCGGGAATCCCAGCGTGTCAAGACAAGTGCGAGGGTCGTCCAAAGGCTGCGCGAGGTAAAGTTCTCGCCATATGTGGGCGTCCGGGGATTTGTAAACGAAGTCGTAGAAGGAACGCGAGGACTGGGCGAAAGCAGCGAAGTCGAGGGGGTCGAGTTCAAGCAGGATTTGTTCTATGAGTTCTGGTGGCAGGTCGGTGATGTTCATAGCGACGAATGGTATGGCTGAGGCGGAACGCTGACCAAGGGCTTGACAGTGACTTGGGCGACCGTATAAGTAGCGTGCGTGAGAACCTACGGATCAGTGATCTCTGCCTATTCAGCCACAAGGCGAAGAACTGTGGCAGCGGGATATATTGGAGACGGTTGAATCTTCGTTTGAATCGATTTCGAGACAGACGTATATATTCCACCAGTGACACGGGAGACCATAGGAGATATCAGACTAATGCTTACTGCGAGCAGCCATTCGCCTGCTCTTCCCGGGCCTCTTCGCCCCTTTCGACACCCCCTTCCCTCCCTTGCCTGCCTTACCAGCGGGACCTTTCCCTCTCCCACCCCCTCCACCAAAGTCGTCCGTTGATGACTTAGTATTTTGCTTCGACCGCTTACCCTTCCCGCCAAAGCCAAACTTCTTGTCTCGCGCATTGCGATTGAGTTTGTGACCCGAGCCTGATTCGCCCTTCGGCCGCTTCGAGGGGCGGTCGGAGATAGCGTCTTCGACTGCTACATCGAAGTCCTCGCCGTCTCCCTGGGGATCAAGAGCATCCTTTCGTTCTATAAATCATGTGAGACTCGGCACGAAACTGGATGGCGAGCTGTCGTGCTCACTTCGCTTGAGGCCCTTCAGCCTCTCCTCCATCTCCTTCTTACTCCTCTCCCTCTCCTTCTGCTTCTCGAGCTGTACCTGTTTGCCGAACTTCTTCCCTTCCCGCTCTCTCCGCTTCTCCTCGCTTTTCTTGATGCTCGCGCTCTCGTTCAGGAGTCGCTGTCGTATACGCTCCATGTGTGCATCAGACTTTACCATCTCGGCAAAGTAGTCGGAAGGACGGGTGAAGGGTAGGTTGTGTTGAGAAGCAAGAGCCCGGGCGGTGTTCGCTGCATGGAGCGCTTGTTTGTAGCTAGTCGGAAATTAGGCCAGAATACAACACTATAGATGTCTATCCCACTTACAAGGCGAGCTCACGATTCAAGTCATCATCCACGTCCACTTCAATCTTGTCAGGGTATGATATTGAGAGTGTCTCGGTCCATGGGAGTGATGGGTCTAGCTTGATAGTATCCCGAATACGCTCAAGGGCAATCTTCTACCATGTTAGAGACGGGTACCACGAGCAAAAGAAGAAAACGCACTTTGTTGTCGATCTCGATCTTTTGGCGTGGAACAGCATCTTCGTCCACCGATTCCACCTCGTCCAGGGGCACGGCCTCTTCATCCTCTTCGTCCTCCGCAACGGGATGCTGTGGTTCTGCATTCCTACGATTGCTGCCTTCTCCCTCACCTTCATTACCCTCACCCTCACTCTCGCTCACGCCGTCCTCTTCGCCTTCACTCGCGTCCTCGCTGCCCGAACCGACATCTTCGTCCTCGCCATCGTCCTCGGCATTGAGCAACTGCAGCTGCGCTAGATCATACTCCCCCAGTCCATCGTCTCCCAGCGCCTTCATGAGACGAGCCATGCCCTCTTCATCCACGTCCTCCTCATCGGTATAGTCCTCGCTGGCATCTTCAGGTTCTTCTGACGGAGGCGTAGCGGGCGCGCTGACCGCTGCCTTCTTCTTTGCAACCTTGTGTGTTTCAGGGTGCGCGGAGCCTGCTGCCTTGACTTTCGACGCCTTTTTCGAGGATGCCATGTCTGGGAGGAAGAAACTTGAGCGTGTAGCTAATAATAGACCAAATCCTAATGCACTACTGGATGACTTTCCGTAAGGAAAAATCCTAGATTTCGCCGTCCTAAACGCCATCACAGTGCCTTGTCACGGTCATTCGCACGGCCGATAGAGAGGATAGAGGTGTTTCTCCTATCCGTAACGCCACAAGCCCTCAGTCACGCTATTGATGGCGGCTTACTATGTAAGGAAGGAAAGTGGCTAAACACGGAAGGTACTGATGGCAAGTATATGATGGCATGATACGCGAACGTTTACCGAGGCTAAGCGAGCCTTTAGAGGCGAGCGCGAGTCTGAAGAGGGGGGTCGGACCCCCTTGACAAAATAAAGTTTGCAGACAGCTTCAACTCGACGACCACCATCAAAATTGGCGAGCGTGACAAGCCGGCATCTCGGCTGATGCATTTAGAGTCGAATCTAGGATAGAAAACGACTCTAAATGCTTACGGAAAGTCATCCACTAAATCAGGGGCCGTACGTCTAAATAAGGATTTATCCAGACAAGTAACCGGCCGGCGACCGGCTTGACGTACCCCAGCCCAATCAATCAGTCCAGTCCGTCCAACACCGTACAACGCGTGTGCCTGCTCGTCGTCGTCGCCGCCAAACCCGACACCAAGCACGCTTTCTGCGATGTCCGACGAACCGCCGCCGCCGCCGAAACCCAAGCCCGGCTCGCTGCGCGACCGCATCGCTGCCTTCGAGAAGCAGAACGCCGCCGCGCCCGCCCCGACCCCTCCCCCGCCGCGCCCCAAGCCGGGGCACGTCCAGTGGAAGCCCAAGCAGCCCTCGCCGCCGACCTCGCCGGGACGGAGCTCTACCGATGCCGCTGCGCCCCCTGTCGAGCGGGCGAAGGCGGGGGGCATGTCCGCGGCGGATGCGAAGGAGAGCATCGGGAAGGGGGTCAGTTTGAAGGAGCGCATGGCGGCGCTGCAGGGCAAAGGTGCGTTTAGCGCCCCTGCTGGCCCGACCAGTCCTCCGCTGCCCCCGAAGCCGGCGGGTGAGAAGCCGAAGTGGAAGCCTCCCCCAGCGCCGATTGCGTCGCCCGATGAGGAAGTGGAGGCGCCTGCTGGTGAGCCTGTGAGGGTTAAATCACCCCCAGTAGAAGGAGGAGATGCAGAACATGCGAATGCGGAGGGAGAAGAGGCTCAAGCGGCTCCTGAGGGTGAAGAAGCGCAAGGCGAGCCTGATCCTGAGGAAGAAGAACGGCAGCGTAGGGCCGCAATCGCTGCTCGTATGGCTCGCCTAGGTGGTGCCAAGATTGGGATGTTGCCTCCTACTCCTGCGTATGGGAAGAAGCCGCCGCCGCCGAAGAAGGCTGAAGCCCCGCCCCCTGAGGCCGTCAGTACCGCGAAGTCTCCTGAGGTACCCAAGGTTGAGCAAGTCATACCCTTGGAAGGGACGGGACCTGAAGGTAGAAATTATGTCTGCGATTCTAGTCCTATGCTCATGACCGTGATAGAACCACCCATGAAATCACCGTCTTTGGATGCGCCCGAGCCCTCGATGTCCAAGTCTTCAGAAGAGGACGGTACGGCTAGTCCCCTCTCCCGTCTCAAAAACAATACAATTGACTATTTTTCTATTCAACAGGCTACTTCAAGCGAGGGGACTCTGCTTCATCTGCGATGCTCTCACCCGATTCGGCATCAGCAACTTCCGTGTCGTCCGTGCGATCTCCATCGTCTATGCCGGTACCTGCCGCCCCTAAGCGCGCCGCCCCGCCTCGCAGGAAAGCAGCCAAATCGCCGTCGCCTGCACCTCAGCAGGTCCTGGACGAGCCTATCAAAGAGAGCCCTTCTGAGACTCCAGCATTGGAGACCCCTGCTCCCGAGGTAGAGTCGAAGGCGGAAGAGCCGGGTGACCTGAAGAAGGCCGTTGAGGAGATACTCGCTGAAACACCCGGTCCAGTGCCAGTGTCCGAGCCAGAGCAGCACGCGGATGTTGCTCCAGCTGAATCTGCGCAGGGAGAAGATTTATCAGCTCTGGGTGCTTCGCACTCGGACGCTGTGACAGAGGATTTGCCCAAGGAGGCGCAAGAAGCAGTGGAAGAAGAGCAGGCGGCAAAGGAGCAGTCTGGACCTTTGGATGAGGCTGCACCAGAGCCCGAAGGTGTCGAACGCTCTCACTCGCAAGACGAGGCATCTCCCGCACGAGAGGAGGAGGAGGAGGAAGACGAAGAAGCGCGTCGTAAACGTGTAGCAGAGCGCATCGCAAAGATGGGCGGTATTAACCCCCTGGCTGCGCCACCTCCCCGGACAATGTCTCCGCCTTCGCTGTCCGAACGACCCGAACCGACGCGGAAGGAGAGTATTGGATTTGCGGCATCTCAGCCCCTCCCTGTCTCTCCCCAGCCCACGCCCGGGGTGGAACGAAGGCAGAGCAGTTTCTCGGACGCGTTGCCTTCGTCTCCGCCCCAAGAGCGGCGTCCGAGCGTGGAATCCTCCGGTTTTGGAAGAAGAGCCAGTGCAAGCTCAAGGAAGAGCAGTATAGATGTTGGCATGGGCCCGCCGCCTGTGCCTTCATCCCCTAGACCTCAGGTACCTCAGAGGCAAGCCAGTATAGGGTCGGTGAGTGGTGAGGGTCCTCCGCCAGTGCCGACGTCTCCCAGGCCGGACGCATCACAGAGGAGGTCAAGTGTGGGATCAGTGAAGTCCGTAGGAGGGTTGGCGAGGAGGCAGTCTGAGGATGGTAAATGATATTTCCCCAGAGCTACATACTTACCGTTGCATAAGGACCTTTATTGATTGAAGTTCTTCGTTCTTTCATTCAGACCGTATTCGTCGTGAAATATCAGTTTCGTCTCAACCTGCTGTCGAGGAGGAGGACCAAGAAGACCTGGATACCAATGAACCTGAGCCCGTCTCTCACGGGCATGGCACAGCGGATGCTTATGCAGAGGCCGTTCAGCCCCAGAGTCCCCCTGCTGGAGTTGTCAGACATGATGATCAGCGGTTGACCGCGTCTGAGACTCAAGATGAGCTTATCGACTCTCCTGACGATGCAGAGCCGATGTCCGCCACGGTTCCAATACCCATTCCCCCGCCGTCGACTACTCGCCCTCCTCCCACACCTAATCTGTCGACTCGGCCGGTTATCGCTCAGGAAGACTTTACCGTTGAGACGCCAGTCGAGACCAACACCCCCCGGCAGGAGTCTATAAGGAGGTCGATACCGCCTCCTCCCAGAGGCCCCCCTGCGGTACCGGTAGAGGTCCCTGTAGAGCGAGTGTTGTCCCCGCCCCCTCGTCGATCTGTCCCACCGCCTCCGGAGGAGAGGGAAGAAGAAGAAGTAGCTGATTCTGAGGTTCCTGCTGTGATTCGTGATGACGACCACGAATTGCCCGTCAGTCACGATACAGAAATGACTGACGAGGAAGACGACATTCCTGACTCCGACGTACGACACGTTCCGGCTCCACATGGAGTTCACAGGGAGGAGCCGATTGCCTCCCATGATGGTGAGGATCAATCAGAGGATGAAGAGGCAGAACCACTGGCTGCTCCTCCGCCTATACCGGTCTCCACCCGACCGGTTTCTATCGTTGTGAAGTCGGGAGAGAGACGTGCGCCTCCTCCTCTGGAAATTGACGTAGGCGATGAGGGAGAAGTAATGGACGAATCGGATGGCGGTAAGTGCTTCCTGGTTTTGCTGGCCACTGCTGACGCCAAAATCTGCCCGTAGATCCCATTGACCCTCACTTCCATAGCCCGCAACGGTCGCCTGGGTTACCCTCAATCAGCATGACAGCGGCCCAAGCCAGTGCACCTATTGCAAACCCTCCTTCTGAGCCGCCCCCAGAGCAACCTGCTGAGGAGGCTGAAGAGGATGCAGAGCAAGCACGTAGGCGTACCATCGCGGAGCGTATGGCCAGATTAGGTGGGATTAAATTTGGAGCCCCTCCGCCTTCCCGGCCGCCGCCTCCACGGGCACCGACTCGTGATGCTGATGATGATGAGGGGGCTTCGCCAGTCGGACCGACCGATGAGCCTGCAGATGAAATGAAGGCTGACGAGGAAGAGGAAGATGAGCAAGCAAGAAGGCAGAGGATCACTGCTCGGCTGGCGAACATGGGTGGAATGCGATTTGGAATGATGCCAGGTGCAGTGCCTCCTCCTGTTAGCCGTCCGACACGAGAGGACAGCAAATCTCCTCCTCCACCACGCCGGGCAGCACCCCCAGCACGACCTCCGCCGCCGCCGGAGCCGGAGCCGAAGGAATCAGAGGCTGAATCAGAAACGGATGACGGCGTGCAAGTGGAAGCCGAGGAAAGTGAGCTTGAGGAGGTTACTCACGAGGATGCTGAAGAAACGCCTCCACCCATTCCCTCTCGCGTAAACAGGCCTGCTTCTGCTCCTCATCATGCGCCCACACCCCCGACTACGGGTGTTCGTCCACCTGTGCCTACGATACCAATTACTGCGTCAAAACGCAGATCTACGGCGGATTCCTCCCACTCATCTAGAGAGCCTAGCGTGACTGCTCCTCCTGTCCCGCAACCTGTCATTCTCAGCAGACCATCCCTTCCAACACCTCAGCAGGCAGAATATGTGGTGGTTGATGCTGAAGAAGAAGGGGAATCTGATACCCCGGTACCGGTACCCCCCCAACGGCCGAATCGCCCGCCTCCGTCGCGAGCAGCGCCGGGAGCCCCTGCTGGTCCTCCGCCCCCTCCTCCTGAACCCGAATCTTCTGATCAAATGACCAGTTCACAGTGGGAGCTCCCTGCGATCCCCAGTGGAAGTCTAGACTTCGGTGGTACAAGTGATCTGTCAGCCTCGGGCCTCTCTGAGGATTCGACTACATATCCAACATCTCCGCCTCCACCTCCGCCCGCTAAAGCAGAAGTACCTCGACCGCTGAGCCAGGTACCCCAGACGAAGGCTCCTGAGGATATTCAGCTGTCTTCCGAAGAGCTAATGAGCATGTGGGGTAAAGTTGGTATCCAAGTGTGTGAAGTGGCCACGACATTGTACGAAAAATCCAAGAAATCTCTCGTCGGTGACGGCACGTACGCTGGCTTTGTGCAGGCGGTCTTGAGCGAGGTACCAAATGCTTCTGCACCCTCGCCTCCCTCGTATGGTTACCTGGTGTATTCCCAGACGGGTGCGACCGTGCAGAAACGTATCAGCGATATAATGCCAGGCGACATTCTGACAGCACACGATGCGAAGCTCAAGGGCCACAAGGGCCTGCAGACGTATCACCAGAACATTGGCGCTGAGGAGCTTTTGGTGGGCGTTGTGACTGAGTTCGAAGCGAAGAAGCACAAAGTGCGGGTCTTCCAAGCAAACCAGCATGTTGGACAGCAGGTCAGCATTCTTCGATGTTCGTGTAGAGTTATTCATAACATGTTACTTTCATAGACCGTGGAATCAGTCAGTTACCGTCTTGAGGATCTGAAGAGCGGAACTATCAAGGTGAGCAGTGCTCGCTGCCAATATCTGAGGCATAGTCGTCTAACTACAATCTCGCAGATTTACCGAGTGCTGGAAGCGTCGTGAACGGCCTGTATGGCCTGCAGAATGTCCCGGGAGCTAGGTGCGGAAGCTTTTAATCAATTAATGTACGATAACTTCGACATGAGTACACCGGTCCTTTCCTGTCGGTCATTTACCATTGACTGGATGAAGATAATGATAATTGCATTGCTATATACACGTGTATGGATGCCAAACAGTCCCAAAACTGATAATTACGGAGTATGTAGTAGCTATAGAGCCAGGCGCGTCTGTCACGTCAGCCCGGAGCACGACTGACTTCGTCAACGACGAAGACTCACGGTATTGGTACATGTTGAGAGCAAGATGTGCTACTTCACAAGTGGTCGCACACCAATCCCGCTATCCTTGAGACTGGTCCCATAGCTCTTCACTTGTCTCTCGTAGTCGGCTTGCGAGGCGTCAGATCGTTGTCTCTAGGAAGAGCAGCCTAGACTTACTCAAAGGCTTGTCAGACTTCGCCTTCTTAACTGCAGGTTCATCTGTAGTATCGGTTGGAACGGTAGCCTCAGGAGATGCACGCTTGCCCCTCTTTTTCTGGGGGTGAAGATTGTCAATTTCAGTCAGGCTTAATACGAGATCACTTACAAATCGCTCATCGAAGGTCCGCTTCCTGTTGACGAAACAAACTTCAGGACTAGACACCAGGACCATCCATGCATGCTTCCTACCTTGCTAAGGCTTCTTCCTGTTTCTTCTTCTCGTCTTCCTCCTGCGCCACAGGTCGAATCAGACCAGCGAGATAGCAGTCCCAATGGCTTACTCACCTGCTTTATTCGCTGAAAACGTTCAAGAAAAGAGCCATCGTTAGAAAACACATTCGCCGGTTTCACTTTGGGTCCACTTGGCTTGGAGGAAGTAGCTGACCCTGGGGCCGGGGGCGAGGCACGGGGAACGAACGGCACTGGAGACGGCGAGTGGCCGTACCCTGGGACCGGAGAGGGGGAGACATATCGTCCAGCAGACAGAGGCGTCGAGGCGGCAGACATGGTCGCTAGTAGTTACCTGACCGATCTAGACTAGACAATTCCAGGGGCAGACGAGAAGGGGCGTAAGTAAGTGTGGGAACTCTGTAATCGCAGGGCCAGCTCTTATATCCCGCGGAAAGTCCGTGCAATAGATCCTGAGGAATTTACTAGAAACTCTCACTACCATGCATGCAATACTGTGTGTGCTGCAGCAGCAACGCGAATCGATTGCCCAGGCCGAAAGCAACGAGGAGTACATGGACAACAAACTGAATCGAGGTACGTGACAATGCGAAACGGTACCTGCTATGTCGTGGGCAACACCCCCAACACGCCTCTTGCCCAAGCCGCATCCTTCTCCAACTTCTTAGCAAAGAAGTCGCCCAGCACCTCATGCAACTGCGACAGCACAGCGTTATCTGCCGAGTTTTGACCATCCAATGGAACAGGATCTTCTGAAGGTTCCTGCAGCGTCCGGAATGCATCCTATCAAGGCATGAGCGTGGAGCCAAGAGACAGCCAGCAAGGCTAGAAGACGTACCAGGACAGCGGCGATCGGCGAACTACCCTCGTCAGAGCCGTACTCACTTCCTATGATCCTCGCCCCTCCACCTTCGATAAGACCTTTCCGAACGGCTTCTTTCCCGATGGATATTAGGCCGCGTATAGCACCTTCTCTCGTGCCCTTGCTCTTCCCTGGAGAGATGAGGGCCAGGAGAAGTGCTTTCATTATACGAGGGGAGAGGGACGGATATGTCGTTGAATGTGATGTCAAGATGTGGGAGAGTATTTGGGAAGATAGTGTTCGAAGGTGGGTTGCGTGTGAAGGGGGTAGCGTGGAATTGAGGAGGATAGATAGGACTGGCGGCAGTACTTGGTGCAACTATTGCAAGGGGATGCAATTTCGATCAGAACGGGACTAGATGATGCATACTTTCAACGACACTTACGTATGGTTCCACGAGCATCGACTGGTTATCCAGTAGAGCTGCTGTCACATCCAGCAATACTTCCAGCACCCTGCCATCCTGCTCACTTGTCGCGCCTTCTTTCAGTGATCCTACTACGCCCTCCCCAACCCATTGTATAAGATACGGCAGCAACGGCTGCAGCCCTGCATCATGCCTTAAACTTGCCAACGCTGCTGCCCGCTTCGCGTGTTCGGAAGGCACGGGCGGTAAGAGCGACGATGTAAGACGCGTATAGTACAACTGCAGTTCTCTTGAAAGAACTTGTTTGACAAGTGGCTGTTGTGGTTTCTTTGCCGCAGTAGGTCGGCCGGGCGACGAGGGTGTAGGCGGTAGAAGCGTCGATATGACGCCATTTTCGAGCTTGACTGTCGCGTCCATGTCATTATCTTTAGGAATAGCGGGGGGATTCTCCGGTATCCGAGGCTGGACCCCTTCCACGGCAAGCCAGTGCGCGGTCCAGTTCACGGGTTTAGGCAGAACGAGCTTCTCCTCACGGATAACACGCTCGAAGTCAATCTCCTCATCCTCGACGAAGTATACGGTACCGGACTGTGGGAGCTGAGGGAATGGAGGGGCACGTCGGAATGTGGGGGTGTTGTAGGACGAGTGCCCGTAGAGAGGTTCGATGTTCAGGACGCGTAGTGCTTGATCGATGTCAGACGTGGTCATCGTTGTTCGGCGCGCGTGTCTCATGAAACGCGAAGCTTCCTTTAGCCACGGTATAAGTACCATAGCAAGAACCAAGGACGACCGAAAGTGTACAAATGCATGGAATAGGGCCACGACTGATCACAAATAACTCACCTCGACCACCTGATGAATCCTATATTCCACATCGCTGGCTAGGGCAGATCCAATGGGCTCCGACAAGTTGGAAATACCAAGGGACTCTGCCACATCCTACTGGTGACTATGAAGACGAGGGTCCGAAGAGAGCTCTGGAAGTTGACTGACTCGAACTGAATCCGCCTTGTAAACGCCGGTGATCTGAGTTGCGGGTGCCCTAGGTTTTGGCTTGCTCATCATGAGTTACAGATGCCCGCAAACAATAGACAGAGAGTGGGAGAATATGTTGCAGGCGAAATATGATATTGTATGCTTCGGAGGATACAACAGCTAGAGTACACTTTAGTAGTGTGGCTGAGATTGCCACAGCAGTGGGACGGGAACTCGTTCGCGAATGTTTGGCCTTATTTGTGGCTCGAAATGAATATAATGCATGCTAGTCTTGTGCTAGTCCACACATGTCTTCGAATTCAAGTTCTGAACCTCTTTGAATCAGCAACGGATCGAGCGTTGGCTAAGCTCCTCTGGGTTACGATGAGCCTCCAACCGGCCGGTATAAGAGTCGAAAGCAGTTCTCTCGAGGTCGTGCCGCTGAGACGTGGTGCAGATGACTTCACCGCCCCACCGCGCAATTGCGCCTTTGCGAGTGCTCGTCAAGTACCCGTGCTTTCTCCCTGAACCCATTCCCATTTGCGTTGAATGCCCTGCTTCTATCGTCGACCCATTGCACTGGCGATGGCGCTTCTGAACGTCATGTATCGTCATGCGGTAACTCGGTCTGCGGTATATAAAGCCTGCCTCTGCGACAATTCGAGGTTCATCAAGCAGTAATTCATCTACAAACTTCTATTGACAATCACGAACGACGCATACAATATGTCTTTTGAGAACCACACTACTCGTAAGTGCTGTGATATCCCTCAAATACTCCGCCGACAGCTGACTTGTGTTGGGCACTGGCAGGCACCACTGGCAACCCCCAGGACTTCCATCAACAAGTCGAGGGTGACTTGTCCAGCTACGCCGGATCTCAGAGCTCGAACTATGGCTCTACCAATGTGCCCGGAAACACCACGATTGGGCACCCGCCTGGCTCAGTCACCTCCGGTGTAGGAGAGGACTACAGCAACGCGGGCCAGTTGTACGGTGAGGGCGTGCGTGCTCAACAGCAGCACACTCGCACCGAGGACTGGGATGCATCTAGGGCCGGAGCTGAAGGCGGCTTGAACCCCAGCCAGCGCCAGGGCGACTTGCAGCCAGACAATAATCCCCCGACGCAGGAGGGTGTGTCCGTTACTGACAGGGTCATGGGTTTGTGATGCCTGCCACTCCATCTATCGTGGTCCTAATCTCAAGTCCCTTAGGCAATGCCCAAAAACTAGCTGGACATGCCACGTTCAACCCGGGTCTCCGGGAGCGCGGTGAGCAGCGGAAGGTATGATCAAGAACTTTGTAGGTTGGATAGTAGTTGGTGGCTGACGACACCGGATGTATAGACCGGTCAAATCTAAGCGCCCGCCCTATCTAGCTGAAGATGTATCAACAATAGTCTTGTATTATTAGGTTTCCGTGTTATATGCGTAGTCGGCTCATGCGCTGGCTCAGCGGTCTGAGAATCAATTCATTGCCAGTGAACAGTTACAGTGCATTGCAAAGTAAAAGATGAATCACCCGAGAGGATAACGGTTGGTAGAAAAGATACACTGGCACCGAGTCTGGGGAACTGCTGGACCATCCGGGAGACCGACCTGCCCCAAAACAAGGACATCCTTGGGCGCATCAATTGAAATAGATTCCGCTTATGGCGTTGTCGATCCGACTCGATCGGGCAAAGTAGCAGCCCATATACCGAACACCGACATTCATGGAACTTGACTTCCATATGCAATCTATTGGCCGCGCACAGCACGCCCTCTGCTGACTCTTGCGTTTGCACCTCGCAATAACGTAACTGAATCGGGCAACATAAAATTCTACGATGGCGACGCCCCGCGCCTCAGGACTTTGGGAGGACAATAGGAGGATGAGCTATTTCTCGTCGCGAGAGGAGGGGGATGAGGAGGACGAGGACAGAGACATGGAGGACCTGGAAGATGGGGACGCGTTTGACGGGAGGTCCAACTTAGATCGAACGATAGATCGCATTGGAATGGGTGCGTCTCCGGGAGCCAGGCGCGATGCGGGGTAGTAGAAACTAATAATCTCCCTGTAGGTAGTTATCAATGGATTCTCTTGTCTTTGTGTGGATTTGGTGAGTCCTTCGACCTCCTGTGAAGACTTTGTCTCCTGAATGTGAGGAAATGCCCAAGGTTGGCTGGCGGACAACGTAAGTACCTGAGCGCACCTAAGGGCTGAACCTTTAACTCTGTTCGTTCAGATGTGGATACAAGCAGTGGCTATTATATTACCTAGAGTCCAAGTTCATTACTCAGGTGCGTGCACCAGCCTACATTGGTCGCCGCTAAGCTCAGGCTGCTCCCGCAGTACCGGACAGCTACCTCGGTGCCGTTTCCTCCTCCATGTTTGCGGGTATGATGGTGGGCGCAGTTGGGTGGGGAACATGTATGTGTGTCTCCCTATTCCCCGCTCTTGGTTTAACATGGCTCCTAGGTTCTGACATGATGGGGCGGAGTACGGCTTTCAACCTCACCCTCTTCTTCACTGCTCTATTCGGTATGCTTGCATCATACGCAAATTCATTCTTTACCCTGGCACTCTGCCTTTTTCTACTTGGGAGCGCTGTCGGTGTAAGTCTTGTCTCCCAGTCGACGTGGCACCATTGCTGACTACTCGAACGCCTGAACAAAGGGGTCGATGCCTACGGATGGTACTCTCATCCTGGAATACATACCAAAGGGGAAGCAATACCTTGTGACGGCTCTCTCCGTCTTCTTCTCCTTGGGATCGGTACTCGCTGCGGTTGTCGCCTTGATACTGGTTCCCAGACATAGTTGCAGAGCAACTGACACGCTTCCCTGCGACGTGGACAGGGACAACAAAGGCTGGAAGTATCTTTTGATGGCCCTTGGTCTAATTGTAAGTGATCTGCGAGAATCACAATGCATGTTGTTGACTGATTAGTATCTGCCTACAATACCGTAGACGTTGAGCATGTTCATAGCTCGAATAGTCTTCTTCCGATTGCACGAATCGCCCCGGTACCTCGTCAACGCCGGACGCAAACATGAGGCAGTGCAGGCTCTGCAAATGATTTCCCAATTCAACGGGGATGAACTGTCTATAGGAATACACGACGTTGACGACACTCCTCGGGATGCAGCGGGGAAGAGCGACGATGCAGAGACACCTTTCCTCGCTGAACCACCTCACTCCGCGCAGGAACATCGCACTCGTGACGCTGATACGGTCGTGTTCGATGCTGAACGAGATGCCCAACCTGGGCGTCGCCCCCAGGCGTCTTTGTCTCCCGGTCTCCCTACGTCTCCGGAACGACAGTCAAGCAGAGACGTTCTTACCAATGTGGATGGTCGTGACTACCATTCCACCGGGTCGTCCCCCACGCCATTGGACGCCCATGCATTCGAGACACCCGCTCAAGAGATTCCTCCTTCCATGCCTAGATCAGATAGAACCAGCCCTCTCTCCAATTCGTACTCTAATCCCGCGTCTAACGATGCTACCTTCAAGGAAATTCCTTACATCCCTTCCTCCCCTGCTACTCCCGCCAGTTCGTCACGTGTACCAATGCCCAGGTCTTCCTCTCATCCACCACATTCCCGCCGTGCACTAAGCAACCGGCGTCTGTCGTCTTCATCGTCGATGTACGACATAAAGCGGAGAGTAGGATGCCTGCCGCGGCGTATCCGAAGACCGCTCTATGCATGGATGGATAGAATTGCGACAGTGCTCGAGCCCGAATGGATCAGAACGACCCTCCTTGTGTGGGCCGTTTGGTGCACTCTGTCGCTAGGTCCGTCGTTTTTCGGAATGGCATACTGGGAATGTCGCTGACTGTGCCCAGCATACACTATGTTCAATGTGTACCTTCCGAAGCTGCTCGAGACAGCGACGGGCCCCGCTATAGTGGCAAAGACGCTTGAGGAGAGCTTGTGGGACGTGGTCATCTTCACACTAGGCGGTTGTCCTGGGGCTTTGGTTAGTAGATGGCGTTCCTTGCGCTGGTGCCCGCTGACGTGATTTTGATAGGTTGGAGCCTGGATGACGAAAACGTCCTTAGGGAGACGGCGGTCACTAGCGCTTAGCACACTCGTAACAGCCTTCTTTTGTCTCATCTTCATCCATGTGGAAGCTGCCTGGGCAGTCAGGGCTAGCACGGTTGGGATAAGCCTAAGCTCTACTGTATGTCTCGTAGATCAGAGCACTTTCAGTCACTGACCATCCAAATACCAATGTAGACGATGTGGGCTGTCCTGTACGGGTGAGTCGACATACAATTGGCGCTGGCACGGTCATCTAACATGCTCTTACTAGGTGGACCCCCGACATATTCGATACTAACATAAGAGGTACTGCTTGCGGTATAGCGTCAGCACTGTCTCGCATGTGAGTGCGATATTTGTTTGGTCCTTGGCCTCCGCTTATCAGCGGTATGTTATGGCAGTGGTGGAATGATAGCGCCCTTGCTGGGCGGGTCGTTATTAATGATAGATAGGTCGGTGCCTGTTTACACCAGCGTTGTTGTGTTCATCGTTGCGGCCTCGTGCGTTCTAATGCTCGACGACAAGGGAGGTGAGGGTGAGGGTGATGGAGGACAAGGCGGTGGCCTGATGCATTAACTACTGTCAGGAAGAGCATATACTGCACTACAGCACGAGCGAGTCTCCTTGATGAAGCAGCGATGTCTGCATGAGAGCTATCAAGGCCCGCCATGACGAGCCACGAAGATTGCGAAGTGGGCAATGTTTGTTTCGGAGATGATGGCCCTACATCAGACTCACGGAAGCGTGATGATTCCCCGCAAGTTCCATCTTTTGGGACCAAGCTGCGTCCATTTCTTGAAATGATAGGTGTACCCGAACCGTTGTCCCGCAATCGGCGGCAGGATTCAGAGCGACCCGAGCTCGACATACATATCTCAGTCCAGGATGGGTCTGCTAGAGTGGGGGCTTGACGATGCCCGGGCTGACTTTGTAGTAAACTATGGAAGAGTCCTCCACTGTAATGGCGACGTAAACTTCCGGTGGTCTCTCGAGCTCGTCAAAAGCGGATTGTAACCTGCACGTCGTGTAAGTAACCTCAGGGATCATTGGAGCTATAAAAAGAGACATGCCACGACAATGAGATGGACTCTGAAAGCGAGCACGGGATTACTGCAAGGACGGCGTCCTGGCTTCAGGGTCAGTGAAGTTGCTAAAGTAGCGGTGTTCAAACTTACAGTTTCTGGCTTTCGGCCACGAAATCCACAACGAGAGCACTTGGGGAGATCGATCACTTCGAGGTCCTTCCACTGCTGTGCTATGATCTATGATTCGACCATTAAGCGATGGAAGAATAGTCCATCGACAGACCTAGCAGCAAATCATTGTATGCCTGAAATATGCTTCCTGCGGCACGAGGATATTTTGAGACGAAAGGCGACAGGACAGCAAACTGACCACGACATGGCCGCGATGACATGAATCCATGAGAGCTACTTCATGCCATGTCTGACTCACCGAGGGATGGCTATCCATCTGACCGAAGAAAAGAGGCTTGCGAATTATTTTTTAGGTTGACTGAGTAGGCGGAAAAGGGGTCTTACACAAATAGCATTGACAGCTATCCCAAAAGTGAGACCTAGAGGTTAGAGCGGCCAATATCGAAACAGCATTTGCCAGCAATCGGACATCTTCAACAACAGCCAGATTTCGTATTAAATATACACCACGGCTCCCATGCAGACTTAGTACACGCTATTCATTACACTGCGTAGTGACCTTCAGTCCTTCCTTTCATATTCTAGTACCGACAATCCCGCATCTACTCAATAATTCTCACCGGTCTACGAGGAAGTCCCGTTAGCAATTGGTTTCTGAGAAAGAATATTCCATACAAGTACTCACCTTGCGGTCTTCACCGCGTTCTACCATGCCAGGGTTGCGGGTGGTCTTACCAGCGACCTTCTCGAGGCCCCCTGAATATGCGCACACCTCAATACTATGCCTCGTCATACAGCCAAGCAAACACTGACCCATGAGCTTATCGCCAAAACCGGGCTTCTTGCCGGTATTCGACTGGTCGCCGTAGGCACCCTCAGCGGCGTATCTCGAGTCGTCGGGGTTGTTGCCGCCGCCGTAGCCGCTATCACTCTGATTCCCGCCAACACCGGCGGAGGACTGATTCTGGTATCCACCTTGGCCTTGGCTAGTCGAGTTCGAGTCGAACCCACCACCTTGGCCACCAAAGTCATCGCTCCTCTGTTGACGACCCTGGCCACCGAGTCCTCCCTGGCCGCCAAATCCTCCCTGGCCTTGGCTGTTATCCCAAGCAGAGCTGTCGGTGTCACCAGCGCCACCAAACTCTGTTACTGCATTAGATGGAAGTAATGGGTTGGAAGGACATGGATTACTCACGATTGGAACCGGTCTGGTTGTCCACCTGACCACCCTGGCCGCCGAATTGGCCGCCCTGGGGTTGGTTGTCATACTGGCCTCGACCAGAGTTGGCGCCCCCAAACTGACCACCTTGGCCGTCCAAGTTGCTCCCAGAGTTCTGGTTATCCCATTGGTTGTTCATGATGCAGGGTTGGATTTGGAGGGTAGATCGAACGGTGTGCGGGTTTTGAGAAGTTGGATTGCTGAACAACCACATCGGTGCGTCTCGCTCTTATATTGCCGACTGTCAGGGTGAGAAGCATGACGTCTGAGGACGGCTCCCGTTGGGTACCCGCTAGTTTCATGTGGAGAGGGTGCATGGGATGGAGTGATGCATGGCGAAAGAGCCAAAGCGCAGATTCAGAGTCTATTTCTGGGGCCGAACTGAGGTGCTCTAGTGGCTGGATAAGCCTGGATTGCGGTTTTCAAATCAAATCGGGACATTGAGGGTCCGGTACTCCAACCTGTTATGCAGCAACAGGAGAGAAGCTATTTCAGGGCAATGACCAGCTGGGGATGACGAGTAGCCCGTTGATGGCACGCCACCGAGGACAAATAGAGGCAAGGGGTGTTGTACCTGTCAATGCATAGTGCGCACCCCAGCGCCGATGCGTTATAAATACCTAGCTCTGCGCTGACACGACCCGGGCATTGCGGGGGGCATGATGTAGGGCGGCTTTGACACTTGCAAGACACCATTACAGCGGCGAGGACTACTACCTGAGCTGGATGCGTGTGGGTGGAAATTCGTACCGGCGAAGCCAACTGCCCTGACATCAGCTGGACGGCCCCCCTAATTGGCAGAGGTGGATAGATGCCGATGGCGATCCTGAACCCAATCCGGAAGAAGTAAGGACCGACATACCAATTTGCTGTGACCACCGCAATGAGCGCATGCTTGACTTTGTACCTGTACTTGATATCCTGTTGTATTGAGTGCGATTGCAGGGATGCGTAACAGCGACTATTGTCGATACAAGGACGAAGCGTCCAAAAACCTCGTAGCGGTGGAGGCTTCAGACGTGGATGCCGGCCTCATATAAAAGCCCAAGGTCTCTGGTGCTCTCATGGCACACATCCCATATATACGTGCAGACAGAAGGATGGCGACCAAAGGGACAGACCAGATCAGAAGGCAGTCACAGGAAGGTAGACGCCAGCACTTGTAGTCCTATGTTTCTTCTCCCGAGCGCTCTTATCACCCCGGAGAAACTACGTGTCGTGGAGAGCTATAAGCAGTCATCAATACCGCACCTTTCAGCGTAGCAGACTGAGGCCATATGCATGCCTCTGGCACGCATTCAACGAAGCTGGGATTCGGGAGACCAGACGAGGTAGAGAATTCTGTACCGCTTGGTTATTGGCGAGGTGATGCCTCTGGTTCGTAGACTGGGCACTTGCAATGCATGGTAGTGCCCATCAGAGCCCAGCAGAGATGATTTCGCAAGGAGCACCGAGGAACACATGATCAGTTGTTCCAAAGAACAGCCCAGTCCAAGTGTGTATAAGTGTTGGCAGATCTACGAAACGAGCGCCCAAAACTTTGTTGCTCTGCAGCGTTGCCGTATAAGTAGTGCTCGACGGCGCCCGCTTAGAGACCTTTACAAGCCTTTACAGCACTCTGGCATCGAGGACAAGAGACAAACGCGGCGACCAAGATGAACGTTTCAGCAACATTGTTCTCATTTCGGCCGCGGCAGCTGAGCTAAGCAGCCCGTCGGAACGCTATTGTGGCTTGCAGCACGATACAGCAACTCCCCTGAACTGTCCCCTTCCCGGCCTCATTCCCTTGGTCGTCGTCTATCCTTAATATTTGCCCGCAGGCGTCGGTCTGCGCAATTCCCCCGCTATGTCCTTGACAAGCGTCCTTTTCCTTCTTGCTTGCATCCCTTCACTATGCGCCGCTATATCTAACGACTCGCGAGGACCGTTCCCAAACCCGCTCTCACGACGTGCTTCAAAGAGCATACCTTCGGAAGGCTACTATGATCCATTATCAAACGGTGGCAGCATGCTAACAGTACGTATCTGCTGCTCGCGCGACCTCGGGAGCTAACACTGCCGTAGCAAGTACCGGATACATTCCCCGCCGGCCTGGGCGAACCAATAAATGTTATACTCTCAGCCAAGTCGGACGCTGCTGTCCTGGTAGACCAGCAGATGGACGGAGGACTTCGGAATTACTATCAGTGCGTCATATACATCCCGGATAACGCGCTTGTTCGAGCCAGCTCGCGTTTCTAGGTCTCTAGGTTTCAGTTCAGAGTGTCTGGGACAGCACTCAGGATCCGACCAGGCTGCTAATCTCGGGGACGGGAACGGTTACAGTACGTGGACAATTCCATTCGCATTATGTGCCATCGTCTGAAGGGAGGCCACAACCAACCAGAGAACGAGACCGCGGTCATCCGGTGGGATTACGGCGACCCTGCCTTTGGGACATGTACAGAGACCATTCAGGGCGGCAACCATTTCCGATACTGGGTACAGAATGGGCCAAAGGCTGATAGGTGCGTCATCATCCCTTCAAGATCCCCTCACTGCTGACGACGATGCGAGCAGCGGTGCTATTTTCATGGCTTTGTCGTATGAGAAGCCTATAGCACGTAAGTATGCTTTGTAACGTCGGTCAAGTACCGTCTAATCCCCGCATCTTAGTTGGCCACGATATCATTGAGAACGGGTAAGTGCTTCACCTTCCGTCGGGGTCGGGTTATATATAGTCTCATCCCTTCCCATAGGTACAACTTAGCACGGTGAGTGTTCTCAATGTGGTAACGCAGACTCGCAATACTAAAGAGCTATGGACGGAAACCAGAGATTGGCTCATTGGCAACGCCACGGGTCAATCAATCCCCACAGCGAACCTCACAAACTCATCAAGCTATTCCGGATCGACGTCAGCGCAGGGCTACACATACGAGACGTCGGTACATTACGTATCTGGCCTGCTCCAGAACACGAGCGAGGGCATTAATCATTACCTTACTGTTGGCGTCAACGGAACGAACGCCGTAGATGGTCTCGTAGCAGTCATGGAAGTGCATATCTCGGCGAAGCCAGCGAAATCCAAGTGCGTCGGACTTTCACTGCGCTCCCCCTAAATATCTCATCTTTGCCACAGTTCCCCGCCAACGATGGCACTATCCTCACCATGGTCATGGCACCTCCCAACACTGCTCAACGTCGGTGTCTTATTTATTCTCCCTTTATTTTCTCTGTAGTAGACAGTCACTGCACACACCTATCCTTAGAAGGACAGCACTACGGTAGCCAAACATTCCGTAGCACGGGACGGGACGGAAGGACGCTACTTCGGATGCAAGCTCACTCCTACCCTTTCTCGATAGCATCTGCTTTGCATAGTCACTTGGAAGTCATTGCTTTCTGCTCCCGAGATGTACGTTAACGAAGTTGTATACAAGCACTGCACGCTTTTACGACGGCTTCTGTCTTGAACACGATGCGTAGACACAATCTGGCAGCATCGGCACCATAGCAAACAAGCAGCCCGGTCCGTCGGGCAAGAGGATAGAAGCTACGGATACACAACATATACAGAGCCTGAGAGTACTCAGTCTTCTATCTCCAGATCGCCATAAGGCTTTGCTTTCCAGTAACTCTCATCGAAGTGGTGCACACGGACGAAACCATCTTCCCCTCCGGACGAGTATGACGTCCCAGCGGGATGAACAGCGATGCTGTAATTCGAGGGAAACGATATGGTCAGATTGATCAAGAAGTATAACGATGTTCCTATACGTACGTATTGATGGGTCCGAAGTGACCCTTCACCCGCCCAACCTCCTCCTCGAAAACCTTGTGCCAGAACCGTGTCTCGAACTTACCCTGGCGAAGTGATGTTGTTGTGACACTCATGGCTTCCTGACCGCCTCCCAATAGCACCTGCCAGACCTCGACGGTTAACCAGACGACGAGGAGAATAGTGCTGATACATACGTATGGACGCTTAGGCGCGATAGCGGCGCTGTTTAGTGGTGTCTCCGTGGAGTATGTCTTCAGGACCATGAGCGTCTTCGTGTCGTGAAGCTAAAAGTGCAAGCCCCGATGATTATGGGATCTGGTGCGAGGAAGGAGAGTCAACGTACCCTTGCGGTTTTGTCTTTGCTGCTGGTGATGAAATATGTCCGGTCGGTGCTTAACTGCAGATCGGTGACTGTGTCCATATGTGCACGCTCGTTGTTCAACACCTCATCGCCAGTCTTCATGTCGAATAGCGCCACCTTGCCTGACTCGTGGCCAGTCAAGATGAGACCGTCCATGTACGGGAACGCGCACACGGTGGCTTTCGAACCGACGGGGTTGAACATGTAGGTTGGCTCCTCGGATTCTGCGACACCAAGAGTGTCAGCTACAGTGAACGTCAGGACCTTGCAGAGCACGCACGATCTGTCCCATCCCCTTCCCGGTTTATGTCGAACACCCGCACCGCACACTGGTGGCCCATACGCTGTTCCGTGATGCAGACAATACGGTCGTCGTCCTCGTTGAAGGCGACTCGCTTCACAGCGGTCGGGAACTCCCATGTGAAGAGACACTTGCCGGTTGCAACATTCCATAACTTCATGCAGTTATCAGCGGACCCCGATACGAGGAATTTTGACTCTGCTGGGGATACGGAAAGGTTATTAGACGGCGATACACGCAAATAACGCCCGGGCTGACTCACAGTCGACGTCGACGGTCCATACTGTCCCATTATGTCCGTCATACGTTCCTAACCGCTCTCCGTTATGCGTGTACCATACGTTGATGACATGGTCTTTTGAACACGAGAAGAGGAGATCGCCCTCCTTGTTGTACTTGATCTGGGTCAAAGACCGCTCGTGACCTAGTAAAATTTGGTTTCAAGTCGGTACTGAGCTTGCACCTAAACGCGCAGATTCTAACCTTGTAAGAGAATGGGCCTCTAAGAGCATATGTCAATCAACTTTTCTATGAATAAAGGTACAAGGCGTGCCATTATTGCAGGAATAGAGCGTTGTCTTTCCGAGACCCAGGCAAGCTTCGACGAGGCGATATGATTCTGGAGGAATTACAAGCTCGGATCGGCAATTGCCGTGCTTCGATCGTTCTTTCGATGCTTGGTGTGGCGATGCTGTACGCTTTGTACTGCAGCCATACCATGTCGGACTCTGGCGTTCTTGATACTGAAATCGATGGCTGGGAGACACTGGAGCCTGCGCGGAAGAGACAAAGAACGAGCGAGCTTGAGGACAGGAAGGAACCTGTCATAGCCTCTACGGAGGAGCTTGTTCGAGATGAGAAGTACTACAGAACCGATGGTGATTGTGTTATCCGTGTGGAGAACACGCTGTTCAAGGCAAGTATGCGGTGGGCGAGAGTTCCACGCAAGTGCTTACAACAGTAACAGGTCCATCGCTTCCTTCTAGCAAGGGATTCATCTGCCTTCCAGCATATGTTTACATTCCCTGCGGGTGATAAACAGCTAGCGGAGGGGTCGAATGATGACTATCCAGTCCGGCTCGTCGGGGATACCGTCGATCAATTTCGTGCTCTGCTGTCCATCATGTACGCGCTGTGAGTTAAGTTTTGTCTTCATATCCTTAGCCAGCTTCTTACGTTTTCTCGGGACCTTTACAGTCCACCCGAACTACAGTCATATAATAGCCCGACTGCTGATATCGACAACCTCATAACGGTCGCAGAGATAACCAACAAATACCACTTTGCTTCAGTGGAGACATGGGCGGTCGATGCCCTTCACGACGTGCTCTCCGGTACTTACGGTCTTCCTCAGACCGATCTGGCTATCTGCGATTCCGCACTCATGGCCCGCCTTCTCGAGACCGCCATTCTATGTAATCATACGCGGCTGCGGTCTCTGATAGTCTCCAAGTGGACTAATCGGATCCTGCTGCGAGACCTGAGCCCCACTCTCGCGATCGTCCTGGCTGATCGACACATGCTGCGGTCCCTCCAAGGAATAGCTTACTATGTCCAGCTCATGGAGATGGGCTCTGACTTATCGAAACTAAAGGCCGACAAGGCCTTGAGCAGGGACCAGCGTGCTCGGCTGTTATCTGGGCACTGGTCTCTGGTGAAGCTGTGGGATCGTCTCAGGGTCACCGCCCCCGCCTTTGAGCGCTCTGACGGGTGCACCTTCCACAATCACGGTTGCCTCAAGGTGTGGGAAGACCAATGGCTGGAAGCCGGTAAGAATGAGAAGACCCTATCGTACGGCTCTGCCGACGTCCTCGGGAGGCTGCGGTGCATAAAGGAACACCTGATGATGAATGGAGAGATCGTTCTGAGGCTGACGCCGCAGTGCCGCAAGGCAGCGGTGGAGTCGCTATGGCGGACGATTAAGGAAGTAGAGGACGGTTTGGCAGATCATTTTAATGACCTTACACAGTGTTCTGAATGAAGAATTTGTATTTCCTAGCTGTATTATATACACCTGCACCTCGGTATCGGGAGGCTTATATGGAATATGTCAGCTCTCAGGCCTCTCCGTCAGTTCGATGAAACGCCACATGTGAGATAAGCCGGTACGTGCTCGGCCTCTCGTTATAATTGGTTCAGGGTCTCTCAGCATTGTTGTTGGGCCAGGTGAGCGCAGCAGTCATCCCCTGATGTAGCACAGACAATGGGATGTGCTCTCACGAATTTTTATCGAAGGCTACCCTGAACGGCAGGCTCCAAGAAGAAGTCCGAGTGGACTAGGAGTGATTCTCGAGCAGAAGACCGCGCCGCTGACATCCTAACCTCGAATAGGCAGCGGGCAGCCGCCTCGTGCGGTGTTCGCCCTGAGTCATGAATATCTGCCACGGGGCCAGAAAGATCTCGACGACAGGGCAGGCAAACCTGCCTAAGGGTCCGCGACACCGAAGATTTATTGCTGGCGCGAAGTACGTACTATCCTGCCCAGCACATGCGTGCTCGGGCTTCTGCATCATTCCTCACAAAAGTGGTAACTGCAGTGGCCACTATTCTGGGCCGCAGCATGGGGACCATTTCACGTCTGACTCTGCTAACGGCGATGTTACCTTCTTCCCTACTTCCCAATCGGTCGAGAATTTACCATTCTTTCGGCTGTGAGACAAGTCCCTTCCGCGCGAGGTTAGTCCCACCATGACTTTTCTCCGGCATTCATCAAGCAGACTCGGCACTGCATAGGAAGAAATTATGCTCGTCAGTGTCGTCTACGACCATACCGGAATTGCTCGTTTCAGGAGGGACGCTGGCTTCACGAGCTGGATGAATTTCCAATATTACGGTTGGGATTCGTGGTATTGGCTGCCGGTGGCTTGTCTCCTCAAGTTGAAGTCTGTGTACAGCAAGCATACGATTCTCGTTATGGCACGAGACGTGGTCTCCCTGGACGGTTTCTCAAAGCGCTGGCAGCTGCAGTCGAATGGCCATGACCTACGAAGTTAATTCGTGCTCAGTAGAGCCACGCATAGGTGGTAAGCACTGTCAGCGTATCATGAGAGATACCGACGTCTGACTGGCTCCTCCGAAAGACCCAGACAGCCGCTGAATTCTTGCGCTGCCCCCACTATTTTCCCTACCCTACACAAACTTCCTCCGACCCTCTCCCTTGAACGCCGTTAAGACACGGTCAATAATTCCCCGCCGGGAGCACAAGTCTAGACATCATCCTGAGAGCCACGACGGAGGTCGTGATCCTCGTACGGTGGAGCAGACACGCCCGCAGAGGAGCGCCGTCCCGCCTGGCATGCATGTCTTCAGCCATCGGACATTCGGCTTGGCGATATTGCTTTCCACCGCGTCCGTGACAACGATCGATATTGAGATGTCGATCGGTGAAATCTCAACAGGCAGAACATCGCAGACCACAACGTACCAGACTGGCGATGAATCCATGGCTTGCGGCGCTGGCATCGATGTGCCAACGTAACGACGCTGTAGGAAGGGTTCCTCCCGTCATCCGCCTCCCTTGTGATGGCTGGCATGCCTCCTGTACCCCCGACCTGCACTACTTCAGCCATTGGCGAGTCGACCGTGATCGACTATTCAATTCAGCCCGTCGAAAAAAGCACATCGACAGGGCAAGACATTGGACGAGTCTAGAGCTGCCTATGGACCGCAGACAAAGTCAGAGAGGGCGGCGCCGTCGATGGGGTCTTAAGCCGGTGACCCAATCAAGGCACCACTTGGGATTCAGACATCGCAAATTTTACGCGCAGCTTTACTCCGGTGAGTTCTCTCTCCGGCTAGAAGACACGATGCAAAATCTGATATCGTCCGGCAGCGTAAAATGCCACCTTTACAATGTGGCAGTGGCCACGGAGGATAGTTTGATAACGGCAGTCCCATTGGACGATGTGGCGGCTTATTTGATCGACCGCGCTCGGAAGATCTAATCTGGCAACGATCGACTGAATGGCTTGTACGGATGCCGGTGCTCGCACTCGTTCACCACGGCAGCAGATACCTTGCCCGAGAATGCCGTCGCGCCTCGAGAACCTCCGCAAGTCGGAGCTTGCGATGATACGACTGAAGTTTATTGTCGAGAGTGTTGACCCGCTGGTGTCAATAAAATGCGGGATTCCTCGCAGCGCAATTGCAACATATCGAACCATTCGAGTCTTTCGTTGATTGGTAAGAAGGCTGCTGTGGATGGGAGAACGGTGGCCAGGTGTGTGTCACTTGCATCTCTACACAGGCGGTTGCTCCACCGCGTTGCCCATGAATCCAATATGTCCGCTGTTATAATTGCCGGACGAGCTCCACAGGTTTTCGTAGTGGTATACGTTGCATTGCCCCACATCTTGGGCTGTAATCACTGGTGGAGCAAGAACACAGAAGCACTGCATGATCGAGATCTGGCTAGCTGCACAGGAAGTCGAGCTCGGTACCGCAACTGCAGTACTTTGCCTGGCAGCGGGCCAGGAACCGGCGACTCTTCGTGCCAAAATATTGAAGGAATTTGGGGGGAAAGAGGCGCGTAACAAATTACTGCAGGTCCTCGAACGAGTCCCTTGTCCTACTTGCGTCGTGGTGGGCTAGTGATTGAGTGAACGGGAAGGTGTCCAAGTTGTCGACGTCATGTTTCCCATGGGTAATTCAACCTCTTGCCCCTCTTTGCCTTTGCTCTTAAAGCACCATGATCGCTAGTCTTGCCGTTTCTGCACTGATACCTGTCGCTGTCGATTCCGCGGACCTGTCGTTTAATACCGGGTAATTCTACAGCTTTCCAGTTGTCGCGAGCGCATATTACCGGACTATTTACTCTCTCGCGTCTGTATCCTCCCACTGCGCTGACAACGTCGACCCACGACCCGCCCAAATCATCACGACTTGCCGAGCTTAGTCAAGGAACTCGACCTGCTTTCCCAAGGCAAGTATCCGTCCTATTTGCATCAAATCCCACCCACATCCGCTCGGTCCCTGTGTGCTGTGCTCCTGTTTTGATTGTGTCTGTGCACAGATCAGACGGAGCGGGGGACAACCGTAGCATTTGCTGAACATCGATGTTGCAGCGAGAAGACACGCCGACGCCGACTCCAAGAATACTAACTCACCCCATGGTGCTCAGTGCATGGCACAACCGACGGGGCACTGCTGTGGAAGGTGAGTGGACGCGGCACGTGGGACGATCGGGGCGGCCATCACCGGAGAGGAACAGCGTAGCGCCGTCGCAGTCACGTGACCGTGCATATGGATCCGGGCTAGCGAATTTTCGAGTCCGTTATACGTGCGGCAGCAGCAGTCCCCCCAATAATATTCCACTTCACGTCCTTTCCTTTATTTCTCTCCTTCGGCTATGCTTACCTCTGTCTTTAACTAGTTCCCCCCAGTCCTTCTACCGTCGTTTCCTCTTCTTTGGGCCGTTCAGGCAAGTGTTGCCGTTTATGATCGCGTGTAACCACCGCGCGCCCCTACTTATCCCACTGCGCGTCTCTGCCAGGGGTTTATGATCCAATTCCGACAGACTCTCGTCAACTGCAAGACCGCGTCCCTGCTCGGGTGGACAATTTAGAGAGATCAAGCGGCGCGGGCAAAGTATTTGCAGGGCAGGCTTTCATGGCGGGAGATGCCAGCAACGAAGACCCCCAGGATCTGAACGTGTCTGGTTCACCGGCCCCTTCTTTCACATCGGACACTGGCAGACCTCCTGGTGCCTCCTCGGCGCCGTCGCACTCCCAAGCAGCTGTTCCCCGCCGGCAGCAGACCAGGCCCACGTTCCAGACCCCGCCTGGCCATTCATATACCAGACCCCCGTCCGACAGGCAGCAGGCGTCTCCTGGCGCTGGTTCACGTTTTCCAGGCGCGCCTCATCAGTACCAGGCTCGTGCTTCCCCTTACGGAGCTCAGCCCAGTGGATATGGCGGACCATACACGATGTCCTCCCCGTCCGCTGGCGGGCTCCAAGCACCTCCCAATCCTGCATTTCCCTATGCCCACGGGTTTTCTCATCCTGGCCAGTACGTACATGAAGCGCCGATGATCCCGCAAAATCCGCATATGGCCTACTCGTCGCCCACCATGCCTGCCCTATTACAGCACCACAGCAGTCCAGGCCCGTCATCAATGTTCGGGCACGCCCAGATCACTCCTTCGCCCCCGCCCCGCTCCCCCTTATCTTCATCAGGCTCGCAGGCTGGACCTCCGCATTCGGCGGCTTATCCAGGACAGGCGTCATTCTATCCGCCCTTGTCCTCGTCGCCCTTCCCTTACCCTGCTCAGTCATTTCCCTCGTCGCCACCCATATACCAGTCCCAGTACTCGCCCTCATACCCCTCCCAGTTCGTCTCACCGAGTGAGCAGGAGAGGCACGGCACTTGGTGGTATGTTCCGAGCAACGTACCCTCGCCGAGTCAGTATGATCCCATTTCCCATCCATTCCCTGCTCACTACACCGTGGCGTATCCTTCCTTAAGCCGGCAAGAGCTCGAAGCCTACAACCGTCCCGGGCCCTCGTCCGTCTCATCCGCCGGCTACCCAATGTCACCCGTCGCACGTCCAGGGCCGGTTGGATACCCCCATTCACTCAGTGCTGGACCTGCATCGGCTCCCCCGTCTCTCGCTTATCCAACTTCGCCTGACCCGGCTAGCTCGGAAGTCGGCGCAGCCTCTATTCGCGCTACCTCGAGGTCCTCTCTAAACCCTTCATCTGTGCGCCGGTCCTATCATCCCAATCCGCCCACGCATAGGTCCGAGTGGGTTATGTGGGTGGGTAATGTCCCCGGGGACGCGACCGTGGAGGAGCTATGGCGCGTCTTCAATCATCCGGGGCCTATTACCCAGTCCGCAGACTCTGCTCAGGACTCGGACACGGACGGGCAATTATACGGCGGGGTTGTCTCCATATATCCTATCGTCCGCTCGAATTGTGCCTTTGTCAACTTCGAGTCAGAGGCTCATCTGCACAGCGCGATCGCCCGGTTCAATGGACAGCCCTTGAGAGTACACGACCCCAAGTGTCCACGTCTGGTCTGTCGCGTTCGTGCGAAAGAGGACGATCTGAGAGCGGGTGTCGGCGCGCAGAGAGGGACGGGGTTACATACCAGATGGGTTAGAGAGAAGCGGGAAAGGACCCTTGAGGGACCGTCAGCTTCTGGTGAAGCAAGTCGGGACGATCAGTCCGGGTCAGAACGCGTCGTCACGCCGACAAGTTCAGCTGAGTCGCCGCGCGATCTGGCTCACAGGGTCGCCTCTCTGTCGTTATCGAGTGACGAAGAGAGTCGCTTCCGCCGTGGGACGAAGAAGTCAAGCTCCGGGTCTTATGCGTCGACTAACTCGAGCTTCCTGGCTCGCCACTTTCCCAAGCGCTATTTCATCCTCAAATCGTTGAGTCAGGTGAGCTTTGCCCCCGCAGATCTATGCCGCAGATTGTAACGCCCCCCGGCAGTTTGATTTGGACCTTAGCGTGGAGAAGGGTATGTGGGCAACTCAGCGCCATAACGAAGCGATCCTGGACCAAGCGTATCGCACGAGTCAAGACGTTTACCTCATCTTCGGGGTGAACAAGAGCGGCGAATTCTACGGATATGCTAGGTGTGTATTTTTCCTTGTATTGATGCCCATTAGTTCGGCGCGCCGACGAATGCCCTCTGTATGGAATTAGGATGGCAGGCCCCATTGGAGGTAGCGGGCAGAGGATGTCATGGGCGTCGAGGACCGATTCCTCCCCCGCGTCACAGAGGGGATCTCGGCGCTCGGACACCATTCCGGAAGAGGGGTCCAGTCCTACGCAAGCTCGACAAGAGCCGCACTTCTTTCCGCTTAGCGAGCAACGACTTGTGGACCAGTCGCCGATGCCGGTGTCTCCACCGCACAGACAGGTTGTGCCCGGATCGCAGCTCGAGCCTGCGCGTGAATTCCTCTCTGCCCCGGCAGAGATGCACAACCCACACCATCGCTTCTCCGTGCCGAGTCCCGCACCCAAACAGAGCCTCGACATACCGGAAAGGGTACTTCCTGCCGCGCCATCCCTGTTGTCAGCTGATAACTTCGAGTTGAAGGCCGAACCTATGCTTGCTGCTCGTTCGCGAGGTGCTTCCGGTTCGTCAAGTCGCGAGGCGCAGGCGGATGGTGAAGGAGTGAAACGCATCGACAAGCTGAAAGATGAGTTCCCTGGATCGCCCCTGCGGACGGTGGCTGAGGAAGGCTCGAAGGAGGAGGAGGAGGCCGAGGAGGAAAAGGTCGGGTTCCTCCGGAAGGGGGACGAGAACTGGGGCGCCCCCTTCCGAGTGGAGTGGATAAAGACGACCCGTCTGCCGTTCTGGCGGACACGCCACCTTCGCAACCCCTGGAACCACGAGCGGGAAGTGAAGGTGTCCCGGGATGGTACCGAATTGGAGCCTGGGGTCGGACAAGCCCTGCTGGACGAATGGGATCGACCCGAGCCGCCGCAGTCGCCCATGTCTTTCAAACACCCTGGACAGGGTAAGCGTCCCACCGGGGAGCAGAAGTCGATATCGACAAATACCGCGCCGACCGTCTCACGGAAAGGGGACGTGTAGTGGAATCAACTCATTTTCTTGGATTATTAGGAAACATCCCCCCAAAATTCACGACATTCAAACCGCAAAAAACTGGGGTTCACGCAACGTACACGTCTAGACATGCACCACAAACTACTTGCACTCGTTCGTTATCGCCTTTCGACTCACGACGACAGTCACGCTTGTCATTCACGATACAAGATCTGTCATTTCACTCTTTTGGGCTCAAGGGTGTGCTGCATTGTTAAACTGCCTGTTCGCTCATCGATGCATTGGTTGTCAAGCTTTGAAGTTTTACGCATGTAGCTATAGTAGATCTCTACTCATCTGTACCTCGCACATTTGGCAGCCCACACACGCAGCGCTGGAGTGCGCTGGCTTTGCGTGTTTCTTACATACTATTGTAGCACCGGACTCGTATATGCCTGTGGTCCGTAATACACTTGTTGGTGGATGCTTCTCATATGAATGGAGACGGCCTTCGAAATGCCGAGCACTCGAGGTGAGCTCTGGTGTATGTCTATGACTTCGGGTTCTTGGCCAGGGGTTGCGGCGTGACATCACGCTTGGGCACACACAACATCGTATTCGCTCAATGATATAGTACAACGTTTGTCCGGAAGCAGTCCTGAGCATGGGGCTCACATAGTGCAGATCGAAACAGTCTAGCAACACATCTCGCAAGGGCAGCCTGAAGAACATGTCCTCAGTTAACAGCTCCGTGAGAGTGTCATAACACTTACAAACGATGTCCGCGAAGCACTCGCAGCAGTCCTGTGGGACATAGTTAGCAATGCTCACGGGAGTTTGGAATACGGTCCCGACAGACCTTGCAGCACTCTATTGTACGCAGAACTATGAGCTCTAGTCGCAAGTAAACCGTGGAGAGACTCACCGAAGCAGAGGAAGCACTCGACGGCACCAAGGAAGCAGTCCTGCACCGCATAGACAATTTAGCATCCCCACCATGGGATTAGCAGACGAGTCTGTCTTACCCTAGCGGCACCACCTCCACGAAGGCGGGAGGCCTTACGTTCACATTGCTGATGTTGCTTGTTGGCAGGCGCGCCTGCGTTCATCACAGCTGAGGGAACGACGGTCAGAATCGTTCTCAGGGCCCGCTGCCACGCTACATACACATCTGAACAGCCTGGGGCTGGGCATTGGTGGTCTGCTTAGAGGGGGCGGCGGCGGCGGCGTCCATAACGACGATATAAAGCGACGGAAAAGGGTCGCTTTGATGGGGGGAAGGACATGGTCCCAGCGACGCGCTCTGTATTTATACAGGGCCGCCGCTTGGTCCGATGACGTCCTGAACATGCCTAACAGCGCAGTCGGCCCAACGTGCGGTCGACCGCCTATTTTTATATCAAGGCAATTGCACGGCCAAAAATAGCGGTGCCCCTCGCTCCTCTGATTGAGTTTGCGCCACTCGCCGCCATGCCCCCTGGAGGTACAGGTTTCCTGACGTCGGAAAGAGGGCACGTCGGGGAGCAGGTTTGATGTCTGGAAGATGAATTTCAGCTGACTAGACATCCACTGAAACATACGGAGGTAAGGAGGCAGAATTGACTCAGTCCCCGATGCTGTGCATCCGATGTAATAGCGGCATATAGTGGACGACATATCGGACATGTGTACTCGTACACCAGAAATTACATGCAGACGACGAGAAGCTTCAATTATCTCTGAGATGCGTTGGAGAGGAGGTGAGAGTCGAATACCCTGTTCGGGGCTCTCCGGCCCGAGCTTGCAGGTGAAAGAGGCGTGAGAACTGCCTATGCTCCGGAGTCTCACCGAGGCCATTGCGCCTTCTCGTTTGCCACACTCAACTCCTTGAGATGGATACTCCGAAGCGTGGCCGTGGACGCCCCAAGGGCAGCAAGAATAAGCCTACCGCAGGCAATGTTGGCAGGCCGCGAAAGGACGGACAGCCCCCTCGGAAGAGACACATAAATCCGGGTGCACTGTCCGGTGCGGAAAGAGAAGGTAATGCTTGACTCTTGCATTCATCGGGCACCGTAGCTCAGGCATCAGCGTATTTTTTTTTCCTCCAGCAGTGGCGGTTCAAGGATCACTCCCATCTGCCTCGAGTAGCATACCAGCCACCGTCGGTGATCGCACCGGGAGTCTCCTCGAACGGCCCTTTCCTAACCATACCCCAATTGCGCCCCATCCTGAAGAGCTTCATCTCTTGAATGTACCTCAGAAGCAGATTCCTACAGTCAAAAGACCCGTGGGGCGACCGAAGGGTTCCAAGAATGGCCCTAACGTAGGTAATGTCGGCAGGCCTCGTAAAGACGGCCAGCCTCCACGGAAGAGGCAGAGAGTGGCAGAGCCAGACATCGCTGTCCCTGATGCAGGTGTGTACACCGTTGCAGAGCTACCATCTGCGTGACCCCGATGTCGGATAGCAGGGTATCACATCGATCCGTCCCTGATGTCTCTCTCGCATAACGACGTGAACAGCGTCTCTCCCTATATGGCACAACTGCCTTCACCTGACATCAGGAATCCGGTAGATAGTACTCATTCCCTGACCCCACAACCAGATCAGGCTTCGGGTACCGTTATCCCAGGGTCGGGTGTCACACCATCCGGGGTACCTGTGAAACGCGGGCGTGGCCGACCGAAGGGCACGAAGAACAGTCCTAACGCGAAAAATGTCGGACGTCCCCGTAAAGATGGACGGCCACCTCAACGAAGGAGCATTGCGGCCACACTTTCTGCTGAGACTCGAGACCGCACGGATCATGCCGGAGGCAAGTGATAACTTGAAGGTGAATACAATAGTGATAAATCCCCAACCGTTCTACTCGCAGGTCTTTCAAGACCTGAAGAACCCAGATCTGCGAGACTCGTCGGTGAGGCCTCTCATGACTACTTCGTCCACGCTCGAGGGTGAAGGCTCACATCTTCAGGTTCGCTAGGTGTGAACAACAGTCCGTCAGGACCCTCACAGACCACGGGCCTGCGATGGCAAAACATAAACCCCGAGAGTTACATGGCATCTCTAGAGGCGCCAGACCCCGTGCTTGGCCCCGTGCTGGATCCTCAACTCCAAGATTCTACGTCCGCAGTCGCTCGCGCAGACCACTGGCTGCGGGATCCTTCGCAGGCACCTCGTGAAGGTCCGTGATAATGAATTCATTGCGAGGCAGGAATTGGAGGAAACTTCGATCAATTAAATAGTTCCCTTCAGGTCAATCAAGCGAGCGCAACCATACCGACCAGGGTCTTCCTCCAAGAGTCCCAGCTCCTACTCACGCGCCTCACCTACTCCCGCAACAGCCAGTGTCTCTGACTCCGGTATCGTCGCACACTCACACAGCGCAAGGCATAGAGGCAATCCCCCGCTCGTCAACAGATAATGCAGAAGACTGGTTCTGTGTCCTCCCCGCTTCGTCGATGTCTCACCTTCCGTTTATCTTATCCCATTTATCCGCGCGGTCGCCTCAAGGCCGAAACCCGTGGGTGCCAGACCCTCACGTCCTGACTAATGCTGTTCAGGTGTACACGCCGGCAACGGCGAGCGGTCATCTCGGGCCATCCGTTCCGTCTCAGCCAAAGCCTTCCTACTATCTGATTCCTCTACGAGATGCTACGCAGACGCAATTGAAGCCAGCAGGTGCGTCTAGCAGAGAAGACATGGAACAGGCGAACATTAACGATAGGTGTGAAGAGTGCTCCGAGTTGGGTGCCCCCGAGTCCGCTCCCGCGCCCATGGCTCCGGCAGGCTCAGACCCTGCGCCAGAGAAACAGCTGCGCCGCAAGCACAAGCCGCACAAGCCCAGGTCGTGTATGCACTGCAAGAGCATGGAGTGCCCCGGCAGGTGGAGGTTCTACAGGTGTCCGATCTTGATGGCTAAGAAACAGGTGAGCACGTCGGGTGCAAGGTTGGCTTTGGATGTGACGAGAATGTGGCGGACAGGCGGCGTTGGGTGTCGTGCAACCTGTAGCATGTGCATCACCTACGGATGTGAATGCTGCTGCAACAGATGGGGGACAAGCGGACGAAGCCGTTGCTTCCGGCGGGACGTCCGGTGGGAGAACCACAACTGATTGACCCGCTGTGGTAGGCACCTCGGTTGGAAGTTGCACAGAGAGTATACTAGTTTCGATGGACATCAGTGCTCAACGCCAACACAGGAACCCCAAGGAGGCAGCATCAGCGGGTTGTTGGCAGTCCCCTTGGCAAGAGGATTCACCCTGCGTAGGCTTATCGTTAGTCTGAGATGCGAACAACCAAGCCTCAAGGTATATGGTCACAGACCAACATAGCCGAGCAGGAGGAGGAGATCCCATACTGGGTGCCCACAGGATTTTCTACCATTCTACCCCTGAGGTTCGAATGGCAGAGAGGATTCTGGGCGACGTCCCGCGTGGTGATGATATACGTGTCCCGCAATGCTGATCCGAGCAAGGATGAGATACTCGTGGTTGGCGTCCTTCAGAGCCGAAAGAACTGCGATGACTGCGAGCACTGTATTCCAGCGTTCCGAAACACGCGTGCTGCATCGAGGATGTCTTGCCCCCCTTTTTCCCAGTCCCTTCTGACGAATCGTCATCGCGGTTCATAGACTTTCCAGCGTAAACTAGCTTAGCATGCCTGACCGCTGGCGGTAGCCTAGAGGTACCCGTAGGCCGCCTGGCTACATGTTTTGCGAACCGACTCCCAGACGATTACCATCGTTGATTACGCGGAAAGACTTCAGGTTTCAGTACAATCTAGGCAGACAGGCCTTTCGGGAGATTGTTGCCTTAGCAGAATCGGCACCCGTGCGAGGCGGGACCCACAATTAATAGTCGGAGTCCAGGAATGTCGTCCGAATAAGATCCCTAAGCCACGCAGCCTCTCTTGACGGGAACCGTCAAGGAGGAAAAGCCTAACCATTGGCATACTTTTTTATTATGCAGGGAGAAGGCTTCAGAACGCGAATAAGAGCCGTCGCCGAGACCGATAAAACGAGGTCGGACAGACTGGCACTGGCAGTTCCGCGACGCAGCGCCTATTGCAGCAACACGTGTTTGGTTGGTTGCATCTTTCTTTTCGCCCACGCCCAACCTTTCGTTGTTGCTCGCCGTTGACGACGGCGAGCTCGCTGTTTTATTTTCTTCTCCGGCTGGCACTCTACGCTTGATGACTGACGCACGGGTTGCTTCGTCCGATGACACCGCGTCCCTCCTTTAAACACAAGCGTCCTTTGTCCGCCATCTTCCTAGGCTCCTCCCCATCCTCCTCGTTTTCCGCAAGTATACCAGATTTACCTGAACCGCCGAGCCCAGGAGGATCAAGTGGTTCGGGCTTGCCTTCCCCGCCTGCAACGAATTCAACGGGTAGCGGCAGTACGGGCGACAACAGTACGAACGCTGGCAGTATACGTCTACGATCTTCTCCTAATACAAACACGAATATGTTCAATGGTAATAAAGAGAGGCCACGAAGTCGGAACGGCAACTCGAGTGAAGATGAGGACGGGGGAGATAATGAGAATGAAGAGGACCAAACCGCTCGACTCTCGGACCGCAGGTCGTCCTCTCGCCCGAGTGAAAACGAGTTGGCCCTGCAGAGAGTGAAGAGTTTGACTCAACGAAATCGTATGGTTGGTGCTTCCAGTTCTACCAGATATCGCTGTACTCAGAACAGTGTATCCCCCTTTCCGTGTATATGCACTGGTTATCCAATATCAACCATATCCTGAACCGGCGTATCGTGCAATCCAATCTACCCATCTCCATTGCTACAACTCGCCGTCGTGACGCTTCTACCCTTGTTTGACTTGTGCTCTATCTATACCTGCATCGTGGCCGCCTATTCTGCTCTTGATTGAACTTCGACCCTCTATATCTGCGGAACCGCCACCCCCCCCTCCCCCGGTCTTACATGATGTTGGGCTCGTCGCCCCATGGCTTTATGTGCTTCAATTCACCTCCAGGCAATTGACAAGTTATCGCGTCTGAGTACACCATCTCCTTCCAATTCCGGCCGTACCTCTACCAGCCGATCTCCCCTCCCACCCCACAGTGCTGCTTCCTCCTCCTCGTCTGGGAGAGTATCTTCGCACTCTAAGTCGTACTCAACACCTCAGAGCCGCGTGGCAGGTGACCGTTCTGGTTCAGAGACGGAGAGGGAAGGTCATTCGCTCCATTCGTATCCTTCGTCTGACGATCTCTCTGTAACCCCTCCTACAACTTTATCGGGAGGCTCACAGTCACGGACCAGCGGTACGCGTCGACGTCGGACATCGGCACCAGCATCGCCCGATAAAGAAAGTTTGACGTCGTCCTCGTCATCCAGACCTGGCAGCGGTGGCAGAAACGCGTCGCCTGGTCCTTCAAGAACCCCGCGGAAGAGGGTCTCTATAGCGTCTTCTTTCACGAGTTCGTCCATGGACTACGAGGATGAGGAAAAGGACGATGTCGCGAGCGCGGCACTGGCTGCTGTGAGCGCCTCCCGTCGTAGTCCAACAATTGGGAATAGCAGCAGAGCGAGACACCCGCTTCCACGCGAGTTCCGGGACAGCGTTAGGAGAAGTTTGGACGGTAGGGTGCGTCTATTAATTGTCTGGTTAACCCGGTTCTGCGCGTACTGAGGGGGGGTCTGATCATAGTCTGCCGCGGAGCCCATGACACCCCATCGTAATAGAGATCGCGGTTTCCTGGAAGCAAGAGGGTCTCCTTCTCCGAAGTCAGCAGGCTCTACGCTCAATCTTAATGGTCTTCAACAATCACCTCGTCCGGTGCGCGCTGCCGCGGGTCGCTCTGTGCGCGAGCTATCGCGACGACACCAGTCGCGGTGGTTGTCTGAGGACTTATCATCAACTAGCGGGTTGGGAGATATACATGACGGGGAAGAAAGTGACTTGAATGCAGCCATTAGTCCAAGCGGCCTTATCTACGGCAAGCGGCAGACCCTTAGAGGGGGTAGTGCTGAGAGCGCGCTAGGCGCTGGTAGAAGTCTTGTCGGTGAAGGTTTGAAGGCTGCAGGTATCGGGGCAAGGCGCAGAGATTCAGCGTTGGATCTTTTCCGCGACGGCAGATTGGAAGGCGGAGGATCTACTGTGTCTCGGGCAAAGACCACTGGTGCGTTTTAACCAAATGAATTCCGTTGTATGCTTAATGCAATGTGCTGTAGGTACTACTAGAGGAGTTACACTAGGTAATTCGCGTACCAGTGAGGGGGCCGGCCCTTCAGGCTCAACAGCGACCAGAAGTCGCATTGGTCAGGAATTGCGCACAACCACTCCGTCAGGTGACGCTCGTGCTGTTGTCCATCGGATGTCTATGACTTCCAGACCGTCCACATCTATGGCAGGCTATAACGGAGAAAACCCACCGAGTACAGCACCGCCTAGTCTGCGTACTTATCGGTCATCACGCACACTTCCGGATCGGGAGAGGAACGTCTCAGAATTCACATTGGGTGGCAGACAGCAACAGGCTGTCTTAGCTTCCAATGACAGGATGTATGCGTCTCCGGTCCTTGCCCCTCGTCAGACTCCCCATACCGTCAGCGCCCTTTCCGGGCAGTTGGCCCAGCCGAATTCTGAGCACACACGTCTTATGCTCGAGTCCCTCTCAATGTTTGAATCCAGTCTCTCTCGCCTCCCTCCTATGGGTACGACGACGACGTCTACGATACCGGAATTGTTCAGATCGGCCCAGACTATCGTGCACGCGGCGGACAAATTGAATGGACTTCTTCGAGCCGGGACCGCAAATGCCCTGGAAAGGCAGATCGATGCGGATGTCGCAGATGAGGACATGGGTGGAATGAATGCGGAGCTAGCCGAAGTATGGAGGACGGTGGGCGGTGATTTCAGGGAAAGCATGAGGGTCAGCGATGAGCTAGTTCGTACCTTGACCGGGTTTCTCTTGGGTGTCGGCAAGGTTTTGAGGGAATCTGCGTCGTCGAACAACGGGCTACAACACCTCCGTACGGGGAGTTTGGATGAAGAGGCTATCAACCGGAGGATGACCCCTGACATTGCCGACCACCCACGACTTCCTAATGGGCGGATGAGTGTGGACGTACGACGGAGTTGGGAGCCTTCCCCGAGGGAAAGCGCAAGACCGTCATCAAGTCGTAGAGATGAACTAGACAGCCGTGCGTCGTCTTCTATGCGACGCGGCAGGGATTCAGAAGAAAGTACTGGTAAGGGTTATAATAACTGAGATACGTGCGCGGCTCACGAAATCGTGTCTCTGCTGGAAGAGCGCGATTACCCCGTGATTGATCGCGATGAGGAACTCCCCGATCCATCCCCTACACCTGCATCTAGACATCAACACCGTGCTCTAGCCCCCTTAACCATCCCCCCAGCTTTGTCAACTATACCCTCAGAGTCGTTGCTGTCTCGGCGAACGTCCGCGACAGAAAGCAATCGGAGGAAAATATCAAACAACTCCAACGCGACAGTCCGTGCAGGTCCAATGCCATCGACGCTCAAGACCCCCGGTGCCACGACCGCTATCACTCCACACACTGTATCCAACTCGCCAGAAAAACCCGCTTTTCCTTTGCCTCGCGTTGATTCTTCAGGGTCTGGCGGTTCACACAAGGCGAACGTTACGTTCTCTCGCCCGTCCACTGTATCGGTGTCCACCTTGGCTGGGGTGCAAGAACGAGCTAGGAAACGTACGATTTCAGCCACATCGTCGGCGGCGGATGAAGCCCACGATGCTGTAATGGCGACTATCGCTGCAACTGCCCATCACAAGACTCCCGTTTCTGGGTCGGAGTCTGAGAGGGACGCCAGACGACGGACTGTTGGCGCGAAGGGACGGGTGTCGCTTGATAGTGCTGTAAGTTCCGAGAGTCCAAGAAACAGCGGCGGCAACCAAAGACCAACATTACCGTTAGGAAAGAGGGAACGAAGGAGGACGATAACGGAGATATTTGGGCAACGTTAGAACACGGGGGTGGCATGCGAACGAGATACTTTAGGGCGTTGTCTTTGTTGGTACGTTCTTTAGATGTTACCACTTCAGCGTGGCGTTGACATTGCCCTAGTACCTGTTAATCCAGAGTTTATATCTCTTTATTGCAGTCATATGTGCGTCCCCGTCGCACTCATGGCTGCCTTTTGTTTCCCTTCTAAGTGCCTCTACTTCTTGGACTGTTTCGTCGTCCCCTGTGATCCGAGTCTCTTCCACTGTTCTGAATGTAGCAGTCCGGTCATCTTTCCCTTCCTGTTCCCTCGTAACTATCTGTGGCTCGTTCGGCCGCCTGATCCAAGTCCGCGCAACCGTATGTCAATTATAAGATCATGCACGAATATGATGTGTTTGCACGATGATTGTGATGCTAGCGAGTTATCCGGATGCCTCAGCAAGCGCGGGTTCATGGAGTTTATCGCTTTAATCTCATTCTTCAGACCCTAACCCTGCCTAGCCGACAAGCAACTGAATCTGCTTCGGTGAATGCCGATCGGTGGCTTGGGACTTTTTTCTCATCCATCCAGCTTGCATCCACCAGAGCCTATGCTATTCCGTTGTATCTCTCACCTGGACCATGCCTGCCATACACTTTGGAGACGGAAGTATCGCGAGAAATATCAAGACGAACCAGGAGCTTAGAGTTCAACACGACTTCAAATCATCATGGAATCCCCCTAGCACCTCTTCGCCGAAGGCTAACAGGAAGATAGCAGGACGTCACCCGAATGGGTCCCAAGCAATGCCAAATAGCACCGCGCAGATGAATGGAGAGAGTAAAAAGAGGAGCCATGCATGGGCTGATGCGTCTGATGAGGAGGACACCAAGAACGATCACCGTCTCAAAGGGGAAGTCGCAAAAGGGGAGGCAGGCCCTGCTCGCGCGTATACCAATGGACGGAACAAGAAACCTAGGAGAAACTTTGGTATGCCAAACGGCGTCGGTGTTGCCGGGAGCTCCAAGCTGCAGAACCTAAAAGAGCAGAGGAGGCAGCTACCTATAGCCAAAGGCGCGCCCATATTTGACTATTGAGTTCAATCGAATTTCACTTACAGTAATGTATTATCAGGCCGAGAAGCGCTCATTGAAGAGATCCGTCGTCATGACGTTGCCGTCCTACTAGGGGAAACCGGGTCCGGTAAAACAACCCGTGAGTTGGAGCTCATTGGGCTCATTCGACAGGCATTGCGAGACTCATGAGCGTAATTTCATTCATAGAGGTCCCTCAGTACCTCCTCGAATCTGGCATTGCTGGAGCAGGCATGATAGCAGTAACTCAGCCGCGACGAGTGGCAGCAACTTCTCTAGCTGCGCGGGTAGCTGCCGAGCAAGACACTTCCCTAGGTCAATTAGTGGGCTATTCGGTCCGTTTCGATGAATTGGCCGGTCCGGATACTCGCATAAAGTATATGACGGACGGTATGCTGGTTAGGGAACTACTCTCGGATCCCCTCTTGACTCGGTACAGTGTCATCATCGTCGACGAGGCACACGAACGCACACTGCGGACAGACTTGTTGATCACGAAGCTCAAGACCATTCTCAAGGAAAGGAACACCCCTTCTGATGGAAAGGGCAAGGCCTCCGAATCGGCGGGAAATCCTTTAAAGGTTATCATCATGAGTGCTACTTTGGATGCCGAGAAGTTCAGCCAGTTTTACGACAGGCGAGTCCTGTTCTTTGCGTCGCTAACGTGCCATATTGATATTTGGTAGTTGCAAAATCCTATATGTCAAGGGTCGACAACACCCCGTCAAAATATATCATACGGCGGTTGGCCAGCCGGACTATCTGGACGCTGCTCTTCGAACGTTCTTTCAGATACATGTGGATCAACCTCCCGGGGACGTGCTCATATTCCTTCCAGGTATGCTTAAGAAAATGGCTTAATAACGGCTAGTCGCCTGACGTCACACTGTCAGGGCAGGAAGACATTGAAAGCTTAGACAAATCGATTCGGTTGTACGCGAATCGTCTACCAGCAGAAAATATGGGGGTATGTGTGCCGTGTGTCCCGCATCGTCCTAATGCTCACAACGGCCCGCTGTCAGGTGGTCATATGCCCTATGTTTGCTGCCCTGCCACCCGCTCAACAGGCCAAGATCTTCCAGAGCACACCTCCGAATACAAGGAAATGTATCTTAGCTACCAACATCGCCGAGACATCTATAACGATACCGGGAATCAAGTATGTCATAGACACCGGCAAGCATAAGGAAAAGCGGCACATAGCACGAGACACGGGGAGCGGTAAGCATTCATGTGCCATTGCCTAGAATAGACGACTGATGTTGATCAGGGTTCGACGCGCTCTTAACTCGGGACATCACGAAATCGTCCGCTATGCAGAGAGCAGGTCGCGCTGGCCGAGAAGTGAGTTCGACATCGAAATAGATATGTGTCCTAACACTAATGCCCATCCAGGGCAAAGGATATTGCTTCCGTCTGTACACAGAGGAGGCCTTTGACACTATGCCCGTATCATCTGAGCCAGAGATCCGGCGCACAAGCCTCACCTCCGCTGCCTTGCAACTAAAATGTCTTGGGGAAGACATAGAGGACTTGGATTTTCTAGATAGACCTGATCTTGAGTCAAGTCAGTCAAACGTGTGTGTGCTCATTTCGTTCCTGTGCTGACTTCCGTTCCAACAGTACATTCCGCGTTGAAGATGCTGTGGTTTCTAGGCGCCATAGATAATACCAAACGTCTCACCGATGCTGGACGCAAGATGGCTGCCCTCCCTCTAGAACCGAATCTGGCTTGCGCCGTCCTTGAGTCCGTGAAAAATGGATGCACCCACGAAGTCATCGACATTGTATCGGTGTTGTCGTCTACCTCCAAGCTATTCTTTGACATCAGCGACGAGCGGGAAAATGCTTTTGAAGCCCGCAGGAAGTTCCGTCATCCAAGTGGCGACCACATGACGATCGTGAATACTTTCCGCTCCTACCAGGACATCGCAGCTACCGAGAGCAAAGCTGCTCGGAAGGAATGGTGCCGGAAGCAGTACGTGAACGAGAGGACCCTCCTTGAGGCTCTCAAGATCAGGGACCAGCTACGAGCCACGTGTGATAAAATGGGCATCGACTGGAGGACCACGGCTCACGATGATGAGAAACCCGTCACGAAGAGTCTGTTCAGGGGCCTGGTTCTGCACTCTGCATTGCTTCAGCCAGACGGAACAACATTCAAGCAAGTTTATGGCCGATCTGTAAGCGTTTCCAGATCCTCATGGGCAACGCTAACAACGCTAACCCTTCGATGTATAGGTTATCAAAATACATCCAAGCTCATCCCTGGCGGACAAGAAAATCCCGGCTATTATATACGATGAACTGGTATGTGAATTCTTATGTCGCTGGCATTAAGACTGAGACTTGTCCTTCTAGGTTTATACAAACCACATCTATGCACGTGGTGTTTCAGCTGTTCCCAAGGCATTCTTGTCCGAGATGTCCAACCAAATAAAAGATCAGATCAATTGAGTTTGCAGTACCTATCAGAAGGCGCTTCGTGCAAATGATAAAGAGATCTTGGTAACGTCGCTCAGTTGACGAGAGAAGTGCGACCGGAGTGGAGAGATCCTGTGCATGTGCCTTCATGCCTCTTCATACGGGCGATCACTCTGCTATCGACACCTTCCGCCTCCTTCAGTCTTCATACAGTAATACGCGGGTTCCTACCGTCAGACTTGTCCTGGCCTCTTCATCTCGATTCAAGATCTACGGTGTCGATCGCTTGCAGTTATTGGCCTCGTCTTACATAATGTGGCAATCCGCGGGCTAACCGGTCCCTATAGCTATGGACGATCTCAGGCGGGGCCAAGGGAGGTTCGTCCCTCGCGATACTAATCTTCGTTGCTACGTGTGACAGCCGTTGTTGGAGGTTGTCCCAGCATATACATATACGATGACGGAGGCCCTGACATGCTCTCTTTCGCTCGTCATCTACCCTTGTTTTCACTGCGAATAGTAATCAGAAGGATCGACCCGTTCAACAGGACTTGCTCCAGCCAGTCTGGCTTCGGCCTCTGAGGCATGTCACGGTTCTCGGATCCGTCGCGCCACGATGAGGAAGAGCCCGACTTCGTGTGGACTGAAAGGCGGCGAAGGATCACAGAATGGGTCTGTACGTACCCGCACTTTTCCCTTAGGGCAGGAAGGCTGAGGACAGACAATATAGCCGCCAGTACAGCAAGCGCGTCCCTGGTGGCCGTCGTGATCGTTCTCACTCTTACAGCACTGCTCTCAAGGAGTCCTCGTACTAGACAGCCGCTGCGGAGGCAAAGTTTCAAGATGCTCTGCGCGGTGACGGTGTGTAGTATTCCATATGCTGCTGCTTTCCTGTTCGTGAGGAGCTGTTTTGTTCCTGTTCGCCGTTGTACTAATGACTGTCAAGGGTTGAGACACTGTTGAGAGGGCCTTCTCGATGGTGTTCGGTTTCTATATTCTTCGGATTCCTCACACGTAAGGCAATTGAGATTATTTTGTACTATCCGTAATTTGGAAAGCTGACATGTTTCTCACATGCACTCGCTGGCCATAGACAACTTTATCAACTTTGTGGTCATGTTAATCTCCGTCAATCTACAGCTGGTAATCGTCCACGGACGTAAAACAGAGGGCTTCTTCCAATGGTATATCTTAGGATCGTCGGTCCTGGCTTTAATAATCGTAATTCCCGGTAGTAAGTTCCCACAATGCGTGAATCACTGGAGCCCCTTTCTTATCTTCTTGCAGCCATAGAAAACGTCTGGGGATGGGACCCTGTCACGGGGATATGCTACGTTCGTCTCAAAGATCCCGTCGAACGCACAGCATGGCAGGTCGGAACAGGCTATTTCTGGACGCTTGCGAGCGCCGTGATTGCCTTCATATCCACGATCGCCGTCGTTGTATACCTCATATCTCGTCGAATTCGTCTTGATCACGTCCTCCACCAAACTGGCACTAGTCGGCTCCCTAATGAAAATATCTTCCGTGCAGCTGCGTGGCGGATAATGGCGTATCCTATTGTAATGAGTGAGTGTCTTTAGATCTCGTGACCGCAGCGGTGAGCTCACTGGAAGAATCTGTCACTAGTCATATATAATGTCATTTCGGCCGCGTCGGATCTGAGTTTGGACCAAAGCAAGGGAATTACCACCTTTGCAGGGTATGCTCTCTGGACGACATATGGATTCGTTTATGGGTCCCTGCCGCTGTTATACTCTCTCATACTGGTGTTTGTGGAGTAAGTGCCATCGTTTCCATTCATTTACGTTTCCCTCCTAACTTGAAGTCAGCCCGTCTTTCTCGGTAGCCTTGCGGGACTTCTGGAAACAAACCAGCAGTACGAATACCGATGAAGGGGAAAGATCTGCCCTGTCCTCCAGCGTTCACATCCACTTGGGACCTCCTGAAGGCGTCCCCGATGATATTGGGGAGGAGCTCAGAGATATGAGCGGTCTCAGGTCACAAGGAAGCCTAGCCGGTGCTAAAGGCCACGCTGAGCACCACGAATCCGACACTGAGTCGGTCAACCACACTCCTCTAACATCTAAAGATCCACCGGCTGCTCTGGAGGCTACCCGGGATATTCTGTTGGTCAGAAGGGAGTTCCAGGAAAGGAGGCGGCGAGCAAGGTCTGAGTTGAGGACTCGGCTGCAGGCTGAATTAGACCAGATATGACGGCTCATACTCAGAGGCCTGACGATTTAGATACTGTATTCTACTTGTTATACGTACTTCGTGGCTTGATAGTGCGTACACAGTATCATTGTCATCAAGATGGCGTGTTCCCCTTCCGGTGTGGCGGGCAGCCACAAGCATGACGGACGGACCGGGACGGTCCAGTGTCATTGACCCCTCGGTAGCCACGTGGCCTTCCTAAATATGGTGCGCGTCGATACTTAAGTGAACCCAGGCGGCTTCCTGTTCCCTCGCTAGCTGTTTGGTCGTCCATGCAAACTCTCCAGGATAGGCGTCGGGCTCTGGGATATAGTGTAACCTAAGCGGACCGGACAAAAATTGTGTTAGTGCCATCCGCCTACATGCACGGACCATACTGAATAATTCGGAATTCGTAGATCCACTTTTCTATGCGCTTCCGATGCCGATCGTAATACCAGCGCTGTGTCCCGGCCTCGTGCTTGCAATCCCTGTTATTTATACGAGCTGATTACCCTTCAAATCGCTTCTGTTTGGCATGGCGGCAGACTGCGAAGAGTCACAGAAGCCAGCTTCCCTTCATATAAGCTGGGAGCCCGAAGAGCGAACGACGATGGCCCCCACACCGCCCCCTAGCCCGGAGCAAGGTCAAGGCCCTCCCCCTTCTGCGGGAGAAGGGACCAATGCAACACTGTCCGAAGCCCCTCTTCCCTTCCCATCCGAATCGCGGGGAAGCGATACCCCAACCACCAGGGCAGGATCTACAAAGTCGTTACATCGGCGGGAGAAACCGAGCGCTCTCACGAGGCTCAGAGGTGCACGACACAACCCGAATCTCACCCTTGTCAATTCGGGCAGCGTAGCGAGAGACCATCTGGCCAATGAGAGGACAGTATTGGCCTATGTACGGACGAGCTTAGCGCTTTCGTCAATGGGCGTCGGTATGTCACTCTCTAAGCCTGAAGCGACGCTATTCTCGATGCTTCGCTACTGATGCATTGGCATCTGCAGCACTTGTGCAGTTGTTCACATTGTCCAACTCAAGCGGCGAGTCTAATAAGACGATTCACATATATGCTCGGCCTCTAGGCGCTGCCGGAGTGGCTTTGGGATTAGTGACATTGTTTATCGGTTAGTCCCTCTTACACAATAATAAAAGTTGGTTTCACCCAGTAATCTCATCTCAGGTGTGGTACGGTATTTCACGGTCCAAATCGCACTGACCGAAGGAAAGTATCCTGTAGCACGTATTACAGTGCTTTTTGTGGGGGCTGTTCTCACTGCGTTGATATGCGTCGTCTTTGGCATTCTGGTGGCTGCCAGAAGCTGACCAGCCTCGGCTGGCATACTTCAGTCTTACATCATACTACTCTGGCAAACAGCTTGGACGATATCCTGTATCAATAAAGCACGTTCACTCTAATATTACCCTGTAACATCTGAATCCCATCAGAAGACTTTGACGGCTTGCAGCCGAGATCGCATAGCCTGGCGGTTATTGAGCCTACCGATCGCAGTCAGCTAACACAGTCGACTCTCCAGAGCATCTCAACCTACGACGCTAGCATGGTAATCACGTATACTGCGCGTATTCAACTGATGTGTCAGTGTTCGAGCAGCATGGTAGCGAGGGACATACCCACATTTGGAATGTATTAGGTACAGCGCCACGTACACCATGCTTCCAGACGCGGAGAGCTTGAGGTACTGAGATGGTCATTTGAGTCAGAGAATCAAAAAGAAACCGACTTGGCCGTACACATATCAGAGCCGATGAAACTAGAAGACTAGGTAGAGGGGTTAGCATCACCAGGACAATGACGCATTTATTCGACATACGTTGGCAGTAAGCCGGATACTATAGTATAGTTGATTACGAGTCTAACGACCGATCTGTAGCATTTTAGTTAGGCGATGTTCCGACTGCTCTGGATTACTACTCACCGTAACGGTCCTATAGCATTATGCTGCTGGCGGCGAAGAAACCCGCATATGATAACTGCTATGGCGGTGTCCGTCACGACATAAGAAGTAAAGGCTGCGACGAAGGTGAACTAGGGAAGGTCATGTTAGAGATTTACTTGAATTGGCGTGTCTTACTCGAATTTTGGCAAGACCACCTACTTTCGCGAGCTGTGTTTGGACAGTAAGGGCTGGTGACACGACGCTAGAAGGTATTACACAGGTAAGGACGGTATGCGGGTGCCTGCGGTTGTAATGATACTGGCCTTTGTCCTGAAAATACTGGAAGAAACCTGTCCGTCTCAGTGGGAAGAACGACCGGAAGCATGACGAAACGTGCCAATAGAGGCGGCTGATGCAGCAGCCCAGCGACAATGCTCAGAACATTTGCACCGACGACGGACATCACGAGGACATTACCTAAAGCCGCGAATGCTGGAACAAGCTGTGGAAGGAGATGCCCAGTTATTGAGCAGACGCAGGCGAATGAGAAGCCCAGGCTCCTACCAGTACAAAACCGAATTTCATCCCGGTCACTGGCGTGCGTCAACTCAACCGAGGGGAGAGGATAACGGATGCAGTGGAAGCTTACAGCTCCTGATTCGCATGATCAGACAGCTGGGTAGTAACAAGTGTTAGCATTACCACCGAAATATTCTGCTGGTACTAGAAATCCTGACATTTCCACGATAAAATTGGAGAGTGCCTATGGAATGAAGTCAGCTGAAGGCCGTCACCTGCATTCAAATGGGCTTACCCCTGGGATTACGAAAGCCTGTTGGCGATAATTAGTCGCGATAGACGAAGACACGTAAACCGACCTACCGAGAAGCTCCTACAAAGATCTGAATTTCACTACATAGAAAGTTGGGGGAAAGTAGAAGCCCACCAGACAGTAAACAGGTATCCAGAGGGGTCACCGTCGCACTTGGAAACGAAATAGTACCATAACGTATGCATCAAAAGACACTGTTGCAGAGTGTCCATCTGAAGCAAGGGGTCGTTGCCTGCTCATGGTCATGAGTGGTAAATCCCGACTTACCACACAAACCGCTGCCACCTGTCGTAGTTAGAATTAAGTCTGTCGGCCACGGCAGATCCGTGATGCTACTGACCATGCCTCTAAGCGTCCAGTGGTCCGACTTGGTGCTTCTGTAATATCCGAGAACCTGTCCGCAAGTAATACCGTAAAGACTTGCGACGTATCAAGAGGGAGGCCCAAATCGCTAGAGCGCTACGAAACAACTGACGCATAGGAAATGACTGCGCCGACGAGGAGAGCGCCAAAGGATGAATCGACGGGAAGCATTGGATGCTCTCGAAATCCTGAAATGCTACCGAATGCTTATACGCGTTCTGCAACCGCGGATCGTCCGCCATGTCAGTCATCCGTCAAGATGACGCCAAGCTGAGCTACTGTGTGAAGACGTACCTGTCCACAGAGGTGATAATGTAGAGACCAGGGTAAACGCCTGAGTCTGTCGATGAGTACGATCAACGGAGTTCATTTCGATGCCGGAGATATATAAGTGAGAATGGGTGTAGGTTTTGGGCAGTTAGCACCCCATTCCGGATCAGATGGGATACGATAGCACCGTGACAGAATACTGTGCGCGCCTGCGCCAGTACTAGTGCAACGTTGTAGTAAACCCGTATGGTACACGTCCGGTACCTGGACCGGAACGCAACCAGGAGGCATTGGGGCTGCCCCCTGCTATGGCTGTCCGCACGAAGTTCGTCCGCTTACTAGCTCTTCTTACACATCCACACGAACACGATTTGAAGTAATCGTTAGAAACTTGAATACAGAACCCAAATGAGGGGGTGTACAACCTGGGTACTGACATGCGGCATGTCTTCACTCGATGAACACCGAGCTCTGTTGCAGTATCAAAACCACCATATCCTGCAGCATCAACTCTTCACAAAATGCATCGTGGGGGCTGCGAGACACAAGTTACAACCTTGTCGCCAGAGTAGCGAGAGATCACTAAGCTGGTCAATGAGAGCACAGTACTATAATTAGGTCATGTTGGGACGTGGTTCCGTCGACGGCGTCCAACTTGAAGGACTTCATTTGCCATTCTGTAAGTTGAGTACACTATTCCCCATGCTCTGGAATGATACACAAGGAACCGCACTCGCAGAGCACAATTGCTCGCGTACTGTCGACATCTAAAAGCGAGTCATAAAAGACGATGTACGCACATGCCTACTCGGAGTGCGGCCGGGGTGAGCCGCGGACGTCGTAAATGTTGTCTACTAGTATCCTCAATGGTGAGGGTCATCTCCATTCAGTTAGTCGCACCCAAGTGTGATATGAAATTTCACGGCACAGATTGTGTCGGCCCAAGGCCGATTTCCTCCAATCACGTATTTCCGTGATCTTCGTTGGCGCCCTCACTGTCTTGATATGCGTTGCTTCAAGATTTGCTGGAAGCAACTGTCGACTGCAACTGCATGAATGCTACGGCTTCTTCTACAGACGAGGTATCGTCCCTTGGATACGCTATGTAGTGTCCCGCTTGATTTACGCCACGGGCAATTAACTCGAATAGCACGCTTGTAATGCTTATAGGTCTTACCACTATTTATCTTCTCTGCAGCGGCGCCTATGGTCCTCTCGAGATGACTAAGACGTAAGAGACTCATGTAAAATGCGGGTGCACTTCCCTGTAGAGGTCATTCATCAGTAGGCTTTCACAGCCTGCAGCCGAGAACGCAGGGCCTGGCGATTGTTTAGCCTAAAGATCGCAATCAATCGACGCAGTGAGCCCTCCAGAGGCACAGGGAATTTGGGACCTACGGAGCTAACATAGTATTCACGTATACTATCAGTGCACGCGGACGACGCGGACTTCAGTTTGGAAATATGTTTCGATATGATGAAGGGGCGGACTGACATTTGGCATGTGTTAGGTACAGCGCCGCGTACGCCATATTCGCGGACACAGCGAGCTTCAGGTACTAGGGTGACAGAGTTGAGCCAGCGAGCTGAAGGACTACAAATTGCTCATACAGATATCAGAGCCAGAGAAACCAGGACACTAAGATGCGGGCGTTAGCATCGCCGACACGACAGGGCAGCCTAAACGTACGTTGGCAGCAAGCCAGATGCGATAGCATAGTTAATCACCAGCCCCACGACTGATCTGGAGTACGTCAATAACTCAGCGCATTCACGGAGGCTATATATGTTATGCTCACCGCAAAGGTCTTACAGCGTGGGTTTGGTGGTAGGACAGGTAAACGCATATTATAGCTGCGATAGCGGTGTCGGTTACGACGTAGGAAGCGAACGCGACGATGAAACTGTACTGGGGGAGGGGCATTGATATTAGCATGGGTGCCCCCTGCACAGTTGCCGGTAGGGCGTACTTTGGCTAACTTTCTCCGGACGAGCAGTTGTGGCGACACGAAGCTGGGGCGCGTTGGACAAATTAGGCGGGTGTGCGCGCGATTCTCGTAGCCACACTGACCTTTGTGCTGCGAATACTGGAAATGGTTGTGATTCATCTTTGTTGTCAGAGCAGATTGTAGGCGAACATAGCTTACCTATAGAGCCAGCTGATACGAAAGCGCGGCCGATCGTCAGGTTACATTCACTTACAACAAAGATTGTGCGTGCATTGCCGTGACCAGAGACGCTACTGCCGGAGCGATCTGTGGGGGAGAAGTCCTGTTATTCAACCAAGGTGGACGCAGGGGTATAACCAGCACTCACCAAGACAAGACCGATTTTCATCCCCGTCGCTGCAAACGAAGTTTGTCAGTTGATATTCCGCGGAGGAAAATAATGGTCAATCGTACACTTCCGGATCCTCATGATAAGACAGCTGTAGTATTAAAGAGGGTTAGAATAGCCAGGAATGTCATTTCCATACTGCATGTCCTCACGTTTCCACAACAAAATTGGAGAGTGCCTGTGGGTCGAAGTCAGTCTGAACCGAACCGTGCCAGGTCGAACGGGCTTACGCCTGGTATCACAATCGCCTGGGGACGATGTTTAGCTGCGATGGGCAAAGTAAGGCGCATAGTACCCGCATACAGCCACGTACCGAGAAGCTCCTGCAAAGACACGATCTCGGATTCCGCCTCTGTAAAGAAGTGTCTGGAAAGGGGTAGAGTGCGTGCCTGACAGAGTATGCATACCCCGCAGGGTCGCCGCCGCACCTCGATATGTAGCAGTACCACATTGTATGCCGTCAGGAGACACTGTTGCAGCGTGTCCAGCTGATTTCAGCATTGGGGCATCATTATTTTCTGAAATACCGAAGACACGGCAGAACGTCCCGCACCACCCAGACCGCCGCTACCAGTGGCAACGACGCGTATCTCAGTCAGGCGTGGTAGATCCTTCTGAATACTTGCCATGCCCCTGAGCAAAAGGTCATCGGATTCGGTGGCTGCGTAATACCTCACTACCTGGCCGCAAGTAATGCCATACAGCCTAGTAGGCTTCGATATCGAGACCAGCAGACAATCGCGGGGAGAGGAGACTTACGCGTACGAGATTACGGCGCCGACGAAGACGACGCCGAAGGATGCATCTATGGAAACCATTGGTGCAATCTGGTTATGGATATGAATCAGGGCTGTAAAGGCTGGTTGGCAGATTACGAATGCCGGAGTCTGTCAGTGTCAATGCGTACTTACTAGGGAGCAAGAGCATCCGAGTCCACGACCGGAGGTATATAAATGGAGATGGTAGCCTGGGCCAGGGAGCGTCTACGCGCGTATCGCCAAGGCCGGCATAATACCTGGACCAGATCAGATGGGATGCAGAAACGCGAAGGGGACTTGTGCGCAGCCCTGACTCCGTATTGTTCACCAACTTGAAGAAACCCATACCTATCAGCACTTCAGGCTGTCCGGCGGCATACAAGCACGACGTGTAGGGACTGCGCCGTCGTGATGTTCCCTACGAACCTCATCCAATGACTTGCTCGTGGCCAACATTGTCAAGGCGAGCGCAATATATCAGCAGGGTGGGGCCGGTATCCGAACAAGGGGCATACAAAATATTCGCCAGCAGCTACGCGTTTTACCTTACATAGATGGTCAGCAATGGCTGTCGGAGTCCCATATATGCATGGACATATGTCGTTCAGCGCTAGCATCACGTTTCGGATGTTGGGTCGGGCGACTCGGACACGGCTGATGAAGACCTCAGGTACTATGTACTCGAACGCAGTGTCGGTGGCAGCTCCACGATGCCCGCGATCTTCTCGATGTGACAGCAATCGGCGAAACGATAGAGAACTTTCAGAATTTTTCGCGCAGGCAGCCGAGCCCGGAAAGGTAATTATACCCCACTCGGGTCCACAGTGCACCACGACTCACCACTCTTGTTTTGATCAGGACACAGCATTAGCGGAGCAAAATTGGTGATACCCTACTCCAATAAGTAAGCCGTGGAGCGGCTGCTGAGTGCGGAAAATCTCAAACTTCTCTATCGTTTCGCCGATTGCTGGAATAGTCGTCAGACTACATAGTACTTCCCACCACTAGAAATATATAGGGGCATGATTGGTGTGGTGTCACGTGATCGTAAAGTAATGTATCCGCGATTTGTCCGCGAAGGTACAGCTTGCAGCTGAGCAGGATCAGGCTTACATAGACATCGTCGACTGAGTACATACTATCAGGGGAATCCAGCTCATGGTCGCTCACCATGAATATTTATAGCGATCAAAAAGCGCGCTCTCGACATTTGTCACAACAAAGACTAACAATACAAAAACTACTATCACAAACAACAAATAGCAGAGTACAGGATTGCATTGAGTCATAGACCTCTTTCAGGTTTACAGATACAGAACGTTTTGTGGATTCGAATGAAGGCATCGAAGCTGAATTATACACATCACCGATCGTATGAACCGTAGAGGAAAAACACGCGACGTACAGGTTCGAGGTACATCGAGACTAGTACTGCTATAAAGCAGAATTGTTCGATCCCCCAGTAGTCGCCGACTCGGAATTGATAGAAGTCCGTGTTATGGCAGAGGAGACCTATGCACCATCATTGTAGGAAACGAGCCAAGATATTGTATATCGAGGTACTCACCGACATGGTATCCGTGCTGCGCGAGGAAGTACGGGACGGGGGCATCTCCATGAGTTGTATCGCCACGATTTTAGGTGCGTCCGCTGGCTGAGGCACGAGCGGTGTGGCGAAAAGAACCGATACGGTTTCGGAGATGGACGTGAGCAGGCTGGTCGACGACATGGCGGCTTATCACGGAGTGCAGGACGGGGAGACGGGCGGCCCTGCTGCGCCATTATTGCAGGGTTATACGCGGGGTGGCGGGACGCGTTGCGGATGACAGCACTGATCGCGATCACAAGGCAAGCCCCGGGTGGCAGTGCCAACGAAGCCCATTTCCTTTTCGGGCGTGTCATTGCACCACCGGCGGAGGCTGTTGCACGGGATCTCGATGGGCAAACCCGGAGGCTGTCGGCAGATAGAACGCGGGCTGAGAATAATCGCATTAGCAATGGGTCATCTGCGGTGCCCCGTTGTGTCCGCACGACGCGGCCAGGAATCGCATCTCACTTTGAACGACTGACAATGGCAGAAAACACACATAACAAGGTGGCCATCATCACCGGGGCGTCTTCTGGTCAGTGCGAAGCAGCGCCTTCCGTGTTGATCCTTCTCCTTACTCCACCCTCCCGTAATCAGGCATTGGTCAGACCACCGCGATCGCCCTCTCCGCTGCGGGGTGGCGCGTCGCCCTCTTCGGTCGGCGCGAGGTGCTCTTGCAAGACACAGCGCGCCAATGCAAGAACGAAACGCTCGTAGTCGTCGGCGACGTTGCGGACGAGGGGGACGTAGCCAGGCTCTTCGCCGAGACAATCAACAAATTCGGTCAGTAAATGCCCGGCTCATACATGAGCACCCTAGGGATTCGCTGATAACCAAATCGCCATTATGCAGGGCGCCTTGACATGCTTTTCAATGTTCGTCTGTCCCCTTCTGACCTGGCGAGTCTCTGAAATCGATCCCCTGCGCTGCGTTCAAAGAATGCCGGCACGGGCGCCCCTGCCTTGCCGCTCGAGGAGCTCCCGCTGTCCCTCTTCCAGAAAGTGCTCAACACAAACCTCATCGGCACCTTCCTCTGCACCCGTGAGGCAGTCAAGATATTCAAGAGCCAGACCCCTCAGGGCGGTACGCACGCGCGCGCCAGCCCTCTCTATCATCTCACTCCTCACTCTCGCAGGTCGCATCATCAACAACGGCTCCATCTCCGCGCACACCCCGCGCCCGCACAGCGCGCCCTACACCGCGACCAAGCACGCCGTCTCCGGCATGACCAAGTCCACCGCGCTCGACGGCCGCGCCTTCAACATCTCCTGCACGCAGATCGACATCGGCAACGCGCACACGCCCATGGCCGCGCGCCTCGCCGCCGGCGCGCTCCAGCCCGACGGCTCCACGAGGCCCGAGGCCATGATGGACCAGCAGCACGTCGCCGACGCCGTCGTGCACATCGCGTCCCTGCCCAACGAGGTCCAGGTCCTCCAGTTCATGATCATGTGAGTGCGCTCTCGCAAAGAAGGTTGCCGACGTACAGCTGACCCATCCGTCCGCATCGCAGGGCAACGGGGATGCCGTTTGTGGGGAGGGGCTGATCAACGTTGTGCGGGACAGGCAATCCGCGTGCAGGTGACAGGTGTGTACGAAACCCAAATCCAATTCGTGTATTAAGCAGCAATAGCGTACACTAGTACTACGCACTACGAAACCGACGGCGGTAAATGCTTAATGTACTATGCCAAAACCACGCGTGTATGGAACCTCTAGTGGATACAGAGTGTTGTGGGGATGAATAGAAATACACGTGAATGAAGTAAGAGGTGCCGGAATGCAACCGTCTAGAAGATAGATAAATACGATTCACAGCTCCGAACCACCACTGATGGAGAGCAGACAAACAAAAAGCAGACAATGACGAATAACATAGTACAGGCGAACCGTGCATAGGTCGCAATAGAATAGCCTCCGACATGATTACCGCCGATCGCCCCGATCGGTCTTTGGTGGTATCGAGAGCCAGCCGCCCGTCTCCCAGTTACAGCCTGGCTTGTAGATATCAGCTGCTCGCTGCTGCAGGTCGGTCACGCCCTTCAAAATAGTTTTCAGTCGTTTGAAGTCAATGGGCTTCAGTATCCACCCGTCGATGCCCAACTTGACCATAGTGGGCCGTTGGCTTTCCATCAGCGAGGCAGAAACCGCAAATATCGGCACACGACCATTAAGTTGATGCGATTGCCGCGACGACAGGGATGGACGCTGGAGGGGTGAAAGCCCCTGTTCAAATTCGCGAATTCGCTTTGTAGCTTCAAAACCATTCAGAATAGGCATTCTGTGGGGCAGGACGCATGAGCGAAGTAATTCTAGACACGCAGCCGATTACTTACTGCACATCCATCAAGATGCAATCGAAATCGATATCCGTTTCAATCATATCGACGCACTCTTGGCCATTCGTGGTGTTGACCACGATATGCCCATCCAGCGTTAGGCGCTTCGCCAGAATGGTCCGATTTATATCGTCATCCTGCATAAACGTCAGCAAGGCCGAGGCAAGAGCGTTGGTGATGTCCTCACTTCGACTATGAGTACTCTCAAAGGGGCTGATGACCCACTCCCGTCTGCATTACCCGCAGAGGCCCTTTTAGCGCGGCCCGAACGCTTGGCAGTCACTTCTCGATCTAGCCCATCAGCCTCAATCTTCGCGGGCTGCACACAAGGCGGCGTAGTCACATAAGGCGCACTGGTCCCTTTTCCTTCTTCCGACCGCGGCGGGGTGGGTGGTTTGACTACTCCCTCTCCGGGAGGGAAGAATGGATTAATTTCGCAAGCGCCAGCGGGACCGGGACCGTGAACGGGGGGTGATGGATGAACCGAGAGCTGGGTCGAAGCAATGGCTTGCACCAAATTTTCAATATCGCGGGAGGGCTCACCAGGACTGGTTGCTCGAGATCGCAGGGACCTGAGGGATGAGCCTGTCGATCCCGAAGCCACGGAACCACCGGCAGGGTACAACTCGAAGGGTATCAGGAAAGAAAACCGGCTTCCTTCTCCCACTTTGGAATCCACGCGAAGCTGGCCGCCGAGTTGTTCAACAATCCTAGCCACGACAGCAAGACCCAAGCCTAGCATGGGTTAAATACGAAACCCACTACAGGTGGCCAATGTTTCAACGTACCAAGACCCTGCGGCGCCTTCGGAGCCGCCACTTCGACTTGTTCGAATTCGCGGAACAGGCTGTTCAGTTTCTCGGAAGATATACCGCAGCCAGTATCCGCGACTATAATCTCGATCGCCACCTGTTTTGGATCACGGAGACCTTCGGGTTCTTTGAACGCGCGACAGCTAATCATCACGGAACCCTCGGTGGTGAATTTCACTGTCGAGGAGAAAGATGATATCAATGGCCTTAATCCACGGTGATAACACATAAAACGCACGAGCGTTGGCTGTTAGATTAGCAACGGCACTCTTGATCTTCTTTGCATCTCCAACCACCATAGTCTGATGTTCTGATAGATCGATCTCGAGGATAAAGTCAATATTGCGTCTGCTAGCCTCGTTCCTATACAGTTGAACGGCTTCCTCGATGGCTGCTCGGATATTGAACGGTTCGCTGAAAGATGTCTCATTGCCACTCTCAAGCCGTGTCAGATCCTGTCCGGTGAATCAGTCTCATTATTCACACAGAGCCATCAAAACTATACCAAAAGATCGTTGATCGTAAGGAGGAGACTCTGAACGAACGGTCAGACGGGCAGAGGCATGTAGACTTGCTACGCACCTTGGATGCGGCGTGTGAGCGACTGAGATTGTCTCGTGTCTCCAGATCAAGGGGGCCATTGAGGGCCATTTCCAGGTAACTGAAATACACATGATCAGTCAACCAGGGGGAACATGATCATATGCGATGTCCCACTTGATGATATGATTCAATGGCGTGCGAACTACACAGGGCATACTGAGTCTTGCATAGGACTTATAGGATGATACAACGCACCTTCATGGCTAGCATTGGATAATAGGATTTCAGTAAGTTTGGTCGTATGGAGCGCATTCTCTTTCTGCCGCCAGACTTCGATAAACTAGGGGCGACTATCAGCATGTGTGATCACCAGAATTCCGACAGTCCCGACCTTGCCATATACCAGAGCCAGTACGCTCGCGGTTTCCAGCTGCTCATCGGTCCACTGGCGACAGCGCCCAGCAACCGTTTCAGACCAAACCTTGAACGATTTCCGCGGCTCAAGTGTTGCCCTCGACTCAGCATTGTCTTTGTAGGGTTTACCCGCCCAGTGTATTTTACGTGGCTGTCCCTTGCGTAAGAAGGCGATGAAGTCCTTGCCACCGCTGGATAGCGGGACATATAGAAGGCCGGCAATAACCTCTAGGCCCATGGTAAGTTGAAGGTCCGGGTAATCCTTCGTGACGATGTGCGAGACCTGCATGGTTCTGTCCGCAAGGTTCAATTGCCGCATATAAGACTGAGCGGAGTGCATGCTTACGTGAACTGCTTAAGTCTCAGGTACTCCGCCATGATGAGGATCTCTTGACTATGCTGATTCGGACCTAGGATCTTGGCACCCTCACCTATGACCAGCATACCGAAATCCGCATCGAACAAACCAAGGAGATCGTCCGCATTTGATACAATGTAACCGCTAGGGTGTTGCTCAGATGATATTGTATTAATCTAGGCACCGGTCAGAGAAAGCGGAGTCACATAGCCAAGGCAACACCGACCAGTTTCCGCGTATGAAGCCTTTGAGCGTAGCTAAGTCGCTCGAGATTGCGCGATATTGACTGGCTCAGGAGCCGCAACATTTGCCTGACTGGGAAAGACACGCGCATACCCGTATTCCCGTAAGAGTGGCAGGCGACAAGGCCCCAGAGATTGTCGAAAGCCATGATCGACTGCACGAGATGTCAGAGCGAGATGCAATCGGCAATTTTCTAGCTTACTATTGACATCGATGCCCGGACACCCATATTACGCAGATCTGAATGCAATCTCGATTAGCACAGAAACGCCACGCCAATCCAATTTGAACCTGACATTCCAGGTGGATCGGACTCATCGCACGAAGGTAGCAATGTGTCATATTCTGGAGTAGCAGTCTTATCAACTAGCTCAGCACGAATACATTTACACGTACCAGAGGTGGTTCGAGATCGGATTTGCTCTTTGCCACCAACCTCGCCGTGCTCTGTGACCGATCGTAAAGCAGGCGCACTTTGTCTTCCGGGCAGTGTAAGATTAGTATATCGAGCATCAATTGAATACCTACTTATCGCATATAGTTGCCGTGCCTAGAGAAACCCGAACGCCACGATTTTTAATTTAACCACAATTGTCGAGAGACCTGACGCCGTACCTGCGCAGGGATGTCTGACGCGGGGAAATGCAAACCCTTGTATAAATCATGGGATTTGTTCCAATCCACCAGCTCAGCCACCGTCTGTCCATTCCAGGACTCGTCGAATTGGTACACGAGCACGCGATGGAACTGTGTCAGATCCTTGATCACACCTACGACGACCTTGAGGAAGGTATCCAGATCCGGCGCAGCCCCGAGCTGCTCGTTGATCTGGGCCATGACAGAGAATACATCCATCATACCCACCGCGCCTGATCCGCCACCACGCCGACCCCCTCGTCGGCCACGACCTGAGCCCCGATCAGGTAACAAAGATGACCCGGTGGCTCGACTCATTCTTCGTAGTCTCTCCAGTGCCAACAACGGCTTGGCGCGATTAGTGGTACTCTCGAATATCTGCTCCGGAGAAGGTATCCAGTCGTCTTCCCCTTCCAACCCTTCGAGCCCAGTGGTGATATTGTGAGGCGAAGACCCTTCAATACTTTCGGATAGAGTTGCCTCCGGAGATGTCGCTGACGGACTTCCCGGCAGGGCCGATTGCGCCGTCTGCGTGGCGCCCGATTGATCTTCAGAGACCAACGTCCGTCCTGAACTTTCTGTGCCACCCGGTGATCCGATGGTGCCAATGCTAGAGGGGGATCCCAAACTAGGCGCGTTGCTCTCTGTGGGAGGGTAGAGCGGATTCAAAGTATCTCGTTCCAATTCGAACTCGAGGATGATAAGGTTTGGATCGGAGGGAGCAGTCGCAGCGCTACCAGCAGCCGTTGATGGAGCGGTTGGTCTGTGAGCAGCACACCAGCATGTCCACGACCGCCGCTTCTGAGGATCGGACGTCTCCTCGTCCGGCAGTGCACTCCCTGGCTCACCCCAACCGGTGACGAGGAAAACATGTGGTGAGTCATCCTGACCTTCACACTCCGGATCAGGGTCGTTCAAATACTGAATGTTATCCCAGAGCAAATCTGCTTGTGGGTCAGGCAGCGCCTCAGTCAAGCAATTCAGGGAGAACAAGTATTTCGGGGTTAGACCGAGAATTTCAGGCGCGTTCTGGAATACTATTATCAGCTAGCGTTGCGTTGACTGGTCAACACACCCACCTCGGATACCTGGCGTACCGATAAATATCCTGATTCTTCATCTTCTTGTAAGACCATCAACACGCCAAAACCTTGTACTGCCCCAGGGGTTCGTATTGGCTATGGCAATTCGTCCATACTTAATTTTGATAGAGAAAAGGGAAGTACCCACCTCGTCCTCGCATTTCAGGAGTTGCCCTTCTCTACCTACGACAACATGGTGTCCATCCTCGTCTTCCTTATATGCGAACCTGAAGGTGACGAGCGGATCTTCCTCCTGATTGGAACTACTCTGATTGACACTCCTACTCATCCCAGACTTGGACCGCGCATCAACAGACGGCGCAAGTGATGCAGAGGACTCTTCTCGGATAACACTGATGTCTAGCTGGGCCGGCGGCGGCTCCGAGGACCATGGTGATGTCGAAGTGCGGCTTCCTCCATAGCCACCAGAACCGGACGCAGACCCTCCGAAGCTGCCAAAGCGAGACCCCCCTTGCGACGACCGAGCGCGAGAAGAATCAGTGTCGTAAGAGGTCTCGCTGAAGACGGGGCCTAGATGGACGATCCCGCTCTCTGAATAGTTACTGGACCCTGGATCGGGAGGCGTAGTGTCAGGGACTATATCACTGGCGAGTACAGAGGTGGTAAAGACCTCTGCCGCAGCCTCTGACAACTGGGCAGGGTAACGCGGATTGAAGCTGGAAGCTTCATCAGGTGAAGTAATCGCAATCGGCACCGGTTCACCGGTTGGGCCGGAAACAAATTCAGCAGACTGAGGCATCTCGAACGGCGAGGGATCTGGGAGGTTAGACACAAAGTGCCTCGGCGAGAATGGGCTTGTAGATTCAGATACTCCTCCTTCGGGATAGTCTGTGCATTTCGGTTCGCTGGATGGGCCTGCTTCAGCCCCTTGAGTGCCCCCTGGCGCGGGCGAAGGCGTCCCCGATTTTATGTCAGAAAGTGTCCTACTAGAATTCTGCGCCGGGTGCGCTGGACGCGGCTTTGTCCGTGTGAGTCTTGGAATTTGTGAGGGGGAGGGCGGTTGGAGCGGTATATCGTAGGAACTACGCCTTGGTAACCCTGGTCTCATCACAATATCAATCGGCGGCGGTTCCACCCTGCCCTGGCCTACATCGTCGGATGAAGAGGACCTCCCGGCAGACGCGAGCGCACCAGGCGGTCGATCCTGCGCCTCCTCGCTGCCCGTAACTGCCGGCCGAATTTTTCCGCTAAGCAACGACCGGATAGGGTAGACGAACGAAGTCTTGGGTGAGCTTGTTGCCGCCGAAGACGTTGGGCTCGACGACATGAGTGATACACCGCCGGCCCTGCTCGAGGCTGTCGAGTTGTCGTCGGCAGGCATGCTGTCGTCCTCGTCGTCGTCTTGAGATACAGAGGGTGAGACGGACGACTGGCGGAAGCAATAACGCGCGCCCTTTGAGGGCGAAAGCGGGAAGTTGTCCAAGTGGAGCGCGTTCGCGGTATCAGTGCAGGGTGGCCATGGGATATTTCCTTCTTCGGTATGTTATTCTGTGATTATGTAATTATCTGCTCTTCTTCCCGCCGGGGGCCACACCGCGGCAATCGGTGCCGATCCCCCCCGAACCGCGGCGAGCTGGCCTATATGCATCGGTGTGGCGAGGCGCCAACACCAACACCGACCGTCAGTTGGCGTAAAAGTTGTACAATACGCTCTGTGGTGAAAGCCACTGAAGGGGACGGTACGGCTTTCCGTCAGTATGTAAGCAGAAAGCCATCATTTATCTCATTCCCCAGATATCTTGGTCACAAATAATGCCAAGGCAGGTTATGGAGTAGACAAGGTTCATTGCTACTCTAGGGTACGTACCTGAATGATCTGCAAAAATCAGGCAACACAATTTCACCCTCGAAACTATCTCCCGCATTTATACAAATACCATGGATGCGTAACGTGCGTGCTCGTGATTTACGCTCAGTACGCTCGGGCACCCCGGGCCACTATACGACCCACGAGTCCTGAGTCCCCTACAAGCCTCTGCAAAGGCGAGACCCGGAACACCCGTAGTTTCCTGCAATTGCGTCTGTCGTAGGCTGCCCCACGCACGTAGACCAGTAAAGTTTCACTTGTCAAGAGACATAGACGTCCCAATTCCGCTGGGCGCCTCCTCCTTGAGCCCGATGGCGGCCACCCAGGCCGCCTCGTTCACCCGATCCTTCAGCAGCGCAATCTCTTCTGGATGCACAGGACCACAGCCCCATCTTCTCCCCCCTGCTCGCTGTGCGTCCAAGGCCGTAGATACGATCCTTGGGGACGTCGAGGTTGATGACAATATGGATGGTTTCGAGGCACGATTGACGATGCCGTTCGCGACCAGGATGCGCGACCCCCACTCTCGACTTTATCAAGCGGTCGCTTTGAGTGGCCTGTGCAAGGGTCCGCAGAAGATCCTGAAAGTCCTGAGGATAACGCTAGTCTGTGGAAACTCTCAATTAACTGTGAATAGATTATCGTATAAGTACAACTCACCTTGCAGTGTCTTTGAGAGTTATTGTGAGGACAATCATAGAATTCTGGGCGAGGGAGCTGGTAAGTACACTAGTTGTGTAGCCGTCTCTTTCCTTGGCATGAACTAGTGCTTCAGCAAAGGTACCTGGCGAGAATAATTGACATGGCCCGTGGCGCGAATAATTGACACGGTCACCGAAGGCTTGCTTCTAGGAAATTTCCTTCCGTTATGGGATTTTAGAGATTTGCTCTATAGGAGGATACAGAGAGGTCGTCCGTTCGTTGGGGATGACCTTAAATACCTGATCAATTACGGGACGGGACCCATGTCGGGTAAACAAATCGCCTCGTCCGGAACCTACAATACGCGGTAATCAGTCAACTGTCCTAGAAATGAGGAATTGGACTCGGCCAAAATCTCAATCCCCTCACATTAAATACTAATGCAGCCTCCCCGGCGTGGCGACCACACCACGCGACTTCATCACAAGCGTGGATCCCTGCTCCAGGCCATAGCAACTACGCAGCGTGATTTCTGCAGGAGGGGAAACGATGGGTACCCTATCCAGGCCGTGGCTTCAGCTTGGATCTCGGTGGGATACAGTGACCAGAGGATTTTGGGGATCCGGTCGATGAGACCAACATAATTACTTGGATTTGTGGGCAGCGGCGGGGTACTCAGCGCGCCAGTCTCCACGTCGGATCCCATGGTCGATTATTTCAACAGACCTTCAGGTTTGTTGGCCTTCCATGGAAGGAACCTGTCCAGTAGGCTTGATACTGCGCCTCCTAAATAAGACTTAGTAGACGAGTAACTGTCTTTAAAGGAGCTGTCCACCTGTCCTAGTGGGCTATGCACCCTCGTCCGTGAACGTGGAGCCGTTGACAAGTTTATTATCTTTTCTGGCAAGTGGCGCCGCGGCGAAGCGGTGGAGTATCAAGATTCACGAAGCGGGACCAACAGATCGTGGGGCGGGCACGGAGAAATCAAGGAACAACCACTCGATCTCTGCGCACACCGTTACCGCCGGCATCCCCGCCACCCTCGGTTCCGTAATCGGAAGCAGCGGCCCGCCACTCCATGTGTCCGACAGATCACTGCAGCAATTATGTGGACTGGCAAGTCGTGCATCTATCACTAAAATATGCACCTCGCTAAAATACGGTTATAGCATACCAAAGGTCCTGCCAATAATATCTTGCACGCCTTCCATGAGTCCAACCCGGTCATGCCCACCCCAATTCGGCTTGACATACACCACCTTCCCATCCCCATTCCCTCTCCTTAATTCTTGGATGGTGCCCAAGTTCGGTACACCAGTCTCGGTGACCATCTGCCCGCGGAGACCCTTCCGCATTGACTGGGCCGATAAGTAGTCGCTCCAGTCGTCCTTGGTCAGCTGAGAAATTTCGGGAGCTGACTTGGGTAAGTCAGGGAGGCGGGGAAGAAGGGGCTCCAGAATGGATGAGAAGAGCTGATCCGAGTGCGCGCAGGGGATGTCCCAGTCGTCCTCGGCGTGGGCAAGGAGGATAGGTGATTTGATATCCTAGAGAGTACGTTCCAACACCTTAAATCAGACAGTAAGACAGCAGGTATACATACGGCAATGACGGAGGAAGTGTCGAAATGATGCGTCAGGAAATTGAGCACAAGATCTTCAAGCACAATTAGTGAGTGCCCAAGAAATGTAAACAAGAACGGCTCACTCGCTGCATAGGGAATATTCCTCAGCGGCTTCATAAGGGGGATGAACCCCAACACGTGGTATGTATCCACCAACTTCCCAATCGACAGGAACGGCGCAAGCAGCACCATCCCCTTCACCCGCCCGCCCGCCTCCTCGAGCTCCCTTACAAACCGCGCTGCCACGCCCGTCCCCAGACTATGCCCCACGACCAGCACATCCTCCGCCCGCGCGCCGCGCTCGCGCACCCAGTCGTACGCCGCTCGGGTGTCGCGCACCAGACCCGCCTCGCTCGGCGTACCCGAGGAGTCGGCGAACCCGCGGTAGTCGATCGCGAGCACGTTCGCGCGCAGGCGTGAAGTGAAGGCGGAGTAGTGCTGCACGCGGAAGGGCACGGCGCGCGTCGCGGCGTTGCCGTGCAGGAAGAGGATCGTCGGGTAGGTTTGGAGCGACGCGCGGACGTGCTCCGTGGTGAGGGTGACGGGGTCGATGGGTGGTTGAAGCGTGTGGTAGTAGGAATCGGAGAGGACGAACCACGCGCCGATGGTTTGATTATCCGAGGTTGTGAGCTTGACATTCAGAGTTTTCCCAGCTATTTCGTATATCCCTCAGAACAACCAGGTAGCGCAGATATCTGGAATCAGGGCTTACGCGCTAATCCGTACTTCTCCGGCACGTCGAACTTGGCGAACAGCGGCCACCTCACCGAGTGCAGGTAGACCGCGCTACCCCCCGCCCTCTGGTAAGAATACACCTACCCCCGGCTATCCATGTGAAACGTACTGGAGCTGGAAGAAAGGGATGGCGAGCAGCACCACTAAAGCCGCATATGCAATACCCAGGTAGAGGAACACGCGCTGGGCCCGCACGAGGAAGCCAGTGTTCGGGTGCGGCGGCATTTTTCTTAGCTGGTAGCTAACTGTAGCGCCGTAAAGATGAATAATGAGCTTTCCGGTACGACTTCAGCGTTGCATGTGCATCCACAGGGCAGGATCGGCGGGTCCGGGATTCACAGCCAAACAAGTCCCTTATTAGGAAGACCATTTGCCTTTCCGGGAGATCCACCCCTTGGGCGATATATGTAAAGCGTACAGGACTTCAAAGCAATTGAAGTCATAAAGTAAGTACTAGACATAGGAAATAAAGATAGGGCAAACGCGTCTGCTATGAACGTAATAATTAGTCGCACCTGACACATCATTCAAGAGCTTGAGAACTAATTTCAGCTTCAACGAGGTCGTTGCAGGAGTTTTCCCTGTAGATGCGAGACTCGTTGTTGAGCCGCAGTGTCGCCCTAAGCCACCTCCAGATACGCGTTACGAACGGTCTGAAGCTTGAAGCTGTAAAGGTCGAAAGGCTGGGACGTTTCCATAGCCGGTAACTATTCTCGCTTAGAGCCGGCGCACGCCGATCCGAGCTTCGTCGTCTCTCGCGGTCAGCAGCGTCGTCGGCATAGTGAATTTCTCTCCCTCACCACCACAAAGCAGGTCTTTGCCCAACATACATCCCAGTCACTCCTTCTCCCCTAATAGCCCAGCCCCTTCGCCACCATAGTCTTCCTACCCAGCATGTCGTGGAAGCTCGGCAAGTCCAAGTCCAAGCCCTCCGCGGCCAGCGCGCTCAACCCCAACGGCGGCGACTCGAATTCGGGCTCGCCGCGCGCGACGACGCCGACGCAGTCCAACCCGTCCGGCTCGCGCATCTCCGGCGGCACCCTCACCATCTCCGTGTCGGGCGCTCAGGGGCTCTCCCTGCCCGCGGGCACGCCGATCCCGCCCGCCGTCCAAGCCGCGCAGGCGAGCCAGCAGGCGAAGGCCGCCGAGAGTGTCAGCCCGAGCAGCGTCAGGGAGGAGCGGCTGCGGGAACGGGAGACGAAGAAGCGCGATAGCGTGCAGAGGATGCAGTGCTGGTGGCTGCCGTACCTCGTCCTTGAATTCGAGGTCAACCAGATCTTGATCACGCCGCTCGGAGGGGTCATGGAGAGCCCTGTATACATGTACCAAGCTCATTTGTGCGTATCTCTCTCCATCATGCCCGGTGGCATACTTACACGCGCCCCAGCGACGTGTCACATAACTCTGAGATCTCATTACAATGCTACCTCCGCACAGAAGAGCCCAAACGCGGCGGGGATGGCGTTGCCGACGATATGGGTAACGATATTTTAATGGGAGGTGTCAAGTTCACACCCGATTTCGACAACCTCGTCCCCGGCAGGGAGGAGTGGTACGAGCTCAGCAACGGTGCAGGAAAGATCCAGATCGCCGTCTCATACAAGCCCAGCAGCGTGCGTTATGCGGTTTCTCTACTGTATCAAAGCTCATGTTACGGACGTAGCAGGGACAATCTCTGACAATCCAAGACTTTGAGCTCATCACCGTGATCGGAAAGGGCTCTTTTGGCAAGGTGATGCAAGTCAGGAAGCGCGATACACAGCGAATCTATGCACTCAAGACGATCCGGAAGGCGCATATTGTAGATCGGAAGGAGATCACGCACACCCTTGCCGAGCGGATGGTCCTAGCCCGGGTCAGATGTCCATTCATCGTGCCACTGAAGTTCAGCTTCCAAAGCGAACAGAAATTATACTTGGTCCTGGCGTAAGTTATCCTTCCTCTGAGTTGATATAGCAATTACTGAATGCCTCTTTAGTTTCGTCAACGGCGGTGAACTCTTCCACCACCTCCAGCAGGAAGGCCACTTCTCCGAGGAGCGCTCCCGCTTCTACTCCGCTGAACTGCTGCTTGCGCTCGAGCACCTCCACGAGCTCGACGTCGTGTATCGCGACCTCAAGCCGGAGAACATTCTGCTCGACTACACGGGCCACATCGCGCTCTGCGACTTCGGGCTATGCAAGCTGAATATGAAGGACTCAGACACGACGAACACGTTCTGCGGTACGCCCGAGTACCTGGCGCCGGAGGTGCTGAACGCGCAGGGGTACAACAAGACTATTGACTGGTGGACGCTCGGGGTTCTGTTGTACGAGATGTTGGTTGGACTGCCTCCCTTCTATGATGGTGAGTCTCTTGACCTTTCTCGTTGATCGCTCACACTGATGATGTGTTCGTTCTAGAATCAACCGACATCATGTACCAGAAGATCCTCGAGAACCCGCTGACCTTCCCCGACCACATCTCGCCGCTCTCGCAGTCGATCCTGACCGGCCTGCTAACGCGGGACTCGACGAAGCGGCTGGGCGTGAACGGCGCGGAGGAGATCAAAGGGCACGATTTCTTCAAGAAGTACATCGATTTTGACTTGCTGTGGGCGAAGAAGGTGGTGCCGCCGTTCAAGCCGCGCGTGGCGAGCCCGGTGGACGTGAGCAACTTTGACACGGTGTTCACGGAGGAGGCGCCGATGGACAGCGTGGTGGAGGGCAGCCAGCTGAGTCAGACGGTGCAGGACCAGTTTGCTGGTGAGTCTTGTTTTGGGGTCTGTAGGCTGTGCGGTGGCTAATGTGAAGTGCAGGGTTCTCGTATGACGGGTCGAATATGCCCGTCAGCCCGCTGTAACCCCACCGCACCAAGGAGACTCAAGCTTGCACCCCAAGGCAACCTCTTGTGCCCGGTGTACACTGAATTCACTACTCACCTTAATTCGTCTAGAATAATATCACTACCACGGTCCTTTACGATTATCCCGTAATCTACTAACGCTCCTTTGATTATATACTCAGCCGGGCTCTGGATGCACTACTTACACTATGCTGCTCTGTCTATTTGCCATCTATCTGCGCTACTTACGTCTCGTTGTCGGAAGCTAATACTTGTGTATCTTAGAACTTGTTGGATCCGAGAAATAATTGTGTTGCTCGTTGGGACGGATCGGAATTACGAAAGGGCTCAGAATGTCTGAACCCGACACATCGAGCAACCGATAATATGACACGCGGTGGCATTCAGTCCCATATGTCAATACAATATTGTGAATTCCACACAACCACCATATACAGTCATATACTCCCCATATGGGAGCTGAGCCACAGACGATCCCCTACAACGGTAATGTCAGGGAATATCAAATAGAAACAAATGCATTACCATATTTGAATATCAATTTCCGCAGATATACCCAGTGATAGAGCAAATATGGATAAATATATGGAACAATGGGGAAGTCCGGTTTTTGGCCTGATACAGTACAATGAATCATAGCTAAAATATCAAAGCACATCTCGGGTTGATAGCGAATCCGGAATATGGATGCAAATAGCGTAACACATAGCATAAAGGTGCGATATACCTGATTCGGGATCGTCCGGTATATAATCGGGCCGCCGACGGGCCGCCAGTGGCTGCATCGGCAAGCCACTCAATAGCCGGCGGCGGCCCACCGGCGGCTAAGAGCGGCTGGGAGAGCGGCTCGCAGCCTGGTACGGGCGCAACCGACTTGTATGCCTAGTTCTAAGATAGTGTTTGTGTTCAGCGGAGCTATATGGAGATGATGAAGTGGACTTACCTGAGATAACATGAGTACAACAGCAAGCTCGTCCGTCAGAGGGAATCGAGCAAAATGACAGAGCACTCGTGTCGGATCAACCTCCTCCAGATCGTCTGCGAGCTGCAACA